TATACTTTTTAAATGTCGTTGACAAAGCAAGGCACGAAGGCAGTTCTTTAGACACGTTTTAAGACACTGCTCTAATATTTCCAATGGAAGAGGGAAAGCTACATAAAAAAAATACCAGTTTCAAGAAAAACAGCCAAAAGATAAAACTGAACTGAATCAGCAGGCTGTTTCTTCTCTGCACCTGCATTTTTTTTTTCCTGCACCTGCATGCTTACCCTATAGCACAGTTAAGTACCATGTGGATTTGAAAATGAAGAATAATGGAAACCAATTATCTCAAAAGCAGTGCTGGGGAAGCTGAAATTATAGCTTTGCGAGCTACCAATTACTTCACACTTGAAGAAGTTGAACTGTTACTCTAGAAAATATAGTGGTTCGGGTTAACTGAAGCCACTTAGAAAAAAGTGTTTCAAACTATGTTTAAAAAAATTATTGACAATTGACAATGTCAAGTGAAATGAAATTATAATAAAATATATTACCATACATTTGGCATAAATTGCTACTGAAATTAGATTATTTCAAAAAGGGCCACTTGTTCACCAAAACATATATAGATTTCACTTTAAGATATTTGTAACTTTTTACACTGTTTTGAGGACTAATGTGTAAAATTTTACTTAAAACGGTAATTTGACGCTCTTACACTGTATGAACAGCTTGAACACTGTTCTAAACATTTCCAAATTGATTTACTTGTAAGAAAATAAAAAGTGTTATTTCCTTTTAATAGCCCCAAATAGTTTATAGCTTTACTAGTTACTGTAACTACACTTAAATGACCAAACAAGACATTCAACTAATTACATTTCTATGCGAATATAAGTGTAAATGAACTAGCAGCAAGCTACTGCAAATTGTAGTTTAACTATTAGTTTAATTACATGTAGTTCACTCCTCCCTGACACTGCTAAAAGGTGAAGTGCAGCACACAATAGCTCTCATAGAGAATTCAACATCACAGGTGGACATTTATTTCACCTGTGGGACGCCAGCCACCTTTTCATAGGTGTTTATGACCTCCAGTAAAAACAGGAAGGGTTTTCACCTGAACTTGTTCAACAAAGCCCCCTCCCATTTGGATTAGGTTTACGGTTCAACACACACTTCCTCCTGCAGTAACCCTTCACATGCTGAAAGTAGATCCTTGACAGGCATATAACTTATAACCAGACTTTTCTTCACACTGTACATTTTACATTTATATTTAATTGAATATGCTATTCCTCACACATGCCATGTAAATACAATCCTACTTTTAAATGTTGTTAGGTGGACCTCCATTGTGTTTATTTGACTGAGTAAACTGATTTGTATCCTTCACTGTCAACATGTGTATATTTGACTTTTTAGTTCTGTTATATTTTCTAATTTGAGATGCTTATATTTTTTGTTTGTCTACTTTCTACTGCAATTCATGCTGCTGGAACCAAATAATGTCCCAAATTGGGATCGACAAAGTCAATCTTATCTAATCCCCACATGCTGAATATTACTAAATGTTGTTACTGGACATTTGTAGTTCCACATGTTTCTACTTATTTATCTATTTATCTATCCATCTATCTGTCTGTCTATCTGTCTGTCTGTCTGTCTGTCTATCTGTCTGTCTGTCTGTCTGTCTGTCTGTCTGTCTGTCTGTCTGTCTGTCTGTCTGTCTATCCGTCTGTCTGTCTGTCTGTCTGTCTGTCTATCTGTCTGTCTGTCTATCCATCTATCCGTCTGTCTGTCTGTCTGTCTGTCTATCTGTCTGTCTGTCTATCCATCTATCCGTCTGTCTGTCTGTCTGTCTGTCTGTCTGTCTGTCTGTCTGTCTGTCTGTCTGTCTGTCTGTCTGTCTGTCTGTCTGTCTGTCTATCCATCTATCCGTCTGTCTATCTATCTGTCTGTCTGTCTGTCTGTCTGTCTGTCTGTCTATCCGTCTATCCGTCTATCCGTCCGTCTGTCTGTCTGTCTGTCTATCTGTCTGTCTGTCTGTCTGTCTGTCTGTCTGTCTGTCTGTCTGTCTGTCTGTCTATCCGTCCGTCTGTCTGTCTGTCTGTCTGTCTGTCTGTCTGTCTGTCTATCTGTCTGTCTACAGTATCTATTCTCAACAGCATTGTGACAGTTGGCAGGCGTGATGAGGCTTGTTATCCATGTTTTCTCACCGTTTTCGTCACCTGCATTCATCCAGACTTGTGGAGCAGGTTTTCCCCCCACTTTGGAGTTATTCAAAAGCAGCGTTGACTTTTCCCCACAGACTTTTTATTTTATAGTTGAAAGCAGGTTCTACGTCAGGGTAGTCCACACTTTTTTCACCGAGGGCCACATACAGAAAAACATACGAAGGGCTGGGCCACTCACTAGAGGTGAGGTTTATTGCCTCATACGCTGAGTTATAAGTTAGCAAAATCAATCAAATGTAAATTATGCTTGATACTTGAAAGTGCCTTAAGAAAGAAAACCAACCTATATCACAGCTCTCCATAGGGTTTCATTTATTTTGTTGGCAGCTCATCCCACAAAACAGAAGCCTCAGATTGCTTATAATAAGGGGAAATATGAAGGGTCTATTTCAAGCTGGTTATGTAAATAAGTTATTGGGCCTTTTTTCTCATCAACTAAGATTTGTTAGAAAATGTTTCCAACTTTAATTGACTGAATTTATTTGAAAAGTGGGCTTATAAACACATGAATACTACTGTGTAATACATTTGTACATATATATTTAAGAAGTACAATATAAGACAAGCACAAGTTTCATTTGTGGGCTGTATTACATTATACTTTTTGAATTTGCTGAGGGCCGATTCAAAATGGTCCGCGGGCAGCATTTGGCCCCCGGGCCGTAGTTTGGACACCCCTGTTCTACGTTCTCGCCCATTCCAGGTAGGTTAATTGAGATGTGACATTCGGCCTGTTCTTGCCGCCTGCCCCACATTTCCTCCTCGGCCCTGTGAAGTTCCTCCCTCTCTCCCTGGTAACTGCTCACTTGCAGCGTTCCCAGGCTCGCTCTGGTGGCACGGATCCCAGTTCGGGGCTGGGAGACAGAGGGGTTTCTCAGGAGACAGAACACAAACACAAGGATCCAAATAACTTAATCACCAGTGGGGCTATTAGGCCCGGGATCTTAGAGGCTCACTCCGGGGAGGATGTTTGTGTTGGGAGAGGGGCAGCAGAGGGGTATCTGGGGACTGGATGGTCAATGGAGGTGTTTGTAGTAACACTGCAGTCATGGGTCCTGTCAATTTGAGACAGGTCATGCTAAGTTCTGTGCTATTTGTGTAACATGTCAGGCTTCACCCCACTGACCTGGAGTGGGAAAAAAATACCATTGGTCATCCTTACTGGAAACAAGCTTGAAAAAAACATTTTTTAATTTTTTAATTTTTCAATTATTTTAGTTTCCGCTTATCTTTTAAAGCAAAAAAGGCTACAATCTTATTTTTCTTATTATAATTTGTTTGTATAATGTTGATACATCTAGAGCTATGTTACTGTATATCCTTGCTGGGAACAAGCTTTAAAAACAAGTGTTATTTATTCATTAATTTATATATATATATATATATATAGTTCTGACATTTGGAAAGTCTTATTATTATTAGATTTATTTGGGCAACCAGTGCGTTTATTTAAGTGACATTGTTGAAAGGGGGATAGAGAGGGGATGACATGCTGCAAATGGTCCCAGGCCGGATTTGAAGGGGCAAAACAAACTAAATCTAAATAGAAGAAAGAGGAAATGTATGTATTTATTTACAAATGAACTGGAGTGTGTAAGGCACTGATTACAGCAATTAAGATGGACTGAACTTTCTTTCTTTCTGCATCCGGTCCTATAACATACATAGTACCTCTGTGTTTATATATCTCGGATGTGAACCCATTTCTCATAGAGTGACACACTCCGTAAACACATTTTTCTTCACGTTTAGAATAGAGGCGTTGCAGGCGACCTCCTGACCTCTCATAGGATGTCCGTGTAAATATTTTAAATCAGGAGCTTCGATCGTGTGCACTTAAGGGCTCTTTGGGGCTGATGTTAAAGCCATGATTTGTTGCAGAGGAGTCATTTATCTTACGACACATCTTGAACATGTCTTTGTTTCTCTGACACCGTGGTAAACAGGAGCATCCGAGGTGTCCTCTCGGTTAGAATAACAACGTTGTCCCTGGCTTTTATGTCCGCTTACCCTCTTGCATTTTTCTTACTCAGTATCTATTCTGTGTTTTGACTGGAGGTTTCTTTCTCATGGCAGTGTCCCCCTTTTCAAACTTCTCCTGTCTTGTTACACTTATATCCATTTTCCCTACTTTTCTGAGACACTTGTTTTGGTGTTTTCAAAGAAAGGGTTTGTTCAAATGTATGAAAAACTATTTTTAAAGAGGACATATTAATGCTCATTTCAGGTTCATATTTGTATTTGGTGTCTCTAGTGTGACATGTTTACATTTTGTAATGTTCAAAAAGCTCTTTATTTTTCTGCGACAGCACCTCTTTTCACCCTCTGTCTGAAACCAGAGCCCAGTCTGCTCTGATTGGTTCGCTGGCTGGTTTTGTTGTGATTGGACAACCACTTAGAGATTTCCCACTAGCCAATAGTAGCGTCAGTGTTACATAGTGATGTCAATATGTTACAGTAGAAAATCAAATGAGTCCAATGGAGGCGAGTTTGTGGGAGAAAATGATTTTAGTGATGATTTTAGCCTTTGCAGACCATTTACATGCACTAAAAACTATATAACACACTACAGGAAAGCGAAACCCCCAAAAAGCATAGTAGGGCCTCTTTAACTAAATGCCATTGACAGCCCAGATAAACATGTCACAGTAGTGAGAGGAAACTATGATCTACAACGCAACAGGTGGCTCAGAGAGGCATATCATCACATTCTCACATCACCACCCCTCTTTGGTGTTCGCCGAGGCGTTGAGTTGAACCATCCACATGTGACATAATACGTGACATGAGTAATAACGTCTGTCTGTTTCTCTCTTTGTCCTTTTCATGTTGCAGTCAAAGATCTCCCAGAGACAGCAGCGCATGATAAAGAACCGCGAGTCGGCGTCCATGTCTCGGAAAAAGAAGAAAGACTATCTGCTCACGCTGGAAGGTCGCCTGAAATTGGCGCTGTATGAGAATGAGTCGCTCAAGAGTGAGAATGGCAATCTGAAGAGGCAGCTGGAGGGCATACTGAGTGAGGTGAGAGGCCCTGCTCTGCTAATACACTGCACTCATAAACGAGACTGTGCACAAAAACAACAGCTCAGAAATGTTCCCAAGAATTACCCATGAATAAGATCTGTGAGTTTTAATACAAGATATTTCCTACATTTCCCTGCAGAACACGGTCCTGAAGGTAACGGCGCCCAAGAGGAGAGCCGTGTGTCTCATGGCGGTGTTGGTGTTCGTCATGCTTAACGTGGGACCAATGAGGTGAGCACATGATGCATAATGTGGGACTACAGATCTCTCTCTGTGTGTCTTAAAGTGGAAACTCAACTATTTGATTTAGTTTGGGAAAGCTTAAATTCAGTTTAAAGTTTGAGATACAAGAATATGACTGCTAACTGCAACAAACTGTGGATGCACACGAGTTTGATTACGGCAGGAAAACAAATGGGAAGCCCCACGATGAGTCATTGTGGAAATCGCCCCTCATGTGAGACATTACGCAACAAACGTTGATTGAAAACAGAGAAGAGCATTTCCAATTTAAGCACATTCACCCAAATCTACTTCACACATATTGCAGTTGAGAAAAACTTTTATAATCAGAATCAGAAATATTTTAATTATCCCCTGTCACAAAAAAACGATTTGCGGGATGACTAAAGTATTTCTGATTGTGACATTTTATTAACACATCGGCATAAAATAAAGTTACCAAAGTAAAAAAACAGTCCTACTACTATCAGCGATTTATGTATAACAATGGCTGTCTCTACCTATAGAGTATTTATTTTATGCATTGTAAGGTGACTTTGGGTGTCTCGAAATGCGCCTACATTAAACAATTATTAATAAAACCGGTTTATGTTGTGAAAACAATATGAAAAATTAATGCAAAAGATCGTATTCATACATATTGATCGTCCTTAAAAGCTCTGAGCAAAGGCACCTGATCTTAACAGTAACCTTTGTGGTGCAACCCAAAGTACTGCAGCCCAGTCATGCACATACTGTAACAGTCAATCACGAGTGAAAGTAAAGAACCCGACAATAGTTCATCACAAAGCCAATTGGCTCTTGTGTGAATCTTCCATTCCTCTGTTGTTGTTGCCAGAGTTTATCGGACTTTGTGACTAACGGGTGAATCAGCTTCAAAACACCGCCCTGGGTTTAGAGGAAAAGTTAACATTACCACTGACAAATGTAAAAAGAAAATCATTTCAGGCTACAAAAGAAGGATCAAACATTTCTATATGGCAGTGTTTCTTATCTCTGCCTATCATATCAACAAATCAAAATGACTTATGTAAAACTTCACTGGGGAAAAGGGTTTATGGAGAGATGGCGTAACCCCACAAAATCAACTGAGGTTCAACTCCAACTATAACAATAAATTCTGTGTTTGTGTTATACAAATATTTGCTTCTCCTGGGACTAGCTTTCTCCAGAAAGATGTGAGGATCTACTTTTTGGAGTGTTTAACGATATTCTTTCGTGCCCTGAGCTGGGAATATGTTTTCAGTTGTTCTCTAGAGCTTAAACATGAAAAAGGACCCATAAATGAGTTTGCTTTTGTGACTCCACAGTAGCTAAAGTGTGTGTGAGTCTGTACCTGTTGCTCACATCTGTGTGTTCTGTGTTTGGGCTCTCCTTTGGAATGTAAAGTATTCCCGCTTTTGAGAACGGGTGGATCCCTTTTGAAACGAGAATGCCACCCAGAGTAGTAGTACCGTTGAAGGAATCTGTGTGTATTTTTGCTTGTGTGTGTGTGTGTGTCCGTGTGTGTGTCCGTGTGTGTGTCCGTGTGTGTGTCCGTTGTAGGACATCATTTCCTTCCAAGTTTTTCACATGCCACAAGTTAACTGTAGATACTAAGCTGATTATGTAGTAGCTGACTATCTAGGATCTGTTCACACATCCAAAGGTGTGTGTGTGTGTGTGTGTGTGTGTGTGTGTGTGTGTGTGTGTGTGTGTGTGTGTGTGTGTGTGTGTGTGTGTGTGTGTGTGTGTGTGTGTGTGTGTGTGTGTGTGTGTGTGTGTGTGTGTGTGTGTGTGTGTGTGTGTGTGTGTGTGTGTGTGTGTGTGTGTGTGTGTTGTGTGTGTGTGTGTGTGTGTGTGTGTGTGTGTGTGTGTGTGTGGTGTGTGTGTGTGTGTGTGTGTGTGTGTGTGTGTGTGTGTGTGTTGTGTGTGTGTGTGTGTGTGTGTGTGTGTGTGTGTGTGTGTGTGTGTGTGTGTGTGTGTGTGTGTGTGTGTGTGTGTGTGTGTGTGTGTGTGTGTGTGTGTGTGTGTGTGTGTGTGTGTGCTCCTGTGTGTTCCTGTGTGTGTGCGCTTTTGTGTTATGCAGTCTGGACCAGAGTTCAGATTCTGCTCGTGGCTAAAAATGAAAAAACCCTCCTGTGCACGGGATGTGGGCCACGTGGAATTCAGCAGTTATTTAAGTCCATTCCCCTGTTCTTCTTTTCAGTGTTTCCTCCCCTTCTTAGTGTCCTGATTTGGCCTCACCTGTCTCTCCTCCTCCCTCACCTGTCTCTCCTCCTCCCTCACCTGTCTCTCCTCCTCCCCTCACCTGTCTCCTTCTTCTTCAGTCTGTTTCAGGGTGGCCCTGGCTCAAAGCTCAGAGATGTGTCCATGCAGCAAGGCGGCAGACACCTGTTGGCTTTCTCCTCGGAGGCAGAAACTGAGGCTGGGATGGACCCCGATTCTCTCGGCCCTGGCCCCTCTGAGACGGGCGACAGGTAATGAGCTCACCCCCCCCCCCCCACACCTTTCATAACACGCCATGGCAGTGAGCACGGATGCACCTGTGCCGAGGCTCAGTCTGAACAAGTACAGCTCATTACGACACGAGTAAACATTGCAAACTCTATATCTAAACGTCTGCTTTTCAGATGCCTCCAGGCTAGTAGGCTAGCATTTTAGCTTTGAGTAACAAGTTGGGAAATTAGGGTCAGACTTTGTTTGACATCCAGCTTTATATAACTAGTAACAGTTTATTATCCTAAAGGGTTATATATTTGTCTTTCTATTTAAAAAATGCGCACAGGCCCATTTGTAAATTGCATAAATAACATTCTTGTTTGGTACATTATACCTCCACCCCCCTGTCCTGAAAGCCATGTTTTGCAAGGTGGTCAGAGCGTCTGCATGGCATTGCCAGTCTGCGTTCTGTCAGATCTCTCTGTAGGGTATGTTACATGTTAATGCAAAACATTCGGCTGCAGTGTCAGGTTTCCCGGCAAGTCAGGCAGGAAGGAACACATTAGCCTTCACAAAAGGGGTGACAGCAGCAAACGCACCAGAGAGGAGGATGACGGGGGAGATATGAAACCTAATCTGGGGGTCCCACTGAACAGGAAGGTGTGTGTGCGGGTAGGTTAATACCGGCCCCTCAGGTAGAGTTATGATCAAGCCTCAGTGGGCTGACATGTTGTCCCGCAGAACCATTTCCAGAACGTTTAGAGACGGGAACACGAGGCGTAGTCGATGTGTTGGCTCGGATCAAGGGGGCCCAGGGGGGATATTACGTCGGTGGCGGGCATTTTTGTATTAATCCCCTCGCAGGTGGGCACCGACTGTGGACAGTCTACATCATCACCTCAAGGAGCATAATCATTCATTCACAGAGGTAGAACAGTTGTAATTGAAGTCACTCTGAGGAGGAAAGTTATGCAATGCAGAGGCCTGTTAATCCATAATGTATGTAAACCCACCTTAGTAGTGACGACCCAGACTGTTGGGCTGTGTTTTCATCTGTCAATTTCTATAATCAGAATGGATGTGACCATTTCTCTGTAGCATGTTTTAGGTTAGGGTTCTCAGCCACATACAGTATCTCTCCTGACATTTATGATGGGGTTAGTAGTCAAAACCGCAAAAACACCGTACACAATAAATGACTCAAACATGATAATATTTTCACCTATTTACCCTCAGTTCACGAAATGTAAAGGGGTCTCTACTGTGACATGTCTCCATGCTTTATTGTTCAAAAATGTCTTTATTTCTCTCATACTGCTGCAGCACCTCTTTTCACCCTCTGTCTGAAACCAGAGCCCAGTCTGCTCTGATTGGTTAGCTGGCCGGCTCTTTTGTGATTAGTTGACAGCTTAAAAATGTCCCGTCCCTTAGCCTATCATGTGGAATGTCAGCAGGCAGGGGGGAGTGTGTCGGAGAGAAACTTCCTCTGGAGGGAACTTTGGGATTTTAGCCTTTATAACTCACTACAGGAAAAGGAAAACACAAAATCATAAAAGGGCCCCGTTAAGAAAAACACAAACAGTCCACGAACAACAAACCAATGTAAAAATGTCACTCCAGGTTTTATTTTTTAAGCATTTCCGGTAGGGCTGCTCGATTATGGCAGAAATCATAATCTCGATTATTTGGGTCAATAATTGATATCACGATTATTAAAAACGATTATCCATTTACTTTGAAAACATCCATTTATTGAAAAAAAAAATGTGAACAGTATGTTTTTAACATTTGAACTTTATAATTCAACTGAAAAACCAATAAAAAATAAATAAATAAAAAAATTAAAATAAATAAAATAAAATAAATAATCGTTTTATTTCGATGATGTTGTTTTCATAATCGTTGCAAGCCAAAATCGTAATTGCGATTCAAATACGATTAATTGAGCAGCCCTAATTTCTGGTAGAGTGTACTCCATACAATGCAGTATGATTTTCATAATCTGCACCTCCCATCTCAGCGTCTTTCTTTCATCCAATAGCGATTGAAGATCTGCCATCTCTGCACATGTCAAGCATTGAGAATTTGAGTCATTAGAACTCATTACTAACCAATACAATTCAAACGGTTTATAATTGTCCCCACATTGAAGCCATGCTGCTTCCTTCGCTTCCTCTTGGTCGTCTGTTTCACCTCCGTCAGAAGGCGAGCAGCCATGTTGGCTCTCAGTTTCAAAGCATATTCTCAACATGTGGAAAATATTTCAACAGATTCTTGTTTGACATTCATACATTGATTTGAGAGCCTGGTAAAGTTATCACTTCTCTCTCTGTTTAACACCCTTTTATCTGTGTGTTCTCCCGTGTTGTAGCTCTGAGGATAAAGCCCTGATGGTGGTGAAGGACCCCATCCTCCTCAGACCACCTCCCCCCTGCCAGCCCCCTGTTAACAGGACCAAGTGTTTAGAGTAAGTTATGAACGTTTTAAAGTTTTAAATCATATATTATGCAAAATCCACTTTTTCATGTCTCTTCTACATCAACATGTGTCCCCTCTTCTTCATGTATTTTCTACATCAACATGTGTCCCCTCTGTGTAAAGAGATTCTGAAAGTTTCAGGAAAAAAGATTCTCTCTCTTTTTGTCCTGATCCATTTATATAAAAACCTGTCTGAAAATGAGTTGATCAGATTTTAGCGACTTTATGATGTCATAACGATTTGTTGGCTTGTGTAACCATTAGCCAATCACCAACCAAGGTAACCCCCCCACACCTTATCACCTGAATCTCCTCCTAGAGCACCATTGTGTTCTTTTTAACCAAATATCTCAGAGGGGCGTGGGGAGGGGCTCCTTATTTTCATCTAAAGTAACAGACAGAGAATCAGCACTTTGGAAACAGGGCTGAAACAGAGGGGATTATGGGTAATGCTGCAATGATCTGTTTGGTGTTTGGAGCCAAACACTTCAGAGACATGTTTTGTATATATATATATGAGACCTATAATACAGTGATGAAAAACAGCATAATAGGGGACCTTTAATGTACAGCCTACTTTTCTCCTTTCTGCATAATACAAAATCTCTATAAAACACATCTAAAGACCACACAAAAATGCTTAAATGTGACTTCAAATGTAAAAGCAAATCTGATTCCTGTTGATTGACAGGCTGGCCCACGAGTTGCGGGGCTGGGTCCACCGTCATGAAGTGCAGCAGACCAAATCCAGGCGCATGAGTAACGGCAATCACAAACCCACAAGGACCATTCTGGTAAGTCGCAGCATGTTTTCAAAAACGAGAAAAACATGTCTAATGGGCCGTGCTAGAATTAACAGAATGTTCAGTGTTCTGCTCCCGCTGTATTTTAGGGCCACATAAAGGATGGTATTTGTCAAACCCAAAGCTGCTCTTTCACCACTGTTTCACCTCCTCTCACACCTTCACCCTTTTGCTGCCTCTCATTTCTCTCCACCGGGCCGGGTTTAATCCGGCAGCCATGAGAAAGTAAACACAACACTTAGAGGGGCGCTGTAGGATTAGTGCCCCCTGCTCCTTTTTTTCCATCATTTTTTCAAAGTTAGTCACAGTAGGGCTAATCCACTGGGAGCTGCCAAGTTTGTATATAGCCATTCTTCATTTTTACTTTAAATCAAGGTTCAAGGTTTTTATTGGTCATACGTACATAGCTACAGTGTAGTTATGACGATGACAATCTTAGGTCACAGGCTCCTCCAACAGTGCAACACAATAAAACTGAAAAAACTGAAAAAAATAGTGCAAGTAAATACAAAAAGAAAAATTGTAAATAGTGCAATAAGAGTCTATATACAAGTTATTGGAATATGATATATTAGATAAATCATTTCTAAGTAGCAGCCAGATTAATGTTATGGATAGTACATACATAATACATAGGAAGGTGTGTTTATTTCTCACCTGTTTTGAGCTGTTCAAGCCTCACACACATATGTCTATTTCAATTCGTATAACTTTATTTTATATATTTTGTGTTTCTGTTCGATTGAACGGTTCTACATGCAAGTTTAAGCTTAAACTAGATGGGATTCATTTGGAGAAAACTGGACTCAGGACTGGAATGTGTGTGCTGATTTCTAGATAATGTGAAATAATTGTTGATTGTAATGAGTATGTATTTAAGTGTTTGACAGCGTTGCCAGCAGTGTATCCCGCTTTAATGGTTAGTTGATGCAAATAAAGACTTTTAAAGCTCATTCTTTCTCTTTTTTCCATCAGAAAACAGAGAATAAGGAGGATGCCCAGACTTTGACCGTCCGATACACAGATACTCCAGAGGAAAAGTGAGTACAGGCCTGTTTCAAAGTGTCAGATCCACACAAGTAAACACATTTTCAGGTTTAAATGTCTTTTTACAATCATTTCCATTAGATTTTTAAGCTGCATCTATAGACATCTAGAAGGCAGAACACGCTGTAGATCCATCAGGATAAATGCAGTCACTGCTGTTTGTGTGGTGAACCAACAATGTGTTGTAAACTAAAACAGTGAGTTGAGGCTTGTTTAAAAATGCTGACTGTAGTGTTTATTGTCAACAGGGTACACCAAGATAGATTATGTAAAGCAACTGTAGACACAACAAACTGTGTGTTTCATTGTTTTACATTTTATTTGAGCAAAGTGGCTCTTTGAGGGGAACTTGTTATGGGAAAAACATTTCTGGCTGAATTTCCTCACTTTTTGGCTTTTTTCAGTTTTTACAATCGGTAAATCAAATCTACAGAACAAAAGAGCAAACACGAGTTCAGGCAGGGGGGCGCCAGTTGGTCAGGATGGAAATGGAAAGATCTAGATTTCGAGCAATTAAGCTAGTTAGATTTTTTATATTTAGGCCACAAATTCTTTAAACTCCAGTACGTTTGTGAAACAGACTGCTGGAGAGCTTAAAAAATTATTAACGTTTATGACAGTTTCACAATATCTGAAGAAAATTAGACTAAAAAACAATAACATTAGTAATGCTATCAGCCTTTAACCTTTTTAACTGTTTTCTTGTGTGTTTTGTCTCTTTTTTGGCAAATTAATCACACATTTCAGGAACCTAGAGAGCACTGACTTGTTATATGTGGATAATTCTTATTCCTGAATAATCTTGTAGGTAGTGTGTCTGTATTGGGGATAAACAAACAGACAAATCAAATAATATTTTTTGGGTTTTGATATCTGAAAAAAAACTGTTCTACAGTAGTACACTTCTCGGGCACATAACATGGATTATCAGCACTTATTCAGATGAGTACACGTCAGTCTTTTCTCCCCAATTTATTTTAGGTGTTTCTCATATTTTTCTGTTATTTATAATCAACAGGAACCCTGGCAACGAGCTGCAGGTTTACTACGCTCCTCATCACACATACAGCGACTTCTTCGACGAGCTGAACCGTCGCGGCGACACTTTCTACGTGGTGTCTTTCCGCAGGGTGAGTTTCAACTCGTTTCATTAGATACACAGATCTGAGAAAAGAAACAAGGCATTAGCTTCAGCATAAAGTACAATTAAGAAGGTTTTTAGTGTAAGTTTTCACAACTCCACACTAGTCAATATGTGTCTGTCATGACATTTCTACTTCCAAACTCGCCATAATAAGCAAAAAGTGAATTATAAACAGTGTAACTTATGAATCATTAATATTATGTAATAGGTTTGTTTTTCACCAGAGAGGTCTGATTTGAAAGTGGGGGTGGGGGAGGGGATGAAACTCACTCGCCCAAGGGTGTAACTGCGCCTCTGCGGTCCCGTTTCCTTGATCAATTTGTAATCATCAAGAACATGTTTTATATTTCGAGGCAAAGCCATATGTCACACTCAATCTACTCGCTCTTTATTCATTTGTCAATGTTTCCACATTTGAGACTCACGGTATGTTTCTAATTTTCCACCTCGGTATAATTAATCCTGGACATCATCAAATCAATGTATTGAGCTTTTGTTATCATGAAAAAAACCACTTTCACTCCAAGAGAACAAGTTGTACCCATTATAGTTTGTGTTTCATCATCCTGGGAAGTTGCTGCTCCAAATGTGTCGCAATTAGCATTTACCTAACAGTTTGTAAAAATATAAAATAAGTATGTGTTACTTTAACACATTTGGATAGTGTCCCTAAGAGCTCATATCCCACTCAACACCTCTGGGTGATGTTAAGCCTTAAATCCTGAGGATTACTCATGGGAGTTTTGGAGCATGGGGTCAAAGTTCAGGACCCCTCGTCACAAAGCAAGTCACAAAGGTCTGGCTCTGGGTTGGCATGGCGACAGCAGCGACAATGATCACAATGGTGAGGGGGCGTCTGCAGGTCAAGTGACCGCCTGTCCGTTTCCAGCAGCTTTGTGTTGCATAAAGCAGGGAGGTGGTTCAGAAAGTGTAACACTACAGGGCTAAAACACTCGGATACATTGACTTTTATTCAAAAATATTTAAATATAAAAGTCATTCCAGGGGCTGATCCTCACCGACTTAAGATGTTGCTTTAATGAATCACCCAGATATAGGGATGCTGCCAAACGTTCATCTTGAATCAGGTGTAGTCCAAATTGTAACATAAACTAAAAAGGATAAAAACACTGGAACCTAAAAAATAAAACCTTTTGTCTAATATTTTTTTGGTTGTTTTGTATTACTTTGATATACGATACGATATACTTTATTGTCCCCGTAAGGAAATGTGTTCTGGACTCCGTCCTGCAGTTGCGCATACATGTACATATACAAACAAAGTAAACATTAAAATACATACACATATCATCAGTCATACACCGTTTGAACAAACACAATACACAGACGCACATACTGACAATGGCGACCTATTGCACAACCCTCACGGTCAACATTTAAAAAGTACATTTCATTACATGTGAATGTTAAGAAGCTTAATGGACATAGATATGATATGAGGATGTAGGGGTTGTTTGGTCTGTACCCATTGCAACATTTAAAAGCCAAAGTCTTTCTTCATAGCAAAGGCGCTATAAAAATTGAAATTATTATTATCATTAAGTCAATGTCTTCAAGTGCTGGTTTTATCCGACTTATATTAAAAAAAACAGAGTTATTCAGCTTTAGAGATGCAACAAATAGACAAATAATGGATTAGATGACAGAAAATGAAATTATCAATGAAAAAAAATCCATGCATTTCCAGACTTAATGTGGAGATTCTCTGCTTTTCTCATGTTTAATATTATAATAAATGTTTGTTTTTTTGGGCGGAGAAAAACTAAGCATTTTAAAACATCACCTTGGAAAACTGGGTCATCATTTTCTGAAATGTATAAGACCAATCCTTTAATTAAGAAAAAGTCATTTGCATAATTGGTAGCCTTTTTAGATTACCATCACAAGAAATCATCACATCTGAAGAAGCATGAAAGAAAGCCCTTGTTTACTTCATGCCTGCTCTTTCTGGATGTGATTATCCTACTTTTTAATTAAATGCTGAAGTGAATTTATCTTGGTTTTAATAAACTGTAAAGGCTAGAGGAATCAAGGATGTCTTATTGGGTTTGACAAAAGCACTTTACAAGGCAATAAAAACAGATCATGGATTACAGGCTTGTTATTCAGTGATTTGTATTTGCCCACACTTAAACCCAAAAATATGATGTGAGAGTAGAGGTCAAGAAGACACATTTATAACAACAACGTCACTCACAAAAAAAGATCGTGACCTTTTCAATTCTTCCCAACTTTTGCTAGCTTTTCTCACTCAGTTTATTTGCCTATATTTTGTTTCCTGGGTTTCAGGGTATATATATGTGTATGTATGTATGTGTGTGTGTGTGTGTGTGTGTGTGTGTGTGAAAAAACGGGCGTGCTTTTGTTTTCTGTCCCAGTCGGTATGATGTTATAACAGCACTGCCAAAGCTCTGGATTAAATTTGGAATTTTGTTTGGATTATGAACCAATCTCTACCAATTTTGACGTTTTTCCCCTTGATGCAACTCGTCTGGTTCATTATGGGATGTTACTCGCCAGCAGTTGAGGTCACTCTCTGCCGGGTGTTTCTTTAAACACTCAGGGATGGCCATGCTAAGGTCAAAGTTACTTTAAGACCTCTTTAGATGCAAAACCACCTGTGGCTTTAAGTGTGAAATGAGGCGATGGAAGAAATAACCCCCCAAAAGACCAAATATAGAATTGCTCTCTGTCCCGTCATTTTGCGTTTTCTCTCTCACCACCTGCGGCTTAATGTAAGTGTGCATTGAGGTGATGGAAACACTGCTTTCACCATGTAGCGTATCCCATAAGGTTCAAGCTAAATGCACCTGTTGTCATGGCAGCTGCAGCTGTTATGTCAGCTTGACAGGCTCTCCGGTCCCCTGATGATGAGCAGTAATGTGGCTGGTTGTTTCCCTGCCACCCTCCAAACACAGTCCATGCCGCCGCTCAGTCATTTTCAACATTTAATACTCCCTTTGGGTGCTTACAGCTTATCCTTAAAGCCGTGCAGTGCCATGACCGTAAATCACACAAACCCTTCATTCTGAAAAATACAAAGTATGACGCTGAAGCCTGAGCCCAACTTCTTAGCGTCATTTTCAAGAGGCCCTATTTTGTGTTTTTAGATTTCCCCTTTCTTGTAGTGTGCTATATGTAGGTTTGTGTGCATGTAAATGGTCTGCAAAGACTAAGATTCAAACTCCTTTGTTTACTTCAGGAACATAATGACATCACTATGTAACACTTGTGCTTCTATTGGCTAGCGCTCTAATTCATTGTACATTATAGGCTAAGGGGCGGGACATCTCTAAGCGGTTGACCAATCCCAACAGAGCCGGCCAGCTAACCAATCAGAACAGAACAGAAAAATAAAGAGCTTTTTGAACATTAAAGCACGTAAACATAATACAAATATGAACCTGAAAATAAGCACAATATGTCCTCTTTAATTCATCTTATCAGGCATTATGAAGAAGACGGTCTTGTTGACAGCAATGATCTACAAAAGCCTCCCACATGTGCTCTGGTTTTTAACATCCTCTTTATCTCATATAGATGGCATGGTCTCTCTCACGCGTGTCCTTGTATCTCACACGTTTTCAACATTTCTTCTTCCTATCTTCTGGCTGTAATCCTTTCTCCGACCTCAGACCGTACTCCCGCCTGTCTTCACCTTAACGCCCCTCATTTTTCAAATCACCCCAGCTGAGTTGCACAAGCCAAGTGTTGTATAGTTTTCATTTGGCCCCTCGATAGCTAGAAAAGCAACAGAAAACTCCAGTTTTCCAGGTGATGGTTGGCAAATCCTTTTATGTCATTTAAAATATATTTTCTTGCTTTACACACTGAGAAAAGATTAAATGGTATTTTTTGATTTCATACATGGACTGCATTTTTCTTTGCAACCACTCAAAGCGCTTTTACAGTTCTAGTTAGGTGTGTGTGTGTGTGTGTGTGTGTGTGTGTGTGTGTGTGTGTGTGTGTGTGTGTGTGTGTGTGTGTGTGTGTGTGTGTGTGTGTGTGTGTGTGTGTGTGTGTGTGTGTGTGTGTGTGTGTGTGTGTGTGTGTGTGTGTGTGTGTGTGTGTGTGTGTGTGTGTGTGTGTGTGTGTGTGTGTGTGTGTGTGTGTGTGTGTGTGTGTGTGTGTGTGTGTGTGTGTGTGTGTGTGTGTGTGTGTGTGTGTGTGTGTAATGACTTGCACTCAAGCTACTTTTTAATAGCTTCAGAAACTGCAGGACTTTGCTGGTTAATGCTCTTTAAATCTTAGACTTCTAACGGATTAATCTACTAGATTAATTAGTGCCATGAGTGTGTTGGTGGCCCAAGGGGAAGGATTATTAACTGATTTGATCTGCTCAGACGATGGGGCATGGCATGGAAAAAGGACTCAATTTGTGGAATTGTCTGACTCTTAAGGACCTCTGATCCTCCCATTGCGTCAATGATAACCTCATGTTAATGCAAATCCTCAAGGAGGTCATCTCTTTAAAGCTATCAATTCAAATCCAAATCCTCATTAACAACTGGCAAATGCATGCATAAATCTGTCTTATTTGCTGCCAGATGTATTTTCCTCTCGCTAACCTTCTCCTCTTTGTTCCCAGGATCATCTCCTTCTTCCTGCCACCAGCCACAACAAAGGAAGTCGACCGAAGATGTCTGTGGTGTTGCCAGCCATGAACATAAACGGTGAGCACTGCAGCACAGACGCAGTACAGTTGGGGGGGGGTTTGCTCAATCAACACGCTGTAACAGATGAGAGCAGGGCTGGGAGCAGATTCAGAAACACGTCTCCTCACAAGAATGCATTACTGGTGGTGAAAAACACTTGCAAGGAAAACTCCTTTGACCAAAATAAGGAGAAGAAGAAGATGGACCTTTTATTAAAAATTCAGTTTCCACTCTGTCATACACATGCGTTTTTTATACAGGTACATACAGTACACACTTTTTACAACATACATATACAAATACACACAGTTATATGCACACGTGCACATGCAGTTGAGAGGTCAGAGCGAAGGCAGCCAGTCCAGCCGGCACCAGTGAACAGTTGGGGGTTAGGTGCCTTGCTCAAGGGCACCTCGGCAGTGGCCCAGGAGATGAACTGGCCCCTCTCCAGTACCAGTCCACACTCCGTATGTTTGTGGTCCGATCGGGACGTGAACCGGCGACCCATTCGGTCCAAATTCCAATCCCCTACAGACTGAAACACTGCCATTTTGAATGTTAAGCCTTTTTGAAGGTGATTTGGATATGTGTTCTTTATATGCTTGTATTTTGTTTCCCAAAGATCTACCTATTTGGAGTGTTTTGCCTGTTCAACTTAAATGGATTTTTTTTTTCAGATTTTCTTTGCAATTACAATTTCTTTGACATCTGGCGTCTTGTTAGTGGAAGGTCTTTGCTCCCTACCTCCCTCTGAGCCCTTTGTAGTTTCTGTTATGTCCTTCAGACTCTGATTATCCTCTCTGTTGCATTTAGCTATGCTGTCAAGTGTCTGTGCAGCCACTAACCGAACCACACACAGACACACACATTTAAAGAAAAGAGAAAAGCTTTTTCAGTGTGGTCATTTCCTTTTTGCTTTGATCTTTTTTTGGATTGTTGAACAGAAAATATTGAACTTGAGGTTTAGGCAGCAAGGTTTATTTAGTTAGATTAACCAAAGTTATAACATTACACATATTATTATTTCATTAAAGATATTATACTGTCAAGAAAAACATTAGAAAATGCCTTCATGTTGGCACAACCTTGTAAGCACATTTTTGTCATCAACACTCAAATACATTTCTTGAATTGTTGGCTTCATATCCATCACCTTTACGGTTATAAAAAGCCAGACCCGTAGAGAAATAAGTCATTCAAAGACAACTCCACTTCTAAAGTCTTGAGTCTGGCGTTTTGTCCGTGCCAATCTTGTTTTCTTACCACCAGAAGTGACAGGAGAAGGTAGAGCTATCGAACGTTGAACTAGACATATATTGACGACCAAAATGTTCCAATCGACTTTCGTGAATTATCATCCCAAAACTTTGCAGCAGCGTGGCAGGACCTGTCAATCACTAGGTACCTCCACCCGAAAATACACGCTGCTTTATTGTCTATTTTATTCTAAATTGGACCATCATTTACATAATGAGGATACGGCTGTAATAAAGAAGACTTTAAACTAGCATTGGAGACCCTAAACCCATGTTTACCATTTTTATTGAGGTAATAAATCAAGTTACAATCTAAAAAGAGCACGGTAAGGCACTTAGTATAGTATAGTATTCGTTTATTTGTCCCCGAGGGGAAAATGGGTTGCAGCACATCACAAAGGCATTCAAACGATAAAACATACGTCAATGACAACAACATAGACACACTTGCACATTGGCTTCACTTTTAAAATCCAGAGTTTCTGCATGGAAGCAGCAAAAAGCCAGTATCATCCAGACCTGTGGAAAGTAGGGAAATAAATAATGTGTGCAACTTTGATACGTTGGCCACCTACATTTGGAGTTATTTGTTCAGGACAAAAAGTATTCATGGTCTTTGCAACCTTGGGAGAATGTAAGTGTTTTGTTTTGAGCATGCCACACTAAGCATCCACTCTGATTGAATCACTTGATGTCTACAAGCTAGCATTAAAAAAATCAAGGATATCAAAACAAATACAAGTCCTCCTTAAGGTTAAAGAGCATGGAGGAGGATGCTCATCTCGACCGCTTCATTTCCTCTCAAAGGAACAATTGCCACCCACAGCTTGTCATAGTGAGTGGCAATCAGAGTGCACTTGGTTGTGGTCAAGGGGAGGTGATTTCCATCAGTCCATTTTAGATGCAATCAACCTTTTACCTTTTTATTTGAACGCCTTACTTTTTAAAACATAATCAAATGAAAGCACTTTAACACTGAAACACTGTGCATGAGGTACGCCTAATATTTCAATACGTAATCGGCAAAAACCTTGGAGTTCGGTTGGCGCAGTTGTTGCCAATTTGTTTTATTTGGCGTAACACCAAAGTATGTTCTTGATTTCCATGAGCTCATCATAGCTTTTCCCCATAGTTCTTAGATCTGCTGGATACCAGATATAAAAAGTCAGGCGATCAGAGATTTCATTAAAATGTTATCTTTTTTTTTATCCAAATTCAGAAATGATTTATCATGTGGCGTCATTTTGACCAAGCCTGCGGTGGTGCAGTGAACTGAAAGGAAACCTGCTCAAGAGGGATTGTGTTTGCAGGGTGTGAACAATTAGGAAGACAGCCTGTTGTTGTTGGGTGTTTGCCTGGTGTTCGAATCACAGATCCTCTTGTTCCTCTGTTATCTCAGAGTCAGTGGAAAAGCACCAGCAACAGATTCGATTAGTCAACCAGCTCTAAGGGGAGTGAGTCAGTGGAATATGAGCTCTTAGGGAAGACATGGCCAGTGGGAAATAACTTTTTTTTTTTTTCTCGGAGGGGGGTGTTAGAGCTGAAGATTGATGAAGGTAAACATTGTTCTTGGTTGGTCTTGTCAGGGAGGAATGCTACGGTCCATGCTGGTCAGATGGCCCATTGAAATAGCTGCAAACAGTGAAATCCAAGACCTCCTTTTCAGCTAATTGATGAAATGGCCAAACAAAGGTGGCATTCAGGGAGAGATATCAGGTCTGGAAAGATTCTTGTTAGCTCAGGAAAAGGACCTTGGATTTGCATGATCAGTCATGGATGCACGAAGTTGGCCTTAAGTGCAATTTTCCTTTGTGCTTTTACTTAAAGGGGACCTATCATGCAAAATGCACTTTTGCACGTCTTTTATACATGAATATGTGTCCCCGGTGTTCCAGGGAACTCACCAAGTGTCAGAAAACACAACCCTCTCTATTTTCCTCCATACCCAAATCTCTAAAAAAGGGGCTGCAACGGATCTGATAAAAACTGATCCAGATTTGAACACTGTCCTGACGTCAGGACGGTGGCGCTACGGCTATTGGGCCAACTCCACCAATCAGGAGGAGACAGCCACGGCCATTGCCGTTCGAAAGCACTGGAGACGCTGTAGTACATATGCCAGGCCAGTAGATGGTGCTGTTCTCACTGAATCAGCCCTTGCAAAAACAGGGGTAAATTGAGCGAAATTAGGCATGGCTAAAATGCATGATCAGTTTGGTATTTTGAAAAAAAAAAAGTATAAATATGCCTTATATAGGTATGGTCCTACACTATATTATTCAAATATAACATGATAGGTCCACTTTAAAGTATTTTCCTGCTTGTTTCTGGTGCTAGTGTTCTTGAATCTATTATGCCAGCTGGATCATGTGGTATCTTTTAGAGAGAAGATTAACAGCAGTTTTATTTGAGCACAGATGCAGGTACGGTAGCTTCAGTTTCAGATGCCACAACAGCTCCTTCTGGAAGTTGACCTGACAGAAAGGACTCTTAACTGTTGCTGTTCTCCACACCCGCTTTCAACATGTAAAGTCCAATGTGTCGCACAGATGACAGCCTTCAAGTCGCATCTCAGATTGATGTTGTCTTTGTCTGAAACTTTGAAGTGCGAATGTACACATTTAGATGGGAAAGATGCTTAGAAATGCAGGAACACTGTCCCTTCTCTGCAGCGTGATTGCTCCACGGTGGAGGATAATTCTTTCCAGCTCCCTGTTGCTGCTCTCCTTCAGGAATGCCTTCCTTCTCCAGTCACTAAATGGTTTTCATCTGGAGGAGATGGATACACTCTGCTAATCTGGAGTGAGCGTTTGGTCTGTCGTGGTCAATAACTGATCATTGAAGATTTGAGACTTTGATGTAAGCCGTGGCTTGTTTCTGTCTCGCCGCGTGTCCACGGTTCATGGGCTCTGTTGGAGTTACTTGACCTCCTCCGCCTTGATTCTCTCTGAAAACATATCTGGCCGAGCGGTGGTTCCTCATAAGGACTGAAGGGTGTGTTTATTTAACGATCTCCCGAGTTTGAAAGTAGCTCAATCAAGTGGAAGCGACATGTTTGGAGAGGAGGAATGTTTGGTAGATGACATCATCTACAGGTGGATGGCCCGTGGCAGACGCACTGCAGTGTATGTTTGCCTCTCATGTGCTCTGCAGCCAACAGGCAGCTTTCAGTGGGGGTTCAAGGTAAAGCAACGCTCCACTGAAGGAGTCGGGGGGGTCAGATTTTCCTACTCCTCTAATCCAAACAAACATGCGCCAATGCTCTGAAAAGAACCCTCTTACCAACCCAAATGTTTAACCCTTCTGATCCTTGGAAAAATAAGCTTAAGCAAGTGGTTATTTGCCTCAGTGACATAATTCTCAGTGCTTAAAGCTAGTATTAGCCACGCCATTTTTGTCAATATTGATAATCGATCGCCAGACATTTCTCAACAAATATTCAACGTATTGCAGTGAAATTTTGCACAGATGTCCATCATCCCCAGGCCATGACTTATTCCCTCTTTAGTGGTGATGCCGTGACTTTCACTCTGTGCCTTTATGATGACATGAAATGTTACCAAAGCTAGTCTCCCCAATACTTTTAAAACATAATTGATCCGTTTACCTTTGGCTATACTGCCATCTGAGCCCCTCTTGTGCTAATTTGCCAATGTTAGCATGCCCAGCTAAGATGTTGAATATGGTTTGTACCTGCTAAACATCAGTATGTTCTGTGTGTTAGCAGGCTGATGTTAACATTTAGCTCAAAGTGCAGTGTCACAGAGCTGCTAGCATGTCTGTAGCAGTCTTGCTACTGCCTGTAAGATTATTTTCCAAAAGTAAAACATGGTTCGTTGCTCAACATTGGCTTTTGGCTTGCATTCTATTGTAGAACGTCTCAATCGATAAAAGATGAGCATATCGGCAGACTTTTCTAAATACACATTATCTGAAAGTGAATGTAATTGCCTTCCTATTAGATCCGCAATTATTTGATTGGCCTTGTAATTTTGTAATGATACTTTCTGATGAATTCCTTCCTTTTGGACATTAAAACAAAGTTCCCCTCATGAACATGTCTTCAGTGTCTGTGCCAGTCTGGCAGCGACCATCCTCTCGAGATGCTCTCTCAAGTTTCCTCAGATGTCTTGTTGCCAGACATCAGGCTTTTCTCAGCACACACCAGCTCCCTGTGTCGCTGGGACGTTCTGGAACATCTCCAGATGGCACCAGTAAAAGGGGGAAGGAGACCATGCAGAGAGGACGGTAGATCTGGCAGCCTCTTCAAAGAGCTGCTGTTTGAAGTGTGTGTGTGTGTGTGTGTGTGTGTGTGTGTGTGTGTGTGTGTGTGTGTGTGTGTGTGTGTGTGTGTGTGTGTGTGTGTGTGTGTGTGTGTGTGTGTGTGTGTGTGTGTGTGTGTGTGTGTGTGTGTGTGTGTGTGTGTGTGTGTGTGTGTGTGTGTGTGTGTGTGTGTGTGTGTGTGTGTGTGTGTGTGTGTGTGTGTGTGTGTGTGTGTGTGTGTGTGTGTGTGTGTGTGTGTGTGTGTGTGTGTGTGTGTGTGTGTGTGTGTGTGTGTGTGTGTGTGTGTGTGTGTGTGTGTGTGTGTGTGTTCTCTATTGAAGCTTCTCGAGTTGTTGGCTGAATAGAATTGAGAAATGTTGGCCATTTGAATAATGGTGACAATTATGGCCTACATCAGGGGTGGGGAACCTTTTTCCTCTCAAGGGCCATTTCAATTTTTTCAACATCCTCCGAGGGCCGTACAAATGATTGACCTCTGCTTAAAAATACTAAAATCACAGCCCATTCATTTCGCCTTTCTTTCATGCTGTGCAAAGAAAAAGCAACCTCGAGCTCGGTGTGGCATGACCACCAAAACAGAAAGATGTGGACACCAACATTTCACTAAAACTAACATTGATTACCTCTTTCCTTACGGGATACTTAAAGGAATACAGTGAAGTAGATAAGACATATGTATATTTGGCAAAACAATTATTATATGGGAAGTTGGGAAACCAATGGATGAGCAAAGTGTAGGGATAGGTTGGTTGTAATACAAAGCAATGAAGGTATACTTATTTTTCTATGTACTTACTTACAAAGTAAGGTCAAGGCATCCTGGCTGTAAAATGTGCAAATATATCAAGTAAAGCTAACTTTAACAAGACTGACAATTCCTTGCTTACTATACGATCTAAGACTGCTGCCCACTGGTGTGTCCCTGCTCAGTTTAAAGCTTTTTCAACAATATTTATTTAGAGAATATATTAAAGCAGTAATAAAGCTAGAAGTACAAATTAATTTCCATATTTATTCAAATATTTCTTGCTACATTCTTCCATGCCTGCATTTTTCTATATGGCCATTAGAATTTACACTATTTCCATTATATTCTTCATCCACTTTTCCACTCGCTGCTTTTCTCTCGGGCTTCTATTTATTTTTGGATATAAATGACCTAAGTGCTGGTAATGTCAGAGAAGTTTATTTTGAACTGAGCAGAATCTAAAGGTTCATCTGTGGAGCAATGACAGGACCTTGAAATTTGAGGGGGAACAATTCAAATGTGATCTCATCAAGCAGTATGCAGATGCACAGAGAATCACTTTTCCAGCTCGCCTTCAGACAGAGGCCTAATTTGAAACCGACATAGCGTGACAAAATCCAAAACCCCAGGATGACTTCCAGAGATTTCTGTTGGAGCACTGAAGCCATTTGAAAAGTTCCAGTTTCACTACAGGTGCAAAAGAGGAAGTTCAGCAGCAGATGAAGTCATACTCGGCTTTACATCTACTCACCATTTAATGAGATGAACATCCGTGGAGTCTTCTGGCGGCAGAACGGGCTATTGTATTGTCAGTGCAGGATCTGATAACATCTTTAAAGTAAACGTCTGTGGAAACCCTGCAGAATCAGAAGAAGCTGATGTCTTGTGCAGGTGGCTGGAAAAAAACTTTAAACAACTTTGCAAGGCATTTTAAATACAGCTCACTAAAACTGACGAGGTGTGTTGCTCCATATGGGGAATGTTGCTTTCATATGGACACGGTTATATAGGAAGCGACACGTTTTAAAGTTTTCTGTTAATACAAATCCACGAGGGATCCCTCAGCATGCTGGAAGCTTTCTCGAGTGAAGGATTTTATAAGCGTGTCCACTCTAAAATATGTTCTTCCCCCAGACGGAGCAAATTTAGGCTGCGGGAGACCACAAACCAGGAACCATTGTCTCACGTCCAGCATCTCAGTCCAAACTTGAATTTCCCGAGATAAAGCCAAAGCAGTTTCTTATTTGTAGGTCGCACGTCAGGATGACCTTGAGAAGAAAATGTATTCCTCTCTTGATAACAAGCTTTTAGTTTATTTTCATCTGTGGTTTGTTGCCAGTCTGAGTCACCACCTCTTCCTGTGGCTTAATCTTGCCAGAGTTTCTTATGTTCTTCTCTAAATACAACAAGAAGCCTGAGGGATCCTGAGTCTCTCTTCCTCTCTCCTAAACTCTTCTTCTCTCCTCTCAAATGTGCATGTCCTGCTTTTGTTTAGGCCCGTTTTGTTTATCTCTAAGAAGGAGAAATCCAGATTTTGACTCACCTCTGGACGCCATGTGTGTCCGGGCCTCCACCTTTCTTTCTTTATAGCTAGCTGCAGTTTTCAGCCCCCCCCCCCAACTGCCTCAAACAATACTCCTTTACAATCCCAAATCACTCTCTTATCATGTCTCTCTGTATCCAGTGTAACAAAAAACCTGCCATTGATTAGGGTGACGAATACAGTTTGGCGAGCTCTATGTGTGCCTTGAGTTGATTAAATCTTCTGCTGTAATATAAACCCACTGCTGACAGAGCAAACACACACTAGAATCATTTATCCATGCACTAAAACTGACATTCTGCTTCCTTTCCTGCCGTTACAGACAGCATCATACGGGACAAAGACTACGAGGTGATGATGCAGATCGACTGTGAGGTGACGGACACGAGGATCATCCACATCAGGTCGTCCAGCATCCCGCCTCTGCTACGGGTGAATCGCACCGAGACGTTTTACCAACACTCTCCGACTGACAGCCAGGCCCCGCCTCCTGTCAATGTGCTAATGGGGTCTGCTTAAGACCACCAGCACCTGTTATTATATATAACTCACCAACAAAACCCATGAGGACAAACAGAAGATGGGGCTTCAGTTAACACTCTTTATGTGTGATACATTTTTTTTTTAAACTCCCGCTGACTAGAGGTTTTTGATTTAGATTCTAATGCAACACAAAGGTAGCTCAAGTGGTCAGGACTAGTCCACTGCACTCTTTATCCGGGCAAATATCCGGAGGTAGTCTGTAATAGGGTCCGCTAGCTCCTTGTGTGGCATCTCTGACTTCTCCCTGTTACCCCAGATGCCCCACATAAGGGTAATTGCTTAGCGGCAGGGGGCCGAGCATTGAACCCTGAGTCACCCCGTCATAACACAAATACTTGTGCAGCTCTCCTCGTGTCCAAGTTTGGGAACAAGCCACTAAAGCCAGAGGAGAACACTGAAAAATGATTACACACCCATGACTGATCTCACTTGGAAAGCATTTTTGATATTAATGTTTAGAAGTACGACAAATTGTGTGTTTAGCTACAAAAAGGAGTTATGGGATGGTCACTGTAAGAGATGCCAGATTAATTACAGGCAGCAACCTCAGGAAGTCAGGTGATATGTGAAAGCTAGCAGGCTGTCACTATGTTGTTGGCTGGTTTCCATTGGTTTAAGGATTTCAGGTGCTCTGTTTTTAAGCATTGTATGATGAAGAATTTTGTTTTTTTGCACTGTGCTTCTCTTATGTGAATAATGGATTCAGCTACTTTACATATTTATTTCTATTATTATGTAACAGTTATACCAACTTCTGTACTGTGATACAATTCACTAATTTCTGCTGTCAAAAGTCTTCTGTAAAGACTTGATATTGTTTTGTCTGATTGTGCTTTTTGTGAAATTTGTATTCAAATTGACCACACAAATCTAAATGATTGTACATACATTTATAAAATGGTGGATGGGAAAGAAACGTTTTCATTAGAACTAGGAGATTTTTTACTTGGTGGACATCTTGAGATATTCATTACATTTGTGACCCCTGCCCCTTTTTATATGAATATAGTCTATGCCCCTGCCTTAAAAGTTGAGCTAAATGTTTGACATTTAACTTATTTTGAGTCCAGACGTCTCCGTCCACGGGCTGAATTGCACTTTTATTATGTGCACCTAGGCCTGAAAGCGCAACCTGCTGGAAGTTATTTTGCGTGATGGAGTTTTATTATCTTATTCGTTGGAAAGGTTGGCACTAAAAATGCACAAACTTGTAAGATAAGAATATACTGTAAGGTCTGGCTTCATAGGCCTCATATTAATGTTTCTTTAAAATTGATATTGAAAAACAAATGATACATCATCAGAATAAGAACCTTTTTGTATATGTTGATTAACAAAATACTTGTACCTAAAAGTGCTTTTTTTGTTTGTTTCAGCTACACAATTGTGCAATGGGTTAAGCTTTAGCTCAACAGATGCACATAAAATACTCTTTACTTGTGTTATCTTAAGCCAGGCCATCTGTGTCTATATATTTTTTCCTTCCTTTGGTTTGAAAATAAAATCGATTCACCGCAATGTTTTCACTGCATCCCAGAAGAACTTTGGGAGAAAGCAAGAGTACAATTAAAGAAACTTGTGAGGTTTTGTTTTTTGTGAAAAATACCAAAATAAACACTGGATTTTACATTTCCTTTGTCCGTATCCTTTTTGTGGAAATTGTTTTACTGCATTGTTATATACAAGTACAATAAAGTCTTTTTGTTGTCTCTAATACCTCAATTTACATCCATTAAACAAATCATTGTCTGTTTGTTTGTATTCATAATTTCTGCCTGGATTAGATTAGCCACATAAAAAAAGACATGTTTAAGTATTTCCACATTTTATTGCAGTCTCCTCTCAACGGTCTCATAAGGAGGGAATAGGTGTTTTCACAAGGCAAAGGTCAACGGCAAAACCTGTGATATTATCATTAAAACAGGATCTGTGGCATATGATGCAAAGGAAAAGGAATACAAAATGTGTATAAAACAAAAACAATTATTGAAATGGGGAATTGTTAAGAGTATGCTTTTATGTGTTTGAGTTATTTGACCCAAGATACAAAATAGTTCTGAACCCTTTCTACATAGTTTAGCTCATTGGGCTTTTTTACAGAATTGCAGTATACATTACATCGTGATGCATTGACTGAGGAGTCAGACTTAGGGTTAACAAATCTTAATAGGAACAAAACAATTTTCTCAAAATACACTTAAGTATATTTGTACATTTGACCCCCCTTTGTCTCCATCCTGAAGGCCATCTGGACTGATCTACAATCCATTCAAACCATAGAGTTAACTTTTTAATATAACTACCATCGACCCCGTATTAAGGGTCTACAAAGGCGAACTTTATGTTATATGTGACCTGGTGTCCATTGTCCCACGCATACAAAACCCCCTCTTTTGGATTGTAGTCAATCTGCGTGGTGTAGGTGTAGTTGTTGGTGAAGGGCATTCTGGGAGTCATCTGAGTGTTTGTGTGCGTGTCGAAGGCGTATTCCAGTCTGGCGTCCCTTATGTTGTAGCTGTCAACAGCGTACAGGACGCCGCACACGATGAAGCAGTTTCCGTAGTGGTTTCTCCTGAGCCCGGTCCTCCAGGTGGTCTCCCTCTGCATGCTGAGGTCCGAGGGGTTCAGCCGACTCAGAACGACCACTTCATGTAAGAAGCCCTCATCGTCCAGAGCCGGGTAGATGATCCACAGGCCGCTTTCATCTATGGCGAAGTCAACTTCTGAGTGACCGCGCCACTCCCCCAGCGACGACGTATCTCCCACCAGAGCATCGTGCAGCATCGTCCAGGAGGCCACGTATCGCAGACGCAGGTCAAACTTGATGATGTCTCGGGAGAAGGCGCGGTTGTAGAAGAAAGCCCCGTTGTAGACCACATGGCCAGTGCCGATCCAGTTGTAAGGAAGCTTGTATGATGTGGTAAAACGTCCTAGAAGGGACCAAGAAGAACGGATAAATATCAGATTTATTAAAGGTCCTCTATTATACTGTTTTTTATCAATATATCATAGGTCTCAGATATATCTAAAACATGTCTCTGAAGTGTTTGCCTCCAAACACCAAACAGATCATTGTAACATCCCATAATCCCCTCTGTTTCAGCCCTGTTTCAAAAGTGCTGATTCTCTGTCTGTTACTTTAGATGAAAATAAGGCTGCTTTTACACGGGAACGTTTGCGTTTATGCACAGTATGCGTTTTCAAAAAAGTCTTCCGTTCACATGCATTCGTTTCATTTAACGTGTCTGTTCAAACGAGACCGCTGAACACGCTGTAGTACATATGCCGGGACTGTAAGTGGCGCTGTAACTTCCGCCACAAAATACACCAAAAGCAGCGAAGAAGACCCCGGAGCAGCCCGGAGCAATGTTGCCATGGCTACCCTTCTGTTTATGCCCCGCGGTGGATTTAGCAACATGTAGTGGTTCATGTAATTCTCCATGTCCACTTGTTGCTGATGGTTGTGGTAGAGGAGCTGTAGATTTTGCACTAACATCTGTAGCATGGTCGAGCTGTAGATGTTGTACTAACATCTGTAGCATGGTCAGTAGCAGTAGCACTAGCAGGAGCTACTGACAGTAGCTACTGGGCCATGCTACAGCAGTGAGCAGCAGAGGCGGGGAGATCGTTATTTTTTCAGGAAATATTCGTATAGAGGCGATTACACGGACTCGTTTGACCCCCCAGAGAGTTTTGTTTGCAAATCTATCCACCTTGGGACCCGTTATCGTTTGTGGGGTCCGTTTGTTACGGCCTCGTGTAAATAATAGGGCTATACGCAAGAGAAACTATGCAGATACAAGCCGTTTCGTTCTCGTGTAAATGTGGCCTAAGGAGCCACTCCCCACGCCCCTCTGAGAGATATTTGGTTAAAAAGAACACAATGGTGCTCTAGGAGGAGATTCAGGTGATAAGGTGGGGGGGGGCGGGGGGGGTTACCTTGGTTGGTGATTGGCTAATGGTTACACAAGCCAAACACATTTTATGACATCATAAAGTGGCCAAAATCTGATCAGCTCATTTTCAGACAGGTTTTTATATAAATGGATCAGGACAAAAAGAGAGAGAATCTTTTTTCCTGAAACTTTCAGAGTCTCTTTACACAGAGGGGGACACAAAAAGTGGATTTTGCATAATAGCTGATCTTTAAAGCAAAAGGAAAACAAACATGAAGATGACTTACAGGTCAACACAAGACCAGGCTCTCACCTTGTTTGAAAACCTCCAGGTTGCGGAACTCCAGCAGGTTATTCCCGTAGTAGAAGTTAGTGACATATATTTTGACATTATCCGACTTTGGATCCTTCATCCAAGCTCCTTCATTCCTGCCAAAGGTGTTGTGAGTTACTGGTTCGGAGATGGTCGCCAAAGTGTCCTTACACTCCCCTGTAAAGAGTCACAACAAGTGAGGATTTAGAAGCAGATAAACATCATTCAGACGTACGTCACAGAGTCTGAAAATAATTAGAGGCTTTTATTTTAACCAGCTTGGATGACAGGGAAGGTGAGGTTGCCACAAAGGAGTGAGTACTAACACTCTGTATTCACAGAACAATATCAATTCATCTTTCAGAAAAATATGGAAAACTTTAAGGCTCTTTCCATTTGGTATTTCCATCGAATTAGGGCAAATGTTAACAAGAAAATTAAAGGCGTTCTTATTGTTTGGCTATATATTTGGCATTAAGATGTTGTACAAAACATTCACAGATGTTTTTTTAAGCCACTGGCATTGTGGCTTTAGAGTTAGGAATGTTATTTGGTTATTTGGTCCGTCAGTCCACCAATTGACTGAAAAAGTATTTGGAGGATAGCCAAGGAATTGTTTTCAGACATTTGTTTCCCAAGAGGGGAACCATGCTCACTGCTAGTTTCCCATGACTTCTCTTCTGGCACTAATATGAGGTTGCCATCTTAGTTTTTTTTAATAAATGTCTTAATAATAATTGGGGAAATTCCCATAACATGAATAGATAGCCTACTAGGAATACGAAGCCTGCTATTTTCTATAGGCCTATGTTGCGCCATCGCCAGATCAACTTCTTCAATAATCCAAAACTTGGGTTTATGACCAAATTCCTACAAAAATAATGGCATTCCCATCAGCATCCCCTGAATTCAGTTTTAAGAGCTGATTAGTGTGCTAGCATGCATGCTAACCCACTAGACCAAGATAGTGATAAAAAGTGTACCCGCTTAAAATGAGCTTGTTAGCATTGTGAGCATGTTAGCACTTAGCTCAAAACACAGTAGTACAGTATCACAGAGCTGCTCTCATACATTTTTGTAGATGTTTCCTTTAAAAGTGTGGATGAATAAGGTATTGCTTACATTTTTCAACATAAATAGTCAATTTACCAGGTTGTTTTGGGCGAGATTCCTCCTGCCTTTGCATTGGCTCTTCTGATTCCGGGTTTCCATACTCCCTCTCTTCCTCTTCCCAGCTAATCTTGTATTTCTGTCTGCCTGGATCAGCCTGCCGTGTAGTGGTCGTAGTGGTGGTTGTGGTGGTGGTAGTGGTTGTTGAAGCAGAGGTAGTCCCAGGTGTGGTGAAAGGCAGAGTAGTGGGGGGAGGCAAAGTCATCAGTCTCTGTGTGGTAGTCATGGCTGGAAAGTAGATGGATTGAGTTTCTTCTTCTGGTGTTGTGGTAGCAGCCTGTGTGGTGGTAGCCAGTGTTAAAGCTATTGTGGGGTGTGTTGCTGCTAAAGTTGGGGCAGCACGAGTTGTAATGGTCCTAGTGGAAGTGGGACTGGTAGTTGAAGCCTCTGTGGTGGGGTTTGGGGTGCTTGAATGAGCTGCAGTGCTACCAGGTAAAGTCAGAATTTGGTCTTTCACCTCCAAGGTAGAAGTTGCCACCATTTTGGTTAGTGTATCTCTTGTGGTTGTAATTTGAGACGGTTGGGTTGTGTTCATTGTAGTTTTGGTTGTTACCTTGGCAGTGGTGCTTAAAGAACTGTTGCCAGGTTCAGTCATCAAAGGGATTGTTTGCTGAGTGACTCTTTGAGTTGTTTGAGGTACAGTGTCTGCCGTCTTGGTTTTTTGTGTGGTAGCTGTCGGTCCAAACGTGATGGTTCTTGTTGTGGTTCCAATGGCGCTGGGGAACTCATACATTTTTGAGATGGGCTCAGTTGCTTTCGGTTTATTAGATGGGTTTGTTTCTATGGAACCTTGTGAAGGACCTGTTGTCTTTGGTCGAGATGATCGTGGTCCTGCTCTCGTCTTTGGGCGCGGGGGTCTGTGTTGAAGAAGATTCTCCTCAATGAAGAGATTAACGGGTCCATCACCACTGAATCCATGATATTCAAACACTAAAAAAGGGGAAAGGAACAGATGTGGTGAAATAATCTGAGCGCAATGAGACAATGAGAAATGATTTTTGTAAAGTAATCTGTGTCTGGAATCACAAATCTGTTCAAACAAACAGTTAGAGCCACAGTATTGAACCCATTCGTAAATAGTTGCAGGGCATCTGCATCCAGCAGCTGACAGATGGCAGACGGTTTAGAGAAGCACTAAGCTTTTATGTTCTGACATTCTCTGAAATTAATTAATGTAATGTGATAATCCATCCAAACTATGATCCTGTTTCATGGTTAGCAGAGTGTGGACGTATAAGGGGAATTCTATACTTTACCTTTTAAGGAAAGCTGTAACTGGGATGATCACATTTACTTCTGTCCATTTTAATGTGCAGATTTAAAAAGAAAATTTGAGTTTTTTTTCTGCTTTTAATCCATAGCATTTAAGCCGACTAAAGGGGTTTGTACTTACAGTTCTCTCCGGGATCCCCATCATCCGCCACCATCGGATCTGGCTCAGATTTATAAAAAGTCATTCCTCTGATGATCATGCCGTTGGGGCCGGTCTTCAGCACCTGAGCAGCCTCCTTGTTAGCTGGGGTTTTCGAGGTTACCAGAGGTTTGACCTCAATGATCTGAGTAGAACCATCTGTCTGTAGAAAGGACGGATTTTCCCCAATAAACTGCTCCTCATGCTTTTCCTGTTAGTGGACAGATGGATACTGACTTAATATGAGGCGAGAACAGTTCAAACTAAAGCATTAGCATGAGACCAATGTTTGATTAGATGCCCTATACATGTTTTTCAATATCAACAAACATTTTACTAAAGAGTTTTATGAGTTAGATGCACTTTAATGGTTTGACCTAGAATACAGGGGGAAATACTTAAAACATGATTAAGATAGTGTCACAATTAAATACACTTATAATATACTGTTGACAATGCACTTGCTTGGCAAATTAAAGCATTTGACTATTACCAAGAAACTATATCAAGATTGCATTTGCAAAACATGAACCAAAATGTCAACTTTGGAACACTGAAGGACCCTCAACAACGTCAAATGACTTTTTTCCAAAAGCAAATGTATTTATTTGATTAAAGGGGCCCTGGGTCTATGAAATAACAGGGCAAGAAACAGGTACTCTGACTATTAGAGGGACTATAAACAAACCAAAATATTTGCCACATTATCTGGACCAATTTATTTGGAAGTAAATTTGCAAATCCATGTTGTAGGTTATACTTTATCATGCCATGTGCTCAACAGTGGCAAGAACAGTAGATCAAACTGCAAAAGTAGGTCCAAAAACTATGTTTAAAACTGACGTTTGGGTAACACTCCTACAATTTACTTTCAATTTCTCTCTTCCAAATAAATGTGGTTAATCTGGGGTTTCATATTCTCGTTGATCTCCATTTGACCTGACCTTCATTTGCAGGATTGTTGTTATACTTTATTGTCTTTGTATCAATGTTTTGGCTGTAACTTTGTGATGTGTTTTTTGTGTGTCTTGGTCTCTCTTAAGAATGACTCTGTGTCTCATTGAGATTACCTGACTAAATAATAAAACCTAACCTGGATATGCAGTGGCCTTGCTCACCTCACTGAGTCTCCTCGTGTCCTGATGTTGTGGCGAGGGAACAGTTGGAAGGCTTTCAGTCGCTTTTGTCTGGATTGAAGGACTTTCCTGGGGCTTCACCTCATCCACATGGTTCAGAGACACGGCCTTCATGTAGTCATGGACAAATTGAGATATTAACAGTTATAATGTACATGTTTTTGAATGAGAAAATAGGCTGCAATGATTTCATGGCTAAAATATCTTTAAAAAAACTTTAACTTTTCTAACCTTTTCAAATGTCACACAAGGACAGACACAGCTGAAACTAGTAAGATTAATCATAGATGCGCTTGATTTATCCATTAATTGTATCAACTATACAGATGTGTTTCCCATGCCAAGACAAGTCTGTGAAAAGAGCAATTTCAGAACCAAATGCATCGATTGGCCTGACAGTTTGTGCAGTGTTGTTTTCCCTATGTCAGGCAGACTAAGAGTGACACATACAAAACATTTTCCATGCAAATATAGAAATGTTTTGGACAAAGTTTGACTGAGGGCTCAAGCCCTGGCCAGCTGCTGTTTGAAGTTGTGAGAAAACACCTATAAAAGCATGGTATTTTTTAATTCTAATCTAGTCTTCAAATCAAGTTGTCCAAAGAATAATATCTATTGTTTTAATGCAATGTCTAATAACATTTATATTAAATTCTGACAAGGGTTTTACTGGACATACTGAGTCCAGGAGTCACCTAAACGCACCTGCTATCCCCCCAGTTTGTGTGAATGTTATACCAACATATTTGCATTGATATTTTCAACAAAAATGCACACTGTTACTCTACCTTTTCCATGTTGTCCATGCGATCCACTAGCTTATTGGTAATGGAGTGCAACTTGAGTAGATCCATCCCATAGAAGGAGCCCTCCAGCAGCTCCAGGATGGTGGAAAGCTAAAATGATGAAGTGGATTCTGTCAAAAGGCTTTACTAATTCAGACATGACATTCTTAAAATAGGTTTATGCCAAGCCAATCCAAACTTTCTGGATCAAGTGTGGGACTATCCCTTCCTGAATTAGATCTAACATGATATTCATAACTCCAGTGATCCATAACTCTATAGAAACCAACAGGTGGGCTAAACAGCAGCTTTCAGCCTATGGGCGCTGCAGCGTGGGAACATATTTGTATCGGTGGGGAATGGAGCAGACGACACTTCACCTTGACATTCTCTTTCCCAGCCTCTCTAAGTCTTTTCAGCCTGTACTCCCCCTCACACGGGTTGACTGCTGACGGAGGAGCGATGCAGGCGCACTTGCACTCTGGTCCAGATGTGATAGTCTCCACGGTGTAAAAGTCCTGCGCGGTGGCGCTCCCTTCTTCTAACCGCCGGCAGGCGCTCCTGCTCAGGGGTCTGACAACACATTTACACCGACAGTCAGCGCCTTCCGAGAGGGCTTTCACTTTGTCATAATCTCCCAGCAGCTACAAAGAGAAGAGCACGAATGTATTTTCCACCAATATCAATCAAAAACTTTTACGCACGAAATTATAAAATGTTCATAGAACAAAGCACATTGATATTTCCTCCTACCTTAGACAGGATGCTCTCCTGGCCAGCTATCTCCTCCTGCAGACCCTCATTTTGCTCTACCTCGAATTCTGACCTGGGATCTGCACCCAAGATCTTTGGCGCTGCAGAGCACCATGGAAACAACGCACAGCACATGACGATGATAATGCATAACTTATACATTGTGAGGCTCACAGAGCACCGACAAAAAGAAAGAAAAATGTTGCAAGTATGCAAGCAGGCACAGCCTGCCTGTTGCAAATCACTTTAGCTGCCAACACGACTGCATAGCCTACTTCTGGCTCCAAAATCAGACAGGTGTATCCAGAAAAGCCATCAGACTGAGGGATTAAGCTTTATAGCGCGAGGCCATCCTGTCCATCGTCGGTGATCGCAGGTCAGTGTGGAGAGAGAGCAGCCGGCATCTGCAGCGGAGTGGCGGCAGGAGGCGGACCTGATCCCCGCGAGGAGGAGTTCAACTGCATAAGCCACCTCTCTGATATAAAACCCAAATGTGAATATCAGACAATAACAAAACAAAAAACACTAAACATTTGAAACTCACCTTGATTTGTATTAATGATTCAACTTAATATGTAAGGTCTTCAAGCATATTTCGAGGTCAAATACAAAGTAACCTGGTACATAGTGATGAGATTCCCAGCAGCAAAGTCTGAGCTGTGGTTCTGCCGCCCTCTAGCTGCAACACGGTTCATTACAATGACAACAAATCAAGTATTTGAAATTACCTGTTTATTTGCACTTTAAGGCACATTCAATGTTTGCAATTATTTCCAAGACAAGTCTTCCTGTAGTGTGACACACGTAAAGGTATATTAAAAAATAGATTCAGTTAAGGCATGTGGTGCCATGTAGGTTTGAGGATTGCAGAAAAATACATTTGTGGTGAACATTTAAAAAAAACCTGTGTTGTGAATCGGAAAGAAAAGCGCTGTTTAATCAACAAATGCCCGAGGCGAATCACTTCTTATTCTACAAGCAATCAATCTAACTACATTTGATAAGATTAAAGCACCACAGCCTTATTGTCAAACAATGTTGACCCCAATTTATTTTACAAATAACCAATAACATTATCTTCATAATATTGTAAATATTCTTCTTGATACTTTCATCTGTGTTGATATTTAATATAAATTATGCAAGAAACATTTCGGTCTTTAAAACACTGCTACTAGCCTCAGAATGTCACGCAGTGAGACATGTGGTGATATTTGAGTGCTTAGACTAAAAGTTCCACAGTGTCTGTTTATTCCCTTAGCACCCTTCACGTTCAATCCTTCTCTCTGCCACCACAGGCAGGATGAGATGAGAAATACGACTCCACAGTCCACTGTACTTGTCGAGGTCCATCCTGTCGAAAGCAACAGGATGGCCGTCAGAGAGGAACTTCTTCTGGAGATGGTCGTCCACCATCTCCTCCACAGTACACAAACGAGCCTCGGCGGGGATCTCCTCTTCCTCCCCCAGCAGCACTGTGAAGATCAGACAGGTCTTCTTGTAGGCGGCGTTCTCATGGTCGCAGTAGCGATAAAAAATAAGCGTGGAGCCTGGGGGCAGCTCCTCGAAGCGGTTAATGACGGCTACGGGTTTGTCTCCTTCGAAGGCTCCCTGCAGCTTGTTGTCGATGTCCAGCTTCACCTGGTCGCTGTCTTGGCTGGCTCTGCTGGCTCCGTCGATGTGGAGGACGGAGGCGTTGAGGGAGGTGGAGAAGGCGGCGGCCAGGCTCTTAGCCAAGCAGGTTAGAGTCCGCTCAGCCCCGTGTCCCGCGGTGAGGATCAGGCTCACTGGCTCGGTGGGCTGGGCCATCAGCAGGTGCCTCAGCAGGTGGATCTTGCTCCTGTCCCAGAGCACCTCACGCTGGTTAGGGAACCGAGTCTTTACTTTTTCCAGCTGCCTGAGGAAGATGTCTATCTTCTGCTCATCTTTTTTCTGAGGCGGCATCTCGGGTTCGAAGACATACTGTCCCAAGATGGCGACACATAACACCGCTAAAGCTAACATCAGGTAGATTCCAACTCCTGTGAAGAGAAGGCACATGTGTTGTGTCAATGAGTTGTTAATAAGTTACTCAAAATTGTGTGTCAAAAAATACATGCAATGTGAAAAAAGACAATCACTGAGAAAGTAAGGTCTCGTAAGGAACTTGTGTTTTACTTTTGTTATTCGCTCAGTTAGTAAACCCCCAATGACACTAAAAAGGAATAAGAAACAAGGTTACCTCCAGAATTTCCCTTAACCCCTGGAACTGTAGATTCGGCATCATCACTCTCCTCAGTGTTCGGGCCGATGGTTTCAATATTTTCCTGAGGACAGTCTTTTCTCTCCGGTATATCCTCTTCCTCTTCAGGAGCTAAAACGTCCTTTGTGACGCTTCGATCATCTGACAAATGAGGAAAAAACTGGTTAAAATGTAACTAAAAAGACACCCGCACAGCTGATAGTCACTTGGCAGCTATACGTCATGCTTCCTCACTGGCTTTATCTGTTGTGTAAGACTAGGAACGACAAGACAACAGCAGTTGAAAGTTATGGAAAGATATAACACATCAGACTCACTGTCTCCAGCTTCAGGATGTGGGTTGTTAGTGTCTGGGCTTTCTTCTCTTGGTCCATCTACTTGGTCGTCCTTTCCTTCACTGAGAGTAGGCGGGCTTATCGTTTCTGATTCTTTTTTCTCCCCAGTGTGGTGTTCTCCTGATACAATTAGGAAAGATTAACATACTCAGCAATATTCAAGTCAGTTTCTTTACAGTTGTGTGGGGTATAACAAAAAAAGGTCCAGTGTGATCATCATGAGAGCTGCCTTTTTAATCTTACATTATTTAAGACTGGAAAAGATATCAACTTTTAGCTCAAACCTGAATATAGCAAGGGCATTAACACTATTAAGCAGCTACTGAATAAAGCACTACAAGCAAATACCAACACCATACTACGACTGAAGGTTTGTATAAAAACATCCACAACAAGTGGAGGACCCTGGAGCTTACAGTAGGAAAAATAACTGCTATAAACAAAGCAATCGAATAAATACATGCCAAGGATGGTTAAATCAGTGCAGGTTACCTATTGGCTAGCCTGCACTGATTTGTGTGGGTAATTTATCTCTGTTCTGAACACATAGCTATAATTTTGCAAACCAATTACAAAAGGAAACCTTGAATGTTAAACACCTGAACTTTTGAAAGAACATCCATAACATTCATCTGGTTGTAACTTATATCGATATTCCAATTAATTTTATATAGACTATTCTGCACAATTTCTATTATATTCTATTTTATTTTATATACTTGCACTATTATCTGTTTTATTGTGTTGAACTGTTGGAGGAGCCTGTGACCTAAGAATTTCATTGTCATAACTACACTGTTGCTATGTACCAAGCCTTGAATCCTTGAATCCTTGAATGTAAAACATATGCAACCACAGAAAATATTATTGCTATTACAAAGCAAAAAAGGACTTCAGCATTTATATATCATAGTTCAACAATATTTCCGAGATGATTTTTTAATGGCAAATGCAAGTGGGAACGTCACCTCATTGCACATAATGAAACACACTACAAGTACTTCATAGAGCACGCAGTAAATTGACTATAAAAATAAAAACGTTTACACACTACTCCTAATGGCACTTGTTAGAGGTTTGTATCAAGCTTTCCCAAACGTGAGTAATATGTCTCTTAACGTGTGACTACAATGGATAATGAAGTCAGAATGACTTGTTATGACCCTTAGACAGGAACACTCACTGGACTTCTCCTCAGCTGTTGAGGTCGGTTGCTCATTTCCTGGTGTCTTTCTGTTGAAATCACCACAACTTCCTTCATCAGCCTGAAGTGGGGTTCTGTTCTCCGTCACATTCAGTGATGTGCCTTCATCTGGAGGCGCCATCTGATCTACAGCCGCAGCACTGTCTGTAGACAAATACAGAAATCAATTGTAAATAATTGTTATGAGTTATACTGTAGTCTAACTGGACGTCTAATGTTTCAAATTCCGCTCTATCGCAAAGTACTATAAGGTCTGGCAACCGTTTCTGTCCTACTTTGAGAACGAATTCTCTGACATTAAAACAACGTAGCCAACCCCCCCCCCCCCCCTTTGTTTTATTTATTTATGTTTTCATTTTTACTCTTGTACCATGTAGTTTTTTATTTAATAATTTATGTTTATTTTGTATATACCTATTTTGTATCTCTTCTGGATGTCAATTGATATTTTGTATACTTTCTGTGTGTGCTGTACTTTTGAGTGTTGAGCGCTGCTGTTTGTTATATGTGGAAAATCAATACAAATATTTGAATAATAATATTTCAAATTCCTACCTAACCTGACCTGTTTGATTTTCATTCCAGATCTGGTATATGTTCAGCCCTGTTTGCTTTTTTCTTAGCATACTTTTTGCATCAAATTCATTTGCAAATCCTTCCCATTGATTGTTGTAGATGACACATTAAGACTGATAAACTACTGTGACAACATCGGGTTCAGTGCAGAAACAATACTCACCATGTACACACTACACAGTGTTTTATGTCATAAATGTTTGTTTTTTAAATACTTTTGGAGGAAAATAAACACTGACATGATGATATGATATAAATAAAACCCTAATACATGGTTTTTACGTTAGAGACCATATGATTAGCACAGTAGATGCATAAACCCATTTGTAAAATACAAATCGATGACATAAATGCATTACTTTTGACATTGCTTGCGCATTTTACCTTGTGAGAGTTGAGCCTTTTTATTTGGATCGGTCACTTCCTGTTTGTTGTCGAATGATGAAACCTCTTGATCCGATTTAGCCTTAGTTTCTTCTTCCTTGCCTCCTGATAAAAACATATAAATAACACAACGTGTCAATTTAAACTACATTGTAAATGTTTTGTAAATATACTATTCCATTATAACTGATATTTGGACTTTGTCATTTGGTGTTTATGTACCTTCTGTGTGTTTCTCTGCCATGTCTGTGGGTGGAGGCTCTTTACTCAAAGGTTGGTTCAATGCTGCAAGACAGACAAGTGTATACAGCACTTGTTTTTATTATGCCAATGCCTGAACAGGTTTATCGGTTTTGTTCACATCCTTGTCACATGTTCAAAGTCTCAAGGTATGTAGTTACTGTCAAAAGGGAGCGGCTAAGGGCAGTCACTTTTTTCTCTTTATAACATTTAAATCTTCCCTTGTTTTCAATTAACAGTGGTTTGACTCCATAACATATCAGGCTTCCAATTGTAAAAACTGTTAGCACTTAAAAAAATAATTAACCTACTGTTAAAACTCAAAGTTGAAAACATTGAAAAGTCTGTTTTGAGTACTGAATAACATCTGGAGGGTACATTTAAACTGAATTTGTTGTGTTCTAGCAGACACTGTAAGCAAACCGATAATAGTTGTTAATAGGGCAGCTAGCAAAACTTGCTCAACAGTAATGAAGCTAATGGAATATATGTACGAATATTCAAATGTAAACTGTTGATAGTCCATTAAAGAGTTTAATGTGCAAATCAAACAGGAATTGGGAAATTATGTAAATGAAACACTGATAATAAACTAGAGTTGTTAGTCTCTAGGTGTGTAGCTGCAGGTAATGAAGCTGAATCTTGTTAGGTGAGACAGACACAATATTAAGTTGGTTCAGAGGATGCAGGGACATATTTGGTAAATACACATTACATGATTAGATTATTTTTGACCTTGCTTGCATATCTTACCTTTTGAGATATTCTGCTTTTCATCAGGATCTCTCTCCTGTTTGTAGTTACGTGGTAACACATCAGGATCCAATATAGACTGTTTTTCTTTTTCCTTCCCTTCTGATAAAAACAAATCAATGATGAACTATCATGTACTGGTAAGTGTAAACACTGTTGTATATGTATGTAAATATTTTAGCCCACCATAACTAATATCTGGCCTTTGTCATTGGTGTTTCAGTACCTGCTGTTTGCTGGTGATCTGGGTCTTGCTCTGCCATGTCTGTGGATGGGGCAACTTTACTCGAAGGATGGTTCAAACCTGCATTGAAATAAATTGGTATATAGAACGTTTGTTGTTATGGTAAAACCGGAGTACATTTATTAGTTCTTGACAGATTAGAAAGTCCAAAGTCTTTAGTGAACCTGCCAACGGGTAGCTTTAATATTCGTTTCTGGTTTCTCTTTAAAGCAAACTCCCCTTGTTTCAATTGCATTCATTGAATTAATTTAAACATAGACATAGGAGACGACTTAACTTTAAGTGCGTTGGTAACATTAACCTCTACCAAAGGTTGCCTCTTGTAAGCTATGCCCACACTTCAGAGAGAAATTAATGGTCACTTTAGTAAGACTTTATCTCTGGCACTAGCTTATACCTCGTCATATACTGTACATATATCTGCTTGCTTTGGAAATGTATTGATAACATTAGGCCAATTGTTTGTTATAACCAAGGTCTGTATAAAATAGGTAATAACCTGCCCAGGGACTACACATGTACATTAGCTAAAAAGCTAACTCAGGTGCATTGGTACACAATAATGACTAGTGTGCAGTGCACTCTCCCTGGTCAATTAATAAATAACACGCAAAGCTTCCGATAAGATGAGACAGCACATACAAACACAAACAATTTACTTTTGAAACTCGAAGTTGGAAAAACGTAATATCTGTTTCGAGTTCACCGCGAGTTGCTAAATAATATCTGGTGGCTAATTGCTACTGAAATTGCTGTAAAACTACCGACATTTTTACGTTAAAATATAGTTAGCTAGTTAGCAGCAATGTTAGCAGCTTAGCTTGAAACACAACTAATAGAAACCTTTACGTACGAATATTTAAAATTACGTCAACCGTTGAGTAACTCTAGCTAGCTAACCAGTGACAGAGAGATGCTGGCTTATGTGGTTTACAAAACAGTTAGCAACATGATACGTGGATATAGCTGCCGTCGTGTAACTTAAATTACCTACATATATGTTTAATAGTTTAATCTAATTACTCATTCTAAAAAAACGTACCTGTGATCACATCTGTCCAGCAAAACACTTCCTTATACCTTGCGTTACGTCCGTCGCTCTGACAGATCACAACATTCAGGCGGAACGTTCAGCAGTGCCCATGTTTCCATGGAGATAAACAGAATGTGGCGTTTCCGGGCATCAACGGCGTACTGTCAGAAAATGCTTCCCCTGACAACTTACGGGGAAGTCCATAGTTTGTCCGTATGTGAAAGTCGTATTGACTCTCTGATGTTTTTGGCATCGCTCTTATTGTAATCATAAATGGATTCCAGGGTTTCTGAAAGTAAGGAGCCTCGCCTTCTGAGGCGATCGGTTAGGCAGTCATCGAGTAACGTTGGACGTGAGCAAACTGACTGTTGTGACAAAAAGGGTTAGCTCCGTTAGCTTAGCATTTAAAGCTAAATAACTATTAGCTGAAATAAGCTCACTGAAAGTTCAACGGCAAAACCCGTTCAATGTCTGATATTACCAACGTTAGCTGACTGAAATTGTGTGGTCGATCCTTAAACTAGGAATAGAGAGGAATGGAGCTGCACGTTTACATGTTGAAAGTTATTTCAAACTTTGTTCAATCCAACGTTCAAGTAATTGTGTTGACTCATTCCCACAATGTATTTCTGATCCTTCTTTAGCATTGGGTTTTGAACTGGCACCCAGGGAACCTCTGAAGAGGACCAGAAGAGGGTTGAAACACCAAAGTCCTGTGAAAGCTGTCAATGGGTCCAGAGATGAGGAGAGTGACTCAGAGGATGAAGGTGGGATGCTCCAACGTAGTGTTTGCCTAACGTTAGTCATACATGGTTTGTACTATCCAAGGTGGAAAAACTAATTATTTTATTTCCTATATGACAGAATCCCCGAACAAGAAGAGCCGGCTGGAGCATGGAGGAGCAGAGGACAGCTGTGGTGATGCGAATGAGATGGAGGTTCAGGAACCAGATGAAGATCAGGAGATAAATGAAGAGCAGGGAATGGATATTATACAGCAGTCCTCTCATGCCTCTCATCAAGTACAATTAAACAAAGGTTAGGTCTGTTTTTATATTCTTATATTTTTTATACATATACATACATACAGAGTTTCAATATCTCAGTCAGCCAATTAATTTTTTCATCCAATTTAAGAAGAACACAAAATCCTTCAGATGTTCCTTATCCATAAGTGACACCCTAGTAGTGTTTGCTTTGTGCAACCAATAGACAACCATTTAAACGTTTTTTTTTAAACTATAGTATAGAACTCAAAATAGCTGCAAACTCACAAAGTTATAAACATCAACCAATTTAAAATGAGTTAATATTAACCAGTTATTAAACTTCTTTAAACCTTTTTTCATGATTAACTTTATAATAAAGGGACTAGGTGTTTTAGCTTAGTGATAATCAGATGTAATTCAATTAATATTTACTTACTTTGTTATTATTTAGCTATGCAGGTGCCATCAAATGACAAAGGAGGTATCCTGGTTTACTCTGATTATTTTACTATGACGTTATTAACCTTTAATTCATAGGACTTCTTTCCACCATCAGATCTAACACAGGCAGGTTTTCTCTCTTGTTCCTTCAGGCGCCCTTGGAGATATTCATTTATCCCCGTGTGTTCTGCTCAAGGAGCTCCGCAGTCATGCTGTAAATAAAGATGCAGATTGGATAATACCTAATAAAGGTAGGAGTGGCTCCTGCTGGCATGGCATGAATGTTGGTCTCCCTGAGCTAGTTGCCCGTTATATAGCAGCCTCTGCCTCTATATGAATGAGTGAATACTGACATGCACTGTAAATGTAAAAGTGCTTTGAGAGGTCATAAACAATGGAAAAGTGCTAATTAAATGCTGTCCATATATCTATCCCCTTGTGTAGGGCTGAATGAACTCCGCAGTCCTGCTGTACATGGAGATGCAGAACGGATAAGAACAAAGACAGGTGGGAAAAGGCTTTAGCTTCATTCTGCATAGGAATGATTACATCAATGTAGGATAAAACTAATATGGCTTGTTTGTTTTTTCAATTAAATCTTCAGCAAAAGGACCTGAAGCTCCCACCAAGTCTTCCGCACAAATCAGACCACCGGTAAACAGACATGATGTGCCCATCCCGAAGATCACCAGCATGGACGAGTACAGGAAGATGATGGAAGCTAAGGTCAAAAGCACTGGTAAAAAGGACATTTTTACTCAGCCAGATTTCACAGAATTGAAAAATCATGAGGAAAGATGCATTGAGCACCTGTCCAATTGATTTACCTCTCTAAAAATAATCACATTTTTACATTAATATGTTCTAACTCCCCTTTAGGTATACCTGTAGTTAACCACTATCCCCAGAGTGTGCATCCAGCCTCGGAGAAGTCCTGCATAAGACAACGTGTGAATAATATTCCAACACAAACACAAACCGTTCAGCAGAAAAAACAAGGTATTGAAGCCTCAACTTAAAAAAAAAATCCAGTTATTAGAAACATCAAGTGTAGATTGACATGGTTGGCATTCATTTAATGACATTTCTTTCTTTTACAAGTGAAAAAGAAAACACTTGCTATCAAGAAAAGCTCTGGATATTCCTTTAGCGGTAAGATATATACATTTAACTACATCATCTTTACACCCAAAGATACTTGTTCTACATTCATTGCAGGACTTTAATATGGTCTTATTTCCTTCCAGGATTCATGTGGGGTTTATGCCGTTTTATTCTCGTGGCGCTGATCGGTTCAGCCGTCTTGGTGGCATGCAAGATCATCCCTGTAATGAAGAAGAATGCAGATGGTGAAACAACCCATTCCAGGCCCATAAAGCCGGACATTTTTGCAGATCAGCTGTCTCTTCTTCAGGCTCAGTTCCCCAGTCAGCACTCTGAGTTGTGGAGGAGAAGCAAGATCCACTTGGAGAAGCACCTGAACACAGCGCAGCCCACAGAGCCGGTCAGTCTGATCTTTACTGCCGGCCGCTGGGCTGAGAAGACCCTGACCTGCCTGGCTCGGAGTCTGGCCTCCTCGTACTCCTCGGCCCTCAACGCCTCCGTCCTCCACATCGACGGAGCCAGCAGAGCCAGCCAGGACAGCGATGAGGTGAAGCTGGACATCGACAACCAGCTGCGAGCAGCGTTTGAAGGAGATAAACCCGTGGCCGTCATTCATCGCTTCGAGGAGCTGCCTCCAGGCTCCACGCTCATTTTTTATCGCTACTGTGACCATGAGAACGCCGCCTACAAGCGCGTGTTTTTGTTGTTTACTGTGCTGCTTCCTCAAGATGAGATCATTGGGGACCAGAGTCTGAAGGAAGTGGAGGAGATGGTGCTAGAGTACGTCAAGGAAAAGCTGATTAGCTCCAGCAACCACGGTTCTTTCAATGACATGGACATAGACAAGTTTGGTGGACTGTGGAGCCGCATCTCCCATCTCATCTTACCTGTGGTGTCTGAGAAGGAAGTAGAGCAGAAAGGATGCTGAAGACTCGAAGAAGTCAGAATTCCATTTTGGATCAGCCTGATTCTTCCTTGGACCGTACATTAGCTATGAGACAGAGAAGTAACTTGTAAATATAATGTGTGTTGTTACATTTCACATATAACCTTGAGTTCTAATGTTTGAAGGTTGTTTTAATCTCTCCGTCAGCAGTATAAGGTTGAAGAACTGCTCATGTTGTCCAGCACTGAGTTTTTACAAATGCGTACATGTACAAGCTTTTGAATAAGGATATGTACCATCATTTCATTTCCCAAGTAGGTTAGGAAATGCTCTCATCCAGGTTTAGTACAATATGTTTGATTGATTTGTTTTCTCCTTGTTCTGTGTCATTAATTGTTTCAACAGCACTTTGTTCCACATCTTTTTAACCCATCTAAGAAGAGTATCTAGTGAAAGATCAGCGTGGATTGCACTTCTTTGGATGGATAGAAAATGTTTGTTTGAGGTGTTGATTCATATTTCTTGTTTTGTATCAAATCTCTCATGCAACTGCTGGCTCACATTATATATCTGTTAAATGTCCCCATGGAGATGTGTTTCCCATTGTTCATTTAATTTTCTTGTGTACACGATTGGATTTGCACTAAAATCTTTGCTTTAATGATTCTTCTTATCAAGAGTGCTGGCTTTTATTGGGATAAATATTTTTAATTCCTTTTTTCCCTTTTTTTCTGATATTTATATTTGTGATATTTTGTCTCTTTCTAGATTGAAATATTTTTTGATAGCTGTATATATATTTTGAATATAAAAATATTTTTCTTTGCTGTCAAAAAACCACTGAGATGGTTTTACAACGTTGTCAATCACAGGTTATTACTGGGGGATTTTAATTTGTATTAATTTAATTGATTTAAAAACAAAACAGTAAGTCACAAAATGTGCCTTAATAACTCAAATGTAGAAGGTAAGAAAATATTTGAAATAAATAAATGATTTGATGCTATATCCTGACAACTTCAAAGCAGGCTTCTCACTGAAAGATTGCAAAGTTAAATTTCCAAATACAGGAACGTTTTTTTTCTTTTCTTCCTGTGTATTATTCTGATTAATTCTGTTTTGCTCACATGTACATGTGTCTATTTTCAATAAAGATTATTTTGATAACTAGAAGAGTTCATAATTAATGAATTTCACGGTTTGTTTCCTTTTTGTTTGCCCAGTTTTTGAATGCTAAAAGTCCGACCCTGGTGAAATGTGTCTTTATAAGAGTTGAAGAGCACTTGGAGTTTGTTATGTCTACTATGACTGAGAATATTAACCTGCTTTTGTTAATCATTTGTGCTAAAGGGAAAGTCCCGCAACACGTGTTCATTTTCCAGCTTGGAACCAGGAAGTTACAACTGTAAAACACTGCAGGAGTTCAATCATTTATTAAGAGGATAAGATGTAAGACTCAGTACTAAAGACCGCTTATGGATTTAATTTATGATGCTCAAGAGTTAATACAAAAGTAAAAATGCAACACTTTCAGTAAGAAACAAGGAAGGTAACAGAAGTTGTATTATTCCAGTGAAACTCAAAAGTCTTGGTCAAGGTTTACTTATTGTGTGAGTCATCTACTTAATCGTGGGTAAACATGAGGTGGGTTACCTTCAAACGAATCGTAAAAATCAAGTCATTTATGAATCATGCATTTTTTGTTCAAGTATTTTTGTTAAACATGTTCACATAACAAGTTAGTCCATCCATTGACAGTTTACCCTGTGAGAAGAGATTTGTATTTATGTGTGTCTGTCTTTCTGCACCCTGAAGGTTAGTTCAATCGGCCATACTGCACACCTAGATTTTAAAGGGGACATATTTTGCTCATTAATTGGTTCATGGTCGTACAGTTTTGTGGATTTCTACACAAACATGTTTACATGCTATATTGTTCAAAAACACATTATTTTTCTCACACTGTCTGTCTAAATATACTTATTTTAAAGGTCCCATGTCATGCTTTTCCGGTTATTACCCGTCCCCTTGTGTGTTACAGTATGAAGGTTTTTATGCATGTAAACAGTCTGCAGAGTCACAAACCCTCAAAGTACACCCTGTAGCGAGTAAAACTCTAACACAGAAAAGACCTGTCTGTGCTGCCCCAGAACGCCTCGTTGGAGATTTCTCTTTTTCTTCGTATAGTGACGTATTTGGGTATAGTGACGTAATGTAACGTAACGGCCGCGGACTTCCTCACCCACACACACTCGGCGGGACGTTGCGAGGCTCGCTACTGCGAGGAGCGGACAGTGTGAACTGGCTCACTGATGTGGGGTCTGCGAGACAGCAAGACACCGCGCAACTCAGCCTGAGCACACACACAAACTCCCAGCCATGCTGCGGGTGTGTGTGTGTTTCGGGCTGGGTTTCGCTGTGTCTCGCTGTCTCGCAGACGGCCACTGGGCTCACAGGGAGGGGGGGGGGGCAGGAGCTCCAACAAGCCGTTTAGGACAGAGAGTGAATACACCAGATATGCTGTATGAGAAACCAATGAGAGTTTGGAAAATTGCACAATATAAATCTATTTTAGTATACCTCAACAATGGAATTATGATCAGTAGAAATGGCCATGACATGGGACCTTTAACACACTGTCTTCTCTAATTTGCTTGCGATAAAAATTGCATGATACTCCGCGAGCTGCTGGTGGAGGTACTCTGATTGTTCTGACCTACACAGCCCAGACAAATTCAATGTGTTGTCTTATTTTACAGTTTGTAAATTGGTAGGCCCACCAGATTCCCAGGCTTGGATGCGCTAGCGCTAGTTTTCACTACGTGTACCCCTCATACAGGGACGAGTCCTATATGTAAACATTAAGTCTAAGTGATCTGCATCACTTTAAACCAAAGTGATGAACATTTTGATTATATTAAGACAACTTATATAGTATTTCAGTCAGACAACTTGCGTGTTCTTAATATGTTTATTATAAGCAGCATATAGTTTGAGTTTGGCGTCTAGGCTCGGAACGGGCCGTCGTCAGGGGGCCGCAGAAAGCAGGGTCGCAGCGTTGCGACGTCGGGACGGGCGTGAAAAACCCGGTGGTCCCCAGCAGGGAGGAGCGCTGCCCGGCCGCAGGCGAAGGCACAGCGGCGGCGGGTACGAAGTCCTCGGGAGGAAGGAGCCGTGTCCCCGGGAGGAAGAAGCCGTGGACAGGGGAGAGGCCAGACGGGGCGGCGTCCGAAGCCGCCGTCGGGGCGAACCGTGAGCCGCGGTTAGAGGAGAGGCCAGGCAGGGTCCAGAAGCGCGCCACCCAAGGGCCGATGAAGGCATGGGCGACGTCCGAAACCGCCGAGGCGAGGGAAGAGGCCAGACAGGGTCCCGAAGCGCGCCACCCACGGGCCGATGAAGGCATGGGCGACGTCCGAAACCGCCAAGGCGAGGGAAGAGGCCAGACAGGGTCCCGAAGCGCGCCACCCACCCGCAGCCGCATGTCCCGAAGAAACAGCTCCATGAGGTAGAAGACGGGTTCCTCCATACCTAGCAGGTCGCGGGAATGGCGAGCGACGTCCTCAGCCATTCCGTGGGGCGCACCGAGCCTCAGTCCGTGTGGCAACCACGGACGTCTCCAAGAATCTCCGGCATTTCGAGAAAAACAGTGTTTGTTTTTTGCCGTGTTCGGTTCAGTCTCGGATCCTTCGCGAGACATCACGTTGGGGTCACCAATGTAGTGCCGAGAGATAGGGAGTCGGAGGCGGTGGAATGAAGGTACGAAGTTAGCTTTAATGAGCAGCAGAAACGCACATGTTGTTGGGTCGCAGCCCGGGAAGACAAGAGAAAGCGAAAGGGAGGGCACGCAGTAAGTACCAACAACATGTATGTCCGTGTGGAAACAGTACCCCCAACCTGTAGTTCCATGATTGGATTATGTAACCCCGGTGTATGAATCAGTGATCACTACAATATATGGTTAATATTTTCCCTTTTACATTTGTTAGATCACATTAATGAATTAAAGTGCTAATTGTTTTTTTGCCCGCTGACCGGCTGGTCCTGTGGCTCGTCTTTTTTTTGTAACTAGCTGATGCTCAATCTCATCCTCTTCTTCAAAGTCACTGTCAGACTCAGAATTCTCAGAAATCTGAAACCTCTTCCTCTTCCTCTACATCATCATCAAATGGTTCTCTCTCCTCCAGAATCATCTGCAAGGCCCTCTGAGCAGAGAATCTTTTGGCCATCTTGATCAGTTGTGATAAGGACCCAAACTGGCGAAGCTTTATTTATTTTGTCTTGCCCCAAATTTGCAGTTTGGATAGTGTGAAAAAAATACACATTGGTGGTCATTGAAAATGTGTTCTGATATATGTTCTTCACAGAAAATGAGCCAAGGCCATTGAGGGTTTGACTTTTTTTTTTATCAAATCATTTTTCTTTAGCTAAATAATGAAAACGGGTCCCACAGACCCGAATACCATACAAGGGTTAAAGAGTACTATTTAGTAAATGTTCATCTGATTGATTTACCTTTGCCCTTCAACACAAGGGAAAATGTGAGTCATTCGTTATCATTTAATACCATCTATGTTTATTACTGTAATACAGTACATCAGATTATATCAGTTGTATCATGAGAGAAGCACATACCACACAGTTACTGATGATCTCACAGTAAAACCTCCCTTCAGAGGACTTGCCTGGTACGAGGAGATACATAACTACAAAAAAAAAGTAAATATCTGAAGTTTGAACGTGCTGTCTGTCTAATCTCTGATAAGAAATATCAGGGCCTAATTTATTAAACTAACCTTGGAAAATGAAAGCGCTGAAACAATTTTTGCTTTTTGAACATGCTGGCTTTATTTTGAGACCAGATTCAACACCATGATAACATTTGAGTATTTTTTTATTTAGAAAAAGATAAATAGATTTATTTTAGGTCAGTATACAAACATATTTTACTGTAACACATGCACAACACACAGTGAAAATGTGACTCTAGACTGCATTTAACCCATCCAAGTATTACAATCATTGGGCAGCTACTTTAAGGTGCCAGGGGAGCAGTGTAGGGTTCCTTGTTTTGCTCAAGGGCACCTCAGCAGTGTCCAAGAGGCGAACTGGCACTTCTCCAGGCATCACTCCACAATTGGTACTGAGTCCTTTTCGGGACTTGAACCAGCAAGTCTCCATTTCCCAGGCCATGTCTCATTGGCATTTTTATGAATTATTATATATTTTATGAAATATAATTAATAACTTTCAAATGTCAGTCAATCAAATTCAAATTACAAACCCAATATTATAAATGACAAATGTTCCTCGTTGCCTTGCACTCTGTACAGCATTCTGGGAATGGACCCTCCCTTCCAAAAACAAAAAACTACCCTAAAAATAACCCTGGTTATCTGAAGAAAAAGGGAGAAAACTTCAGGAAGGCAAGTGAAGAGGGATCCATCTCCCAGGACGGACACATGTGAATTACATAATAAAGCTTGATGCCCAGGGCTACTTTTCCTAACACCAAAATATCCCAAAAGAGACCGCAAAAGCAAAACACAAGTTTCCAACGCCGAGGATTACTTGGACAGCGATCACAATCACTGCTGCTGCACTGAGCTTCTTCTGAAATGTAGAGGTACAGTGGTAAATACCTGATCAAGTTGCATTTGTATGTATGATTAATGTACGATTGTTAATGAAAAGTTATTAAGACATGGTATTTTGTCATGATGTGGACAGGCGCTGACCTTTTTTCTTTCGTTTCTGTTTTTGGAACTCCCTGTAAAAGAAAATAGTGACATACGTTATATTTTCTTCTTCAAAAGAATCCATTCTGTATTAATGCGTGGTATTATAATCTTTTTAAATGTATACAACTAGTCATTTACCTATTTTGCTTCCACCCAGTATGGTTTTTCTGTGAATACTGCTTATATATACCCATATTACAAACAGGAGAATCCACACTGTGTAAGCCATCATCACTTTCACTGGCCAAGAGTCCTCCCTTTCCTTTCCACAGTTGTTAAACTCCAAAACACCTAGAAAAATGGTAGCGGCTGTGGAGAAAAGAAAATGTAAATCAGAACAACACATAGGCAGCTGTCTGAAGAGTTTATGCAAGGATCATAAGTCAAAAACCCTCAAAGTACACCCTGTAGGGAGTAAAACTCTAACACACAAAAGACCTCCCCAAAACGCCTCGTTGGAGATTCCTCATTTTCCAATGTTTTCTTCCTGGGTATCGTGACGTAGGGATACCCAGTAGCCACGCCCAGAGCTATGGCCGCACCCTCTGCCAGCCGAACATATATACTGTTGGAAGCTCAGGTTCAGTTCAAAACTGTATCCAGTCATGCCAACGAGGGTCTGTTTCCTGTCTTGTGAGGGGAAATCTTCAATGTATGCCTTACCGTGGCAGAACTACGACGAAGTCAGTGGTTGACATTTCTTGTTAACACTGTTCCTTCAGATGTTCGAGCTGGTATTGTACTGTGTGCGCGGCATTTCATGGACCAAAGCTTCGCAAACATTGCAGCGATTCCTGCCGGATATGCACAGCGTAGGACACTGAAGGATGCTGTTCCTACTCTATTTGGACCAGCGGGAGATTCGGTACACAACCTGTAAGTATGCATTGTTGTTTGTGTATTTATGATGTTTAAAACAAACAAGGTATCTACCACGACTGTTTAAATTGGTAAACGTTTTTCGGACTGCTAAGCCATTGACACAGTGCTAACTGGGCTAACTAAGTTGCTAGCGTTTCCATATATCAACTCCAATGTCAGCAGATGGCCTTACATGTATCTCATAGCAGGAGAATGTCTTCATTCACACACAAAATACTCATAGACAGTATACTCCGGGTGATTTACCGTACGGTAAGTCGCGAAACTTAATTACATTATAGTTGGCGTTCCTAGCGTGTATGCTACCGAGCTAAACAAGAAGGCTACCAAGAGCTAGACATGCTAGGGAAAACATTGTTTTTATGCCAGCTGGCAAGCTAACGAACCTAAAACAACTAAGTGTCTCTAATATTTTGTGATTTGCATTTGATTTCGTCCAGCCAGATCAGGAAACTCCTGGCGTATCCGGCGGACAACACATGACGGGATGACCACTCTGATGCCTCGTCCTAAAAAGCCCCAGCACCAGCTTACAAAGCTGCAATAAGCAAGATGCCGAAAACGCCTATAAGGGGAGGAATGGATGATATACAGTGTATGTATATTTACACATGTTCATTTTGTACATTTCTAAAAATAAAGTTGGATGGAAATACTTAGTAGCCTTTCTTCCCTGAATTATTTGCTCCAATAACATATCATTTTGATGTTCCGCTCAGAGCCGAAAAAAAGCACTGTGTTAGACATGGGCGGAGCCTCTCTGGTGGTTGACTAATCAGAACAGAGTGGCCGAGCTGACCAATCGGAGCACACTGGGCTCACAGGGAGGTGGGGGCAGGAGCTCCAACAAGCCGTTTAGGACAGAGAGTGAATACCGGTGAATACACATACTATACAGAAATGCTGTATGAGAAACCAATGTGAGTTTGGAAAATTGCACAGTATAAATCTATTTTAGTAGACATCAACAATGGAATTATGATCAGTAGAAACGGCCATGACATGGGCCCTTTAAGATATTTTTGGGAAATTGTGCTTAATTGAGTCTCCAGACCATGACAAAAGCTGGTACACTCAGCATTAGCTGGCCATGTCCAATGGTCCACCTGCTAGCTCGTCTACAACTGAGTAAGTATGATATGAAAGGAACATTTGTAAGTTTTAGGGGTGTTGGTTGGAGAATTTTGTAACATTTAGATCAAAACAGGCTACCTGTTTCACCCTGTTTTAGGTAGTTGTGCTAGGCTATGCTAACTAGCTGTTAGCTTTTGCCATTAAGGATATTTACTGGATAGGCTATGTACGAGAGTCATTTTGTACTGTGATATACAAAACAAATTATGGTAATCTCCTTTGATTGTTGTATTTGGCTCAAACTGTCCAAAAAAGGCACAAAACAAGTGTCCAGGTCATGTATGCTTGAAGTGAAGATTATGCACTGCCCACACACAGACTTTAGCGGTATTTGTTGGATTAAGTAAAATACCCAAATGTTCCACAAACTGTGAATTGGCAAGAATGCATATAAGCGTATTTCCCAAAATGTCAAACTATTGCTTTAAAGTCATTTAAAAAGTGTTCTCAGATAGGTAAGTGAATGCAGTAAAGTAGGTTTACAGTATCTGTTAACATTTTGTAAATATACACTTACTTGTAAAAATACAGTGGATGACAGAACACACTTTGATGGTAAGCTCACTGATCTCCTTTCTGGAACCGAACAAAAGACAAACACAAACAGCTGTGCATAAAAGTGTTGATGAAAGGGTAAAGTCAAATATTCATGCAGAAGAAGTCAAGAGGAAGTTGGACTTACAGTTCATGACTGGGTTCAATTCGGAGACAGACGATAAACAGCTCCATGAAATTAAAGTCTATTGCAACACACACTAGAGCAATGAAAAGGCCCTAAACATGCAGACAGATCGCACACACATTAAATAGTACCTATACAGTTTAAATGTGGATGTAGATATGTAGAATTGTTGTAAATCATGAACTATGTCTCACGTTAATGGGATCAGCCAAAGAAAACAAGACCAAGGCAGGTATCTCCACGGCTGCACAAAGCACACGGCTTAATATCTTCACCTACAAAATAATTCAAATTAACTTTCAATTATTGTAATTAATTAATAGTATTCACTTAGGGTTTATTTTTAAAGGCACAGATACATAACGGAAACTTGCTTAGCCAATTTCTCCATAATATTTAAAGCCTATTCTGATTTGTAATGCTTGTCTCAGTATATGGGCTTTTAAATTCAATTACATTTTTTAAAGGACATACCTAAAAGTGAATAAAAATAAATGCACAAAACAATAAACAGAAAATACATATGACCAAAAACGACATAAAATCTGTACAATACAACGAAACCCCAGTTTTTTTTCCCCTCCAAAAATCGTCAAATGTAATAACATTCTGTAGTTACCTCTCTATATAGTTTAAATTGCTCATTTAAGCACTAGATCCAAATGACCTACCTACCGATGCACAAAAGAGTCACAGAAAACAACACAAGCCCTAAAACTCACAGGATACCTTATTTAGATGATGCAAACGGGGTCCGTTGATGAGAAGAGTTATTAACAAAGGCAGTTCCTGTGGAGAGATGCAATGAGACAGGAATTCATCTTCTGCTATAATTTTTTTTACCAGGTGGCATAAATTAATAACAATCATACCGTTTTGACGGCCACCAAAACACTGTCAGCAATCATCAATACAGTAGCCGGTTCCTGAAGAAAAAACAAGAAAGGTGTGGAGCTGTGTAAATGCAGATATTGATATTCATTTATTAATTAATAGATTTCCACACAATAAAAAAAAGCTCAATCGAATCGTCCTTCTGTGTCCATGCTTACCTGTAATTTAGTTACATTTGTAGCAATTGGCGTTGTAGTACTTGTAGTAATTTGAGTTGTAGTAATTGTAGTAGTTGGAGTTGTAGTAATTGGCGTTGTAGTACTTGTAGTATTTGGAGTTGTAGCAATTGGCGTTGTAGTACTTGTAGTAGTTGGAGTTGTAGCAATTGGCGTTGTAGTACTTGTAGTAGTTGGAGTTGTAGCAATTGGCGTTGTAGTACTTGTAGTAATTTGAGTTGTAGTAATTGGCGTTGTAGTACTTGTAGTATTTGGAGTTGTAGCAATTGGCGTTGTAGTACTTGTAGTAATTTGAGTTGTAGTAATTGGCGTTGTAGTACTTGTAGTATTTGGAGTTGTAGCAATTGGCGTTGTAGTACTTGTAGTATTTTGAGTTGTAGTAATTGGCGTTGTATTACTTGTAGTAGTTGGAGTTGGTGCAATTGGCAATGTAGTAGAAGTTGTTGTTGGTGCGGGCAACTTGACCACAAAATCCACTCGTTCCCAGAAAGTGTCAAAATACTGAAGAAATGTGGCTCTGCAACATATCAGGGATGCAAAGATATAAATATCAATCATTGTGCTCCATGTGGAAGGCCTAATATTGAATCATGAAGGACAGTCAAAGTGTGCAAATACCTAAAAGTGTAGTCCAAGTTTTCTTCCGGCGCCGTCCAGTTTACTGCAAACACACTCTTTTCTGAACTGAATCTTTGACTAACAGCGTTGTCCTGAGGCGAGAGGAGAAGAGTAAAGCATCCAGAAGTAGCTTTATAGGGTTCATTTAAAAGTGTTAATGAAATAGGATTGGAGATAATGATGGTGTCTTACCGGTAAACCATTGCACGACAGGAGTCGAGTTTCCTGAGAATCAAGCACGATGAATTTCCCAACTACGTTCTCCGTGCCCGTTATTCGAGCCTCCAACATGAATCCTGTGAACTTATTGGATTGCTTGCTCTTGAGACAAACTTGGAAAAAGGTTTGAAGATTTATCAAAGAGAAGGGGAGGAACAGAAAATGAACACAGTAGTAAGTGGATGACCACTGCAACAAAGATTAATAGTGATTAACAAGCTTCAGGAAAATATTCTCTGTACCTGTGATAGGTTGTCCACGTGGGGCGCGATCGTATGTGATCTCAAAGGGTGGTTCAGTTCTCTGGGGTTCATACGGTATCCCGTTTCTATCTCTATGCACAGGTAACATAGAGACACACGACTCTGGGAATTTACCATTTGAATACCCATGCACCTTTGTGATGATCTCAAGGCTAATCAAAATCCACAACCACATCTGTAAAACAAAAGGACTTTATCAACCTTTTTCGTAAACACATAGAAAGTGGGAATCAATGGTGGAATGTAAATATTTACTCATGTGCTTTAGTATTTGTACTTTTGCTTACGTACTTCTATTATATGCAACTTCACTTCACTACATCTCAGAGGTAACGGCTGTTCTTTTTACTGCACTACAGTTGTCTCACAGTTTTAGTAGCTTAGCAGTTCAATTTAAAGTTCATCCCCTTCCTGTTCGGTGAAAACAATGCACTACCAAATTTGATAATTGTGAATTTGAATGTTTCGGACAATCTGAAGAGTGAAGAAAGTTAATTTGTGTGTCCAGAAAAACTTGCAAACTTCCAAAGCTAGAAAAAGACGATTTAAAAATGCTTGTTGGAACAGCTGGGAATTGCATCTTCACAAAGTTGAAAACAGGGCTGTTTTTCTGAGCTCATGGAAAAGTGACTTCTTAGAGAAATGTGGTTCTCACAGGATAGTGACCCTACAAACATGGGATTATTTTATTGAATACGATGCACTTCTGTAGATTAAACTACCAAAGAGTATATAAAGGAGTTTAAAATATAACAACCTTTAACATCTACAGCAGTAAAATGATAACTAATGTTACTGAAATATTTAGAAATCTACCAAAAAATATAAAAAAATGTAATATTCATTGGATGCATTGGTACCATAAGTATACACATACATTGTTATTTTGAAACAGGACAACAACAGAGCTACAAAACCCATACTTTTAACCCAATATACATTCAAACACCCTTAAACTAACTCATCTCTTTAACCTGATAGCCAAAAATGCAGTTTGCTGGAATTAGTAATATGAAATGTGTGTGGGAATCTGTATTGGAAAATAGGAATAACTCAAACTAAATTAAGGCTAAAAGTAAATAACAAGCATTTTAACGATTGCTTTCACTGTTTAATTTAATTTCTAAGACCAGTATTGAATAATAACAGTAAAAGCACAATGAGAGTAACAACCCTTTACTCTTACCTTCAAATATTTGTTTACAAGGTCCGGTACCATGAAACCAGAAGGTGAGATGTCACACTTTACTAAAACTCACTGTTTAATCCCTCTAAGAAAACCTCAGATCCTCCTTCCTCTACGGTGTGCAGTGTGTTTGTCAGAGAGCAGCGCAAAACAGCCTGAAGGAGGAAGTTATAAAGGGCAATCTAAGTGCACGGCTTGAACCCACCCACATGCAGTTTATGATCAAGAAAACAGTTCCACTTTGCTTAGACCTGTCTCATATCTCTTATACTGTATCGTGTTGTTTTCTAACAGTGTGTTGGTTCCTTTGAAACTGTAGTCTATTGTAAATACTTGGACTTTCATATATTTTTTCTGTGCCACTTTCTTTGTACTTCTGGAGTATTTTTACTGTGTATGTAAAGGGTTAAACCAGTTCATTGTTAAACAAATAAGTTAAGTTAAAAAAGTGTCACCCCCATATTTTTTATTGTTGATATCTCTTAGAAGTCATTAAAATGTATTACATTGGAACTGTGTGGCGGACTGATCACTAGAGGGTGATACCACTCGGGAGGATCTAGAACCCTGCAAGGGCAGAAACCTGCAGTTGAGCTACAAACAGCTAACATTTCTGCCTTGTGTGTTTGTCATATACAGGTGGGTTCTAAGTCCTTCAAATGACACCATAGTGTCCCAGTATAAGGGGTATAAGTGTTGTGAGTGTGTTTAGGCAGTTATGTATAGTTATGTGCAATGTGACGCTAGCGGCTAGCGGCTAGCGGAGCTAACGCTAAGGTGAAGGTGAAACAGTACTACGTAGACACGTGTTGCTTGGTGTATGATGTACATTTTACTATGAGAGGTATATTGTGTTTATGCATATAGGTTATATATGTTTCTTTGAAGTGTGTGTGTATTGTATTGGAATTTGAGTGTGAGGACACAGTGAGTTCTGAGTGTGACGATTTATTGTACATTTCTGTTGTATTTTTTTACCATGATGTCATCATTATGATAAATGCTGTTGCCTCATTATTCTCTAATGTTGTTGCCTCATAGAAATGAGCATAGATAAATGCTTTTGTTGTGGATTGTTTCCAAATAAGAAGATTCAATCCTGCAGTTGAGCTACAAACAGCTAACATTTCTGCCTCGTGTGTTTGTCATATACAGAGGTAGAGTCTGCTGCTGGCCCAGGTAGCCTACCCCTAGGCCTGAGGCCAGTAACATGTACAGTCGTATTTGTAGTATTAGTACTTTTACTGAAGTAAATGATCTGAATACATTCCCCACCATGACTATTATATTGTTTTGATTTTTTTTTTTTCCTTTAAAAAAAACAAAACATGTTATCAATGCCACAGCTAGTAATAATGATTTAGCAAAGCCAATGTAAAACTAATTATGATCACTCTGATCACTTGGACACTTTTGAAAAAGTTTGTCCAGATTGAAGTGGCAGAGGTCCATTTATTGAGAAAAAAAGTTTTGGTCAAGGTTTACTTATTGTGTGAGCCATCTACCTTAACGTGCGTAAACCTGAACCTAACCTTGGAAACTGAAAGCGCTGAAACAATTTTTGCTTTTTGAACCTGCTGGCTTTATTTTGAGACCAGATTCAACACCATGATAACATTTGAGTATTTTTTTATTTAGATAAAGATAAATAGATTTATTTTAGGTCACAGCAGCAGTATACAAACATATTTTACTGTCACAGATGCACAACACACAGTGAAAATTAGAATCTAAACCCATCCTAGTATTACAATCATTGGGCTGCAATAATAATATTACATTTGTCGGTAACGGAGTAATGTAACGCGTTACTGTTATAAATTCAGTAATCACACCACAGTTACTAACATTGCGTGAAACGCGTTATTTTGTATAAATTCAGTAATCACACTATAGTTACTAATATTGCACGAACAAATGACTAGATTGTCCCTTTGACAGACTAGACTAGTAGTTAATACATTATTCAGAAGTTTACAGTAACTTTGGATAATAACACGGCGGGTTTAATAAACGGAGCCTCTCTTTTCCTCTCTCCCTCTCCTGACAGCCCGTCTGTGTCTCATGCAGCTCGCTGATCCAGTGAATGAGTGACCCGACACGACAGTAAATAATAAACATTTATAACTAGTTTAGCTAGTTCCAGGGGTAGATAAGATTGCTAAATGTGATAGGTCTAACTTTTAACATTTTAAATATTTCAAGTCACGACAGGGATTTCCGCCGCACGTTTATATTTTCGTAACATTTGCGCGACTTGTCCACATGCAGCTGTCACAGGGGTTGAGCTGCCGACTGAGACAGAGAAATCAACAGCTATAACTTTCGAGGGGTGGAGGTATGCCCATTATTTTAAATTTGTCAGAAGAAAGGACAGGAATGTGACGGTAAGGTGCACCGCTGCAAACACAACAACATCACACCTCTCCAAGCACCTGCAGAGGCAACATGCTAACACGAAGCTAGTAGCTAAAGACCCCCGAACCCAGAGTGATGATGTTGAGTGAGTGCCAACTCCGAACAAGCAGCAACAACTATAATTTTCACCGTTATTAACTTGTGTTATGTCTTCCTTATTGCAATAGTAATTGTTATATGTGTGCACATGTAGGCCTACGTTTTAAGTTTAGGCTATAGGCTGTTGCTGAGTAACGCAAAAGTAATGTAAAGAAACGAGTAACGAGTAAAGTAACGAGTTACTTTATGTAGACAGTAACGAAGTAAAGTAATGTATTACTTTTTTTTTTTTTTTAAAGTAATATGTAATATATTACTTTTTTTGAGTAACGACCCCATCTCTGTTGGGTAGCTACTTTCAGGTGCAGGGGAGCAGTGTATGCTTCCTTGTTTTGCTCAAAGGCACCTCAGCAGTGTCCAAGAGGCAAACTGGCACTTCTCCAGGTATCAGTCCACATTGGTACTGAGTCCTTTTCGGGACTTGAACCAGCGAGTCTCCGTTTCCCAGGCCAAGTCTCATTGGCATTTTTATGAATTCATTAATAACTTTCAAATGTCAGTCAATCAAATTCAATTTACAAACCCAATATTACAAATTACAAATGTTCCTCGTTGCCTTGCCTTGTACAGCATTCTGGAAATGGACCCTCCCTTCCAAAAACAAAAAACTACCCTGAAAATAACCCTGATTATCTGAAGAAAAAGGGAGGAAACTTCAAGAAGGCAAGTGAAGAGGGATCCATCTCCCAGGACGGACACATGTGAATTACATGCAAATAAAGCTTGATGCCCTCGCCTACTTTTCCTAACACCAAAATATCCCAAAAGAGACAGCAAAAGCAAAACACAAGTTTCCAACGCTGAGGATTTCTTGGACAGCGATCACAATCACCTTTTTTTCTCCTGTAAAAGAAAATAGTGACATACATTATATTTTCTTCTTCAAAATAATCCATTCTGTATTAATGCATGGTATTATAATTTTTAACTGTATACTACTAGTCATTTACCTATTTTGCTTACATATACCCATATTACAAAGAGGAGAATCCACACTGTGTAAGCGATCATCACTTTCACTAGCCAAGAGTCTAAGTCCTTTCCACAGTTGTCAAACTTCAAAACACCAAGAAAAATGAGGACGGTTGTGTAGAAAAGATAATGTAAATCAGAACAACACATAGGCAACTGTCTGAAGAGTTTATGCAACTCAGGATCATAAACAAGTCTCTTAAAGCATTAGTTTAAGATTTTTTGGGAACATTTGCTTAATTGAGTCTCCAGACCAGACAAAAGCTGGTACACTAGGACGTCTAAAACTAAGTAAGTATGATATGAAAGGAACATTTGTAAGTTTTAGGGGTGTTGGTTGGAGAATTTTGTAACAGATCAAGACATGCTACCTGTTTCTCCCTGTTTTAGGTAGTTGTGCTAGGCTATGCTAACTAGCTGCTAGCTTTAGCCATTTGGATATTTACTTGATATGTACGAGTCATTTTGTATTGTGATATAGAAAAGAATTATGCTAATCTGCTTTGATTGTTGTATTTGTCTCAAACAGTCCAAAAAAGGCACAAAACAAGTGTCCAGCTCATGTATGCTTGAAGTGAAGACGAGTATGTGCGGATCAGCTGTGTGGGATTGTGGAGCTTCTATTCAACCTGAGCCTGAAGCAAGGCAGGGTACCACAACTGTGGAAGACGTCCTGTGTGGTACCTGTGCCAAAGACCCCTCGCCCCAAGGAATTAGCTACCGGCCGGTGGCGCTGACATCACAGCTGATGAAGACCCTGGAGAGGCTGGTCCTTGGACACCTCCGGCCCCTTGTGGGACCATCAATGGACCCGCTGCAGTTCGCCTACCAGCCTGCCATCGGGGTGGATGACGCCGTCATCTACCTGCTGCAGGTGGGAGAGGTCCCTCTCCCACCTGGAGAAGCCTGGGGGGGGGGCACTGTGAGGATCATGTTCTTTGATTTTTCCAGTGCCTTCAACACCATCCAGCCCCCGCTCCTGGGGGACAAGCTGCAGCTGTCGGGGGTGGATCACCACCTCACCTCCTGGATCCTGGACTACCTCACCAACCGCCCACAGTACGTGAGGACCAGGGAGTGTCAATCAGACACCATCATCAGCAGTACGGGGCCCCCCAGGGGACAGCTCCTTCAGTGACAGGCTGCTGCACCCCAGCTGTCACACGGAGGAAGGTCCTTCCTTCCTGCAGCGGTCAGACTATACAAGCAGCACAGCCCCTAGTAGACCCCCCCTCCCCCACACACAACACAGACTATATCACCCCTTGCTGCTAAATACCAATCAACTATGTGCAATATGTGCTATATGTGCAATATATATATATGCCGTTAATAACTGTGTAATTTATACCTGGCTGCTAAATCCTTAGAACCGTTACAAGGTGTGTTTGTGTTTGTTGCATTTTGTATTTTGTAAATTGTGTAACTTGCTGCTGTTAAATACCATCAAACTATGTGCAATATGTGCTATATGTGCAATACATACATTATATACATATGCCATTAATAACCGTGTTATATATACCTGGCTGCTAAATCCTAAGAACTGTTACAGGATTTGTAATTTGAAAAGTATTTTTTTCTTTATTTTTATTTTTTTTATTATATTTGTATTATATCATAACTTAGTACTTTTTTTTAACATATGTAACATTAAGCTGTCTGTGGCTCTTTCCTGCTGTAACAATGCAAATTTCCCCTCTGTGGGACTAATAAAGGTATTCTGATTCTGATTCTGATATGCACTGCCCACACACAGACTTTAGCGGTATTTGTTGGATTAAGTAAAATACCCAAATGTTCCAAGAACTGTGAATTGGCAAGAATGCATATAAGCGTATTTCCCAAAATGTCAAACTATTGCTTTAAAGTCATTTCAAAAGTATTCTCAGAAAATGAATGCAATAAAGTAGGTTTACAGTATCTGTTAAGATTTGATAAATATTCTTACTTGTAAAACTCCAGTGGATGACAGAACACACTTTGATGGTAAGCTCACTGATCTCCTTTCTGGAACCGAACAAAAGCCAAACACAAACAGCTGTGCATAAAAGTGTTGATGAAAGGGTAAAGTCAAATATTCATGCAGAAGAAGTCAAGAGGAAGTTGGACTTACAGTTCATGACTGGGTTCAATTAGCAGACAGACGATAAACAGCTACATGAAATTAAAGGCTATTGCAACACACACTAGAGCAATGAAAAGGACCTAAACATGCAGACAGATCGCACACACATTAAATAGTACCTATACAGTTTAAATGTGGATGTAGATATGGAGAATTGTTTAAATCATGAACTATTTCTCACGTTAATGGGATCAGCCAAAGAAAACAAGACCAAGGCAGGTATCTCCACGGCTGCACAAAGCACACGGCTTAATATCTTCACCTACAAAAGAATTAAAATTAACTTTAAATTATTGTAATTAATTAATAGTATTCACTTAGGGTTTATTTTTAAAGGCACAGATACATACAGTAAGGGAAACTTGCTGAGGCAATTTCTCCATAATATTTAAAGCCTATTCTGATTTGTAATGCTTGTCTCAGTATATGGGCTTTTAAATTCAATTACATTTTTTAAAGGACATACCTAAAAGTGAATACAAATAAATGCAGAAAACAATAAACAGAAAATACATATGACCAAAAACGACATAAAATCTGTACAATACAACGAAACCCCAGTTTTTTTTTTTTCTCCAAAAATCGTTAAATGTAATAACATTCTGTAGTTACCTCTCTATATAGTTTAAATTGCTAATTTAAGCATTAGATCCAAATGACCTACCTACCGATGCACAAAAGAGTCACAGAAAACAACACAAGCCCTAAAACTCACAGGATACCTTATTTAGATGATGCAAACGGGGTCCGTTGATGAGAAGAGTTATTAACAAAGGCAGTTCCTGTGGAGAGATGCAATGAGACAGGAATTCATCTTCTGCTATAATTTTTTTTACCGGGTGGCATAAATTAATAACAATCATACCATTTTGACGGCCACCAAAACACTGTCAGCAATCATCAATACAGTAGCCGGTTCCTGAAGAAAAAACAAGAAAGGTGTGGAGCTGTGTAAATGCAGATATTGATATTCATTTATTAATTAATAGATTTCCACACAATAAAAAAAACTCAATCGTCCTTCTGTGTCCATGCTTACCTGTAATTTAGTTACATTTAAGGAGACTTCTTGAGTGGTCCTGCTTGGTTTTGCAGTACTCGGCTCTGTTGTATCGGGTTCATTTGTACTTGTAGAACTTGGCATCGTAGAACCTGATGTTGGCTTTGTAGCAATTGGCGTTGTAGTACTTGTAGTAGTTGTTGTAATTGGTGTTGTAGTACACTGTAAAATGTTTGGCTGTAAAATTACAGTAAATTACTGGCTACTAGTTGCATGGATTTCACAGTAATTTACTGTAAATATTTCACAGTAATTGACTGTAAACATTTCACAGTAATTTAGAATAAAAGTACAGCTAAATACTGTGACTTTACAGTTGCCATGCCCATGGAATTACTGTGATGGAGAAGTACAGAGCTGTGGTATTATGGTACCTTGCTGTACATAAATTACAGTAATTACCTGTATTTTCACACTTTTACTGTAGAAGTAATGCAACACAGTAGCCAGTAATTTACTGTAAATATAAACATGTAAATAATACGATAATATATTGTAAATTTGACTAGTTAACTGGGATTTTACCATAACTACACAATTCAATCAGCTCAATCAACAAAGAAAAACAAAGAAAAAGAAAATGCCCATTTAAACTTTTTATTACTCCATTGAAGTGCAAAGTACATTTCACAGTGTCTTGGACATGTTGTTACGGCCCCAACCTCTACACCGCGGTAGTGGCTCGTGCTGAGACCCGCAACATGAAAGAATACACGCAAAAACCAGTACTTGGTAATGAGCATTTATTGATAATCAGCCGTTTGCTCACACAAGCGAAACGGGAAACAAAAATAGGTCTGGAGGACTGGCCAAAAGGAACAAACAGAAGGAGGGAACCCGAGCCAGCCACACCACGGACCGTAGGACCCAGAGCTCCCCCCCCCCGCAACCAGAAATCAATTATAAACCCTATGGGAAACAAAATAAAGCCGCGAAAACTGGACTACCAGGTCCTCCAGGCTAAACATAAACACATCTGCAAAAATATGGCTTACAGCTCAAAATGGCAAAGAGGTATGGAGAGTGTCTCCCGGCGTTAGGATAGGCGAGACATCCTTCTCCTCCAGCTTCTCTTTATATATACACGGCTGAGTGGAATTAGGAACACCTGGGCAGAGGCGGAGCCTGGGGCAGACCAGGTGCACCTGGGCAGAGGCGGAGCCAGGGGCAGACCAGGTGCACCTGGGCAGAGGCGGAGCCAGGGGCAGACCAGGTGCACCTGGGCAGAGGCGGAGCCAGGGGCAGACCAGGTGCACCAGCGCAGCAGGGAGACAGAAAAGAAAACAAGGAGGGCAGCACGTAACACATGTCTACACAGACATCCACTCAAAGTCAACAATTTTTCTGAAGAATGTGCTGACATGGGGGTTTAAATTGCCATGCCTCTTTTTGGCTTTCCAGCCCGTCTCAGGATTAATGCCCAGGAAGCACCTGAAAACATTTATTTTAAGGTACATGCAGCTGTGCCCCTTTCAATTTAAGTAAAACCTGCACCAAAGAAAGAAATTAGTATTTAAAGCCAAGCAAGAGCGATAAAAGCAAGAAAATCACTTAATTTGTTATGTTATCACAGAGGATGGTCTGAATACAGTATTTTACTATGAAATAATACAGTAACATGTTGTGACATCCTGGTAATAATTTATCCTGTACATTCACAGTAATTAACTGTGCCTGCATTGATTTCACTGTGAAATTCAAAATTACAGTATTATATTGAGAACATTACAGGTAAAGACTGTAAAGTGGTAAAACAGAAATGTATTGTAAAATATTACAGCTAAATATTGTAAAATCATGATAATATTTTACAGCGTACTTGTAGTAATTGGCGTTGTCATACTTGTAGTAATTGGAGTTGTTGTAATTGGTGTTGTACAGTAGTAGATGGCGTAGAAGTTGTTGTTGGTGATGGTGCGGTTACAGGAACTTGACATTTAAATCCACTCGTTCCCAGAAAGTGTCAAAATACTGAAGAAATGTGGCTCTGCAACATATCAGGGATGCAAAGATATAAATATCAATCATTGTGCTCCATGTGGAAGGCCTAATATTGAATCATGAAGGACAGTCAAAGTGTGCAAATACCTAAAAGTGTATTCCAAGTTTTCTCCTTGTGCCGGCGCCATCCAGTTTACTGCAAACACACTCTTTTCTGAACTGAATCTTTGACTAACAGCGTTGTCCTGAGGCGAGAGGAGAAGAGTAAAGCATCCAGAAGTAGCTTTATAGGGTTAATTTAAAAGTGTTAATGAAATAGGATTGGAGATAATGATGGTGTCTTACCGGTAAACCATTGCACGACAGGAGTCGAGTTTCCTGAGAATCAAGCACGATGAATTTCCCAACTACGTTCTCCGTGCCCGTTATTCGAGCCTCCAACATGAATCCTGTGAACTTATTGGATTGCTTGCTCTTGAGATAAACTTGGAAAAAGGTTTGAAGATTTATCAAAGAGAAGGGGAGGAACAGAAAAAGAACACAGTAGTAAGTGGATGACCACTGCAACAAAGATTAATAGTGATTAACAAGCTTCAGGGAAATATTCTCTGTACCTGTGATAGGTTGTCCACGTGAGGCGAGATCGTGTGTGATCTCAAAGGGTGGTTCAGTTCTCTGGGGTTCATACGGTATCCCGTTTCTATCTCTATGCTCAGGTAACATAGAGACACACGACTCTGGGAATTTACCATTTGAATACCCATGCACCTTTGTGATGATCTCAAGGCTAATCAAAATCCACAACCACATCTGTAAAACAAAAGGACTTTATCAACCTTTTTCGTAAACACATAGAAAGTGGGAATCAATGGTGGAATGTAAATATTTACTCATGTGCTTTAGTATTTGTACTTTTGCTTACGTACTTCTATTATATGCAACTTCACTTCACTACATCTCAGAGGTAACGGCTGTTCTTTTTACTGCACTACAGTTGTCTCACAGTTTTAGTAGCTTAGCAGTTACATTTAAAGTCCATCCCCTTCCTGTTCGGTGAAAACAATGCACTACCAAATTTCGTGATTGTGAATTTGAATGTTTCTGAAGAGTGAAGAAAGTTAATTTGTGTGTCCAGAAAAACTTGCAGACTTCCAAAGCTAGAAAAAGACGATTTAAAATGCTTGTTGGAACAGCTGGGAATTGCACCTTCACAAAGTTGAAAACAGGGCTGTTTTTCTGAGCTCATGGAAATGTGACTTCTTAGAGAAATGTGGTTCTCACAGGATAGTGACCCTACAAACATGGGATTATTTTATTGAATGCGATGCACTTCTGTAGATTAAACTACCAAAGAGTATATAAAGGAGTTTAAAATATAACAACCTTTAACATCTACAGCAGTAAAATGATAACTAATGTTACTGAAATATTTAGAAATCTACCAAAAAATATAAAAAAATGTAATATTCATTGGATGCATTGGTACCATAAGTATACACATAGATTGTTATTTTGAAACAGGACAACAACAGAGCTACAAAACCCATACTTTTAACCCAATATACATTCAAACACCCTTAAACTAACTCATCTCTTTAACCTGATAGCCAAAAATGCAGTTTGCTGGAATTAGTAATATGAAATGTGTGTGGGAATCTGTATAGAGTGGCGAAGTCACGCCCATCTACTTCCGCCCCATGGGACCTTATTTCGGAAAAATAATGTATTGAAGTCAATGGAGAGAGAAAACTTATCTTTCGATCCCGTTTGAATTGTGCCATGAATTACACATATGATGTTTGTCAATCTTAAAAAATCATTTCCATGTCAAAAAAGTCACAGTTTGTCGTAAAACTGTTGAAATATAAGACTATGAAAAATACGCAACTAGAAAGACTACAAATCCCAGAGTCGCGTAAGTGATGTCACAATTGTTTTCCTCCACTAAGAGATAGCTAAGATCAGCGCCATATAGATATAATCTATCTATATGGCGCTGGCTAAGATAAGATAACTTTAACAAGATGCCTGTGTGCTTAGTACCAGGTTGTTATTATACCAGCAATGGGTCTTGCTCGTTCTTTCGCTTCCCGTCTGATGAAAGGACCAGGAGTGGCTTGATCAAGCTAGCTAGTAGCTAGCACGTTAGTTAGCATTACAGCCTTGTCATTTTGATTAGCCTTAACATGAAGTAACATTAAGTAACCCAAAATGTTAAACAGTAAGAGTAGTAGTCATATTTCGTGAACCCTTTGAAGAGTACTGTCACCGGTGTGATCATTCTATAATACACAATTTAAGCCCGGGGGAGAAATGCTAATGCTAACGCTAGCATCGACGATCTTCTCTACTTCATGCTATCTGCACAAATGCATACCTGCCAACCCTACCGATTTGGGCGGTAGTCTACCGCTTTTGACATGTTTCTACCGCCTACCGATTTAGCTGACTCTCCCTACCGATTTTCAATCTTCCCAAACTACAAATAAAAATGACACTACATAGACACTGGACTCGACTTTTGGCGGACACCGTTTGCAGCGTGTCTGTGATCCCATCATACAAACAGTCCTCTGTGTTTCAGTCGATCGCAAGATGTGTCTAAAAATAGAACAACAATATTCTGTTTTATCGTTAATGTCCTATAACATAATCTTCCTGTGCCAGAATAATGCACTTGAACGCATCAAAGCTTTGTGATTGGCGTGACCCCATGTATCGGGGCGTGGCTGGTAGTCAGTGGGCACTAGTTTTGCTGTGCAGTCCGCACACACAAGGCCAGAATTATGGCAGAAGCAAAAGAGCCCCAAATATATAATTTTCACTCCGAGTGGGAGGATGATTATTTTTGTATCTATTCCAATTCAAAGTCCATCTGTCTCTCATCTGCAATGCGAGCGTGGCTTTATCGAAGAAGGGTAATTTAGGAGCGGCATTTCAAAACAGTGCACAAACGCTACGAGACGGAATTCCCTCCTAATTCTGCCCTACGCTCCCAAAAGGTGAGGGACCTGAAAGGACAGCTAAATGCACAGCAGTCCATTTTCACCAGGCCCAACAACAAGAGCAAGGCTGCTACCATATAGAGATGGCAAATCCGGATCATTTTACGGACTCAGGGTCTTCTGAGTCAGTCATTGAAGAGATCCGGATCATACGAGTCATTTGAGTCATATGAGTCAGCATGACCAAGACCGTAGAAATCCTATTGGTGAAACCGAAAAGTTGTTGCATTTCACGAGCATATTATTATTCCATATATTTTGAATATATATATATATTTGTATATATATATATATATATAATATCTGCATGTATATTTTATATTTCGACATGTATATTTTATATTTTATTTTTATTTCTATTCTTGTATATTTTGTAGTTTTGTTTTATTGTAAAATGCCTTTTATGCTGCTGTAACAACAACAATTTCCCAATTTGGGATCAATAAAGTACTATCTATCTATCTATCTATCTATTAAACTGACGTTATAATTAACCTCCGCTACACAGTGTATTTTGCTTTAATAAAAAATGTTGATCACAAAAAAAAGGGTTATTTTGAGTCTGCTGTTGACTCGTGCATGAGGACGAGTCTGCTGGATCTCTGGATCTGCTGCTATATACGGCTCCGAGTCCGCACGAGTCTGCTCTGCTGTGTGTTGCACACACAGTGAGTCAGGATTTGCGAATCCGAGTCTGCTGTGGACTCGTGCATGACGACGAGTCTGCTGGATCTCTGGATCTGCTGCTATATGGTTACGGCTCCGAGTCCGCACGAGTCTGATCCGCTGTGTGTTGCAGCGAGTCAGGATTTGCGAATCTGCGAATCTGCGAATCCGAGTCTGCTGTGTGGACTCGTGCATGACGACGAGTCTGCTGGATCTCTGGATCTGCTGTTATATGGTTACGGCTCCGAGTCCACACGAGTCTGATCCGCTGTGTGTTGCAGCGAGTCAGGATTTGCGAATCTGCGAGTCTGCTGTTGGAGCCGTCGGCTCCTCTGAGTCCCCACGAGTCTGCAGGAAGTTTCACTGATCCGCGTCCCCTCCCCTGAGCCAAACGATCACTTCTGGCAGCTATCCTGTATACTTGCTAAAGGGTAGGTAGATGGACTTGGGGTACGTTGTAATGTGATTTTACATGTTATAAAGAGAGTAGCGAGTGACGCAATTTATAGTTTTAATTTGTACGTCACACCAAGTGTGGGACTCAAGGACTCGGGTTAATGGAGAGGGGAGACTCGTCATGACCAGCTCATTTCTAGGATCCGGGTTAATGATCCGGATGAATCAGGACTCGCCCATCTCTACTACCATAGCATCTTATCGTGTCAGTCACGTTCTTGCGAAACACATGAAGTCTTTCAAAGACGGCGAAGTTGTGAAAGAAGCATTCCTGGAGGCTGCCGACGCGCTTTTTGGGGACAGTACAAATAACAGTAGCATTTCAACAGGTTTTTGATATAATAAAAACTCAAGTTAGATACCGTTATTAATCAGCTGTAAGTTTTAGTTTGTTTGAACTTATTCATTATAATTATTGTACAAAATGGTATAAGAATGCAAACTTTAAGATCTGTTCTGTTTAAATTGATTATAGTCTATTATCAATTCAGGTTAAGAAACTAGTGTTGCTTGCATCCTATTTTAAAGGCATTTCTTTTTATACTCTACTAAAATGCAACAAAAAAAGGGTTTGATTCTATTAATTTTGTCTTTTTTATTGCACTTTGGCAGCAGATTCCTGTGTAGCTTCAGATCTGAGTTGTCTTATTAGTAAAACTAATTTATACTTTTGTAGCAACACTATTTTTATATAATGGCAAAGAAAGGGTTCAGAGTCTTTTCTTTTTTCCCTGTGTCATATGTGGCAGCACTGTTCAATGTTTCTTGAAAACATTACCCACTGTAGTTTGTGACGTGTGAATAAACTCCAACTCTGTATCAACAACACTGTTGTGTAACTTCAGTTAAATACTTTTATGTGTGTAGATTAGAAAGAGGTAAGATAAAGGATCTGCAGTATTTTATGAAGTATTAATCGTACAAAGGTCAGTTTTATACAAGTAGAAGTGTGTATTTACCTGGTAGTAGGCTGTCAGTAATGGCTACGCCTCTCTATTTGGACTGGTAGATCTCGGCAGACTGGTAACTTTAAAAGTAGCTCTCGGTTCAAAAAAGGTTGGGCACACATTATTTTTTTTTTGACTTGCAAAATTATCTTTTAAATTGACAAACATCATATGTGTAATTCGTGGCACAATTCAAACGGGATCGAAAGATAATCTTTCTCTCTCCATTGACTTCAATACATAATTTTTCCGAAATAAGGTCCCATGGAGGTCCACCGGAAGGGGAGGGACTTCGCCACTCTATTGGAAAATAGGAATAACTCAAACTAAATTAAGGCTAAAAGTAAATAACAAGCATTTTAACGATTGCTTTCACTGTTTAATTTAATTTCTAAGACCAGTATTGAATAATAACAGTAAAAGCACAATGAGAGTAACAACCCTTTACTCTTACCTTCAAATATTTGTTTACAAGGTCCGGTACCATGAAACCAGAAGTTGAGATGTCACACTTTACTAAAACTCACTGTTTAATCCCTCTAAGAAAACCTCAGATCCTCCTTCCTCTACGGTGTGCAGTGTGTTTGTCAGAGAGCAGCGCAAAACAGCCTGAAGGAGGAAGTTATAAAGGGCAATCTAAGTGCACGGCTTGAACCCACCCACATGCAGTTTATGATCAAGAAAACAGTTACACTTTGCTTAGACCTGTCTCATATCTCCTATACTGTATCGTGTTGTTTTCTAACAGTGTGTTGGTTCCTTTGAAACTGTAGTCTACTGTAGATACTTGGACTTTCATATATTTTTTTCTGCGCCACTTTCTTTTGTGATCTGAATACATTCCCCACCATGACTATTATATTGGTTTGATCTTTAAAAAAAAAAAAAGTATGTTATCAATGCCACGTCAGGTAATAATGATTAACAAAGCCAATGTAAAAATAATTATGATCACTCTGATCACTTGGACACTTTTGAAACAGTTTGTCCAGATTGAAGTGGCAGAGGTCCATTTATTGAGAATACATGTATGGCTGGTCTGACTTGGAGAACTCAAAGGCTGCACCACATATTACATTCCTGGTTTTATTATTGTTTTGTTGTTAAATATGGCACAAAAAAACAGTTTTAACATGTTGCTCCTGTCCACAGAAAGTGGTGTCCAAACATGTTAATAAATCTTTAATAGATATAAATGTTTTTCATTTACATCTCATTTGGTAGAGGTTCATTATATTAAAAAAAACAAGAAAAGAAGAAGAAGAAGAATATGAACCTTTATTAAAAAGTATGTTGTCAGAAGAAAAAAATATCATTGTGTTTATTTACAGCACGGAGAGATAAAGAAATGCAAATATTTCTGCTTCCTTTTAACTGAGAGGAACTGATTAAATCTACATATGTTAGAGATGTTTGACATTAACATCCATCAAGTTTTATTCTACATTAATCTAATACATTTATCAGAAACATATCATCAAATACATTGTTTACAAACATCTTACATTATTGTAATATATGGAAAACCAGAGTTTACTGTGGCTGTTGTATGAAATGACACATTGCATAATATGTACACTGTCAACCATAATTACAGTAATACATAAAAACTCCTCATCAACATCATCATAATAAATCATGTGGCACTCTGTGAACATACGTCTACTATAATGGCTTCACTTCCATTGCCAGTAATGAACAATATTTTTCATGTGCCACCGAAAAAAAACAGAGAAATTCACCACGAATACATTAAGGTTACAAAGCACATTAGGAAACTGGTTATATGTAGCAATAAACAGAAACAGTGGAAGTGAATATTGGCGCTTGCTACAAACCTCAACATTTGAACCACTTTACCATGGATTTTTTACCAAATGTACACTGAAATCTGTCATTCTTTAGATCAGTAATCCAACAGTTAATGCAAGGAAGTTATGTACTCAAACAGCAACTAGTACATTGATCCACGTGAGAAGTTCTGCATGCGAAGACTTTGTTCTTCGGCTGAACTTTGGCGAATAAACATGCGATGCAGCATTGACTTCAAATGACTCCTAAATTTCACCCCAACAAACGCGTAAAAGACAGGGTTCAGGCAGCAGTGGGAGAAAGCAATGAGCCGGCACACATAGAAGGCATAGTCCAGCTGGATACTTGCTTCACATTTCTCAAATGGTTCAACCATATTGTCAGACAGGATCCTCAGAAAGATGGCCACATTGTACGGCACCCAGCCGAGGAAGAACACAGCCGCGATGCAGAACACCAACTTCACGGCTCTGTTCTTCGTGTGGGATCTTGATTTTGAGATTCTCCTCAGTATTTGAATGTAGCAGAAAGCCATGACTGTGAAGGTGACCAAGAAGATAACATTCTCTGGGGAGAAACCAATGCTTTTCCAAATAGTAGATTCATATTCACAGCCCACAGAGTGTTCACCTTGGTGGGGGATCGGAATGAGGGTGCTATAGAAGAGGGAGGGCACGGCTGCTCCGATGCTGATTACCCACAGAAGGAAAGACATATAAACCCCGGTGCTGATCTGCAGTGTTCTCAGGTCAGACAGAGGGTGAACCACGGCCAAATACCTGTAGATGGTCATGATGGTGAGGCAGAGGATGCTGCTGTAAAACCCAGTGAAGAAGACAAAAGTCACAATTTTGCAGAGGGCCTCTGAAAACACCCATCCCCAGATGTGGTAAATGGCCCAAAAGGGGAGACCGAAGGTGAAAACGAGGTCGGAAATGGCCAGGTTCAGGATGAAGACGTTGGTGAGAGACTTGAGGTTTTCATACAGCCCCAAAATTACAAGGACAAGGATGTTTCCTATGAGGCTCAGTGTGATCACAACAGAGAAGAACGCAGGAATGACCATGGACCCAAACTGGACCACTTCGCCTTTTTCACACAGTTCATCCTCGTAGTCTTGGTCATACTGGCTGATATTCAAAGAGTCATTCATTGCTGATCACTGGAACCTAGAAAATAAGTATGGGATAAGTATGTGCATTACTTCAGGTTCAAGAAATGTCACTGTAAAAAGAGTAAAAATAATAAAGGTCTTTTAACAAGAACTCTGAGTCTATATACTTAAAGAGGGTGCATTCAACATCATGCTACACTGGAACTCCTATAACGAAATTATTATGTTGCAACATCAATATCTTTAGTGTGCAAGATTAAAAAAAAGGACCTACCTCTTGCTTGGCGGGACTGATGTGTTGTTGGACGTGATGCCTCTCTCCACTCCAAAGAAATCTAAAAAAGTTGTAGCTTTTGTAATCTCGTGACAAGTGAGGCAGTGTTTTCTGTTCCTAGTTTTGTTGTACTAGCCTGACATGTGTTCAAGTCCTGAGCTCACCTGGATTTGTGGATTTATTTTTAAACAAACACAAATGGAATAGTTTTTGTTTTGTGAGCCCGAATTGTTAAATATTAATCTAGATTTCCGGTGTTAACCCAATACAGCGGCCTGTTTTAAAAACATTTTTTTAACTCGTGCATTAACTTGTACTTACTTTGGATAATCTGCAGCACTTACTGTAAACATGTTTTAATAGGAACTAGGAATTTAAAAGACATCTCTGAGTCGGATGACTTAAAATCGTGTAAAGTTAAACAAACACTATATATCTGCATGGCGTGTATTATCTGGGAATTCAGCATAGTGAAACCTCAGAAAAGAAGATATGACCTATGAAACTAAAAAGGGGTACTACAACACTTACATGACATTGGGGCACTTGTGTGTATTTTTTTTGTGTTTGTTTTATAGATGGATACAAATTGATAAAGCAGAGCCCAAGATGCCCTGATTTATTGTCCATAGTGTGGGTCAAGCTTTCAAACACTGGATCCTACATTTCCCACAATGCAACCATCTCATCTGCTGAAAACAAAACACACAGGCTAAGTATTAGTGTAAAATCAATTTGCGTCCTAAAAAAAGGGGACCAATTGACCAGTTGAATCGTATTATTAAATGTTAGTCTATTTTACTTGTAAAGTAGTAATACACAAACGGGTAGGCTTTACAAATGATAAAATACATATACATTTGAAAAGTAACGGTTTAGCGGTTTGAAATGAATGTTGCAGTTACATTCAATGTACTTTAAAGACAGGGCTGCCAACATTTGAGTTCAGCTTGTAGTGAGATTTTTTTTTTTGGTGAACCGAAAAAAGAAACGTCCATGTGTACAGTGTTACAAATGTATTGAACAAGTACAAACTAGGGTTTCCCATTAATGTACCGGGCGCTACAGTGGAGTACGCACATACACAGTGTACCCGCGACTCTTACAATGAAGGCTCGATAATCAGCTCACAGCATATAAAATGGCATATAGGTGTAAGCAGGGGTAAACTGCTATTTTATAAGTGGGGGTGGTCCTCACATCCTCTAGGGGGGTCCGGGGGCATGCTCCCCCGGGAAGATTTTTTTTTAAATATTGAACTTAAATGCATCAATCTGGTGCACTTTGAGAGCAAAATGAATTTAAGGATACATCTCTCAACACCCATATGAAACACAACTTTAAACAGATTTTCTTTTTCTTTATGGATATTTTACAAATCACTCACCTTTTAAACTGTATTCTTGTTTTACTGTCATATAGTATTTCATAACTGTTTTTCATTTATTCTCATAAATGGTGACCAAACCGTTTGAGACCCACTGAGATAACTAGACTAAACTAACTATCTAAACACTCAGAGAGTCCCTTACCTCACTGAGCTGTAGTTATCTCTCTCAGTCTGACAGCAGAGAGCTCTCCCTCTCCTTGTTTTAGAAACAGCTTCTAATATCCGTTAGCGCAGCTAGCTAACCAGATGCTAACAACAACAATGCAAATAGTGAGTTTGGTAGAAATATACTGTATAATAGTAAAGTTATTTAAGATGATGCCATATTTATTGAAGATTTTACATTATAAATATTCCCCAAAATTATTCAAAAGCATATTCTTCCAAACTCCTTGCTGTAGTATGACACACAGGAGACTATTGATGTGTGTAGTGAGTTTGGTAGTAATAAGCTGTATAATAGTGAATATTATTGTATTCTCTTTTTTCGGAGTTGCACTTTGCAGACGGTCCCTGAGCACTCGTTTCTTCTCCGGCTGCGGATAGAGACCAATGTGTCCAGCTCGGAGGACGGCGCGTATTGGCTTTTTTTGATCAAAATGTGATTGTAGCTCGTTGTCAACCTTACCACGGTACTTAGGAGACGTCATTTGTGTCTGAATAACGTTTTGTTCATGAGTTATTGATCCGTGAAATCAGAATCTCCCAATATCGTTCCAACTTGACTGAACTAAGCCAGAAGACTGTCTCATTTCGTAGACGGCTCGGTTTGCTGTTCCTTCACTTTATTTTTATATTTATATACATTTATTTTGGACGAAAACTTAGCGTGAGGAAAGGCAAGCGTGGCGTGAGTGCGTGAGATATGGGTTAATTGCGTGACTTTCACGCTCAATGCGTGAGTGTTGGCAGCCCTGTAAAGATGTGCAACAGACAACAAAGGACAACAGAAAAGTGGGATAAATTGTTGTTGTCATTGATCACATGACATCGGTGTTTACTTTGCTACGACAACCAAGCTACCTTAAGGGTCCCGCCTACCAAGCTCATAGTCATTGGTCGAAGAGATACATGGCGCTCTGTGATTGGTTAACACTGTTACAATTGTGACACTTTAAACACGTTTGTATGCACGCCTAAACGATCTGTGTTGTTATGGACTTGAGTCACATCTGTAAAAGTATGTCAAAGTTATTATTCTTTTATACATATTTCACCTGAAATGGTCTATAAACACGCTCGATTATCCAACGTATCGCTTGTCGGAAATGTCACTGCTATTTTCTAAATGCCTGCCAAAGGTTAACTGTGTAAAAGCTAAATTTAACGTCACTGTAAAAGCTACACAAAGCATTTACAAGTGTCTTTAAAGGATTGAGCTGCCAGCTGTTGGTTCTTGTCTGTCGGTTTTAAGGTTAGAAAATAAATATGAGTGCTTAACGTTAGTGTTGTGAAACTATTGTTGATGTTTTCAAACTGTTGAAACCTAACGTAGCTAAGTTAGCCGTTAGCTAAACAAAAACGTAACGTAAAGTGCGTTAGCTAACGTAACTACAGTGTGAATGCTGAAGTATTCAAATGCAGGTTTTTCCAGTATTTTCCCACTTTCATAACGTTGTATTAAGAAGGCATACAACATATTTTACATGCTTTGTTTACTTCCTTATAGCTAACTAACAGGAGTTTTCAGCAGGAGGAGGACACAGTAACATTTTGCCCATACTATCCAGTCACATTTCCTCTCTGAGTGTTATCATTTTTAGTGTAGTTTATCAGAGGTATTGACTTATGGTATAAATAGTTTATGGACTAGAGGACTTCATGTACAAGTAGAGGTGAAAGAAGTACTCAGATCTTGTACTTGGGTAAAAGTAGAAGTAGGAATACTATGTTACAGGTAAAAGGCCTGTATTCAAAATGTTACTTACTGTAAGTAAAAGTACAAAAGTATCAGCATCAAAATCAAGTACTTATGGAAATAATATACATATAATTACATAATTATATTTCGCAATAATACATACAATATGTTTTGATTCTAATTATTTATGCATTATTATGTTTATCATAGCTGGTGGAACTAATTGAATTACTTTTTTTACTGCTGGGTAGTTTGGGACTTAAGTCCAGGTGTAACTAACGTCTTATTTAAGTGTTCATATCATTAATCCATATCTTCAAAGTAACTAAAGGTATTACATAAATGTAGTGGAGTACAAGTACCTCAACATTGTACTTAAGTATAGTACTTGAGTAAATGTACTTAGTTACTTTACACCACTGTGTACAAGTCAAAAACATACAAATAATTCCTATATTGTGAATAATGATTTTATTTGAAAGCATTCACGTCCTCTCACACAATGTGTAGTTATATAAAAGTATGGGGATTGTACGTTTTGTTGCAAATATTTCTCCTGTGGGTTAAAAAGTATATTTGGACATAGACTTTATGGAGGATGTATCCTGTGTCTTGAACTTGTTATCAGGTCTCTGACTATTTATCTGATCTTACTGTAATCACATGTGCAAACGACTCCATTTGGGATCATTACTCTCCAGTCTTCAAAATATATTTCTGTGGCTATCATCCGTTGATGTTGCAGTTTTAAAATCATTTTAATTATGTTTTTAGTTATTATAGTCTGCGTCACTGAATGTTATAAAAATAAAAGTGCATCGTTGACGGATTGGAATACAGGATTACAGTTGAAAAATGTGTGAAGTGATATTTATTATACTGTCATACACGATCATCACGATGATAATTTCAGAGGATGAGCATCATAGGAGGACATTACATTTTAAGCATCAGTTTGCACGTACTACTTTAAAGCAGATGTGTGTCTCTGTAGTTGGCGTAAAGAAGTGGAATTCTTTGCCGAATGATTTAAAGGGCTGTAAGAAAATGTTTATGTTTAAGAAAATGTATAATGTATAAAAAAAAGTGTAATTAGACAGTACAGTATGAAGTTGACTTTTGATTGTGTTCTGGTTTTATGTTTCAGTATTTGTAAGCAACTGTGACTGAAAGAATATTGCTTTTATTTGACTTTTTAATGGTTATTTCTATATTTTGTTGTTGTTATAATTTTTTTGTAAGAATGGGCAGGTCAAATATGAATTAATGAAATTAATATAAAAAAATAATAAGATTTTCTTCTCCCTGCTCCTTTCCACCATGCGCTATAAAAAAAATATATATATATATATAAGTGTACGTGTTTTGTAAAGTGTACATGTCTTGTTTTAAAATAACTGCCATGTGTGAAATAAACATATACATAAATAAAATAAAATGCAATTTCTGATCATGGGACCTCTCATTAAAGTGTGCCCATGCTCATAAATTGCAGCCACAAGAGAGTACAGTAGATCGGAGCGTTTGTGTCCAGCTTTTGTTCCTGACCGTGTCTGATTCTCTGATTCAGCAGACTGGGTGTGACCCTGTGACCCCTGCGAGCGGTGGGGCCATGGCTGCTGGGGCGACAGTCGGGGAGAGCCAACTACAGAGGATTATCAGAGATCTGCACGGTAGGCCAGCTTTGTGTGTGTGTGTGTGTGTGTGTGTGTGTGTGTGTGTGTGTGTGTGTGTGTGTGTGTGTGTGTGTGTGTGTGTGTGTGTGTGTGTGTGTGTGTGTGTGTGTGTGTGTGTGTGTGTGTGTGTGTGTGTGTGTGTGTGTGTGTGTGTGTGTGTGTGTGTGTGTGTGTGTGTGTGTGTGTGTGTGTGTGTGTGTGTGTGTGTGTGTGTTGTTGTGGTGTCTGTGTCTGTGTCTGTGTCTGTGTGTAGCTGTGAATGAATAGATTGGCTGCAGTCAGATATTTGCAGCTGACATGGTGTGACTGGAGAGAGGTGAAAGAAGATTCATAATGACATGACCTGATTTCAACTTCAATACTAAGTACAATCTTTCGCCTGGAACTATCTGACCTTTCCTGGATGTCAAATTATTTGAGAAAATGTGCGTCTGAGCTCATGTTGCTGTAAAAGGGTGTGGTGGAGGCTCTGTCAGCATGCAGTGTGACCGAGAGTTCATACTGAGGATACACCCATCACAGGTGTCCTTCCAGTTTTTGCGATGGATACGAGGCAAGTGGTTGATTTGCAGACTAATTTTCCTTAATAGGGTACAACATTTGAGATGTATGCACTATGGCTGTGTGTAAGCAAAGTGTACAAAGATGGGAAAATATTACAGTGATGCAATTCTATTAATTTCCTCTGACTCTCAAATCAAATCAAATCAAATCAAGTTTTATTTATATAGCACATTTAAAAGCGATTTTTGGTCGAGCCAAAGTGCTGTACATGTAATAGTACATAGACTCTGTTTTAGGCCACGTGACTTTAGGTCTGTTCTAAGGAAATAACAATTGTCTGCCTTTTTGTTTCTCTGCGTCTCACCTTCCCTAATATACTGTATTTATCACTTCCTTTAATAAGCATATGTCTTTTCCTCTTGTATGTATTCACCAGGGTGAATCTACATGCATACTGTTTGTATAAATACTGTGTTATTAATGACTGACCTTTGTTTCTTGTTTAAACTATGTGAACTTCAGATGCTGTTGCAGAGCTTGCAAAAGAGTACAGGGAAAGTGGGGAGCCAATCACCGATGACAGTACCAACCTGCACAAGTTATCCTACAAACTGGAATACTTACTACAGGTGTGATTCAGCTTTAATTGTCAGACATGACTCAGTGCATACCAATTACTTAGGGAAGTTGTTCTTAATAACTAATGACATGCCTCAAAAAATGACATACATTCAACAGTTTTTAATTCCAACTGTTTCTATATATGTTTTCACCTTTCAGTTTGACCAGAAGGAGAAGACCACATTTCTTGGTACAAAGAAGGATTATTGGGAGTACTTCACTGACTGCCTGGCCAAAATCAAAGGAGCCAATGATGGGATCCGCTTTGTCAAATCCATCCCTGAGGTAGGAAGTTCACACACTCAAAAGCCTGTTTTATAATTGTTTTTGCATTGTATTCAGAGCTTCTAATATGCTAGGACCAAAAACACACCCAAGAAATCAATTGAAGTGTTGGAGCTAATGTGTTGCAACCTTGTAACTGTAACATATAGAAACAATTAGTTGTAACATGTTCAGTTTTTTCCCCATCTTGTTTTGTTTTATTTGTTAAAAGAAATGTGTAGATATTGATGTGCAGTTTGTCTATGAAGTTATGTGAAATAAATGTCTTCTTCTGCTTTAGCTGAAGACATCTCTGGGGAAAGGACGGGCGTTTATCCGTTACTCCCTCGTACATCAGCGGCTGGCCGACACTCTGCAGCAGTGCCTGATGAACCAGAGAATCACCAGGTAAATGATCAGGGAGCAATGTAGTCTCTTTGCAATGTTTTTCATTTCATTTAGATTTGCATAATGGCCTTTGCTGAGTTGCCGGTCAATGGATTAGAAAAAGAACCCTAACCCTAACCCTAACCATCACGGTGAAACAGCTTTACAATAAATTGCATTTCATTTACCAGAACATGTTCTGTTCAGTTTGATTCGATCAATTCCCCTTTCTTTTAAAGTAGTAGTCAGTTGTAGAGAGTAGCTGTAGAGAGGAGAGAGTTGAATATTAAAAAACATAACAAAGAAGAATTGAGTTACTGTTTTCAATCACATTTTCTGCAGTTTTAGTATTGTGCCATAAAATACACAACTAAAAGGGAACATCTTAATCTTAAAGAGGCACACAGCTGATATTTCGTGCCTTTCTTGATCAAGATGAAAATCTTGTCTTATGAGTGTAAAACATTTGACGAAAGATCCTTTTTTAGCCACTATCCTTGTTTCTTATCGTTTGGGTATTACCTACTGTGACCTCTTTCTCCTCTCTTCCCACAGTGACTGGTATTATGCACGGAGCCCCTTCTTGAAGCCCCATCTGAGTGTTGACATAATCAATCACTTGTACGAGCTCAATGAGGTCCAGTTTGATGTGGCTTCCAGAGGTCACGATCTTGATGCCTCCTGGCCAACTTTTGCAAGGTAAGGGGAGCAAAATCATAGAGAAATAAAACAGAAATTCATCTCAAAAGTCAAACTGCCATTGAGGAACAAGATAGCGAATTGTAGCCAGGAATGATCCAAGTCCAGACAAGAGGGTAGTTTCCTACATTTTTTAATCCAGTATCATCCAAAAGTACAAAGTTTGCAATATGTTCCCTGTGCCTTTGCTATGGCGTGTTTGTTTCACCCTGGTAAAAAACGATATGCCTACTGGTGCGCTTCTCCCACCTTCACCTGTCTCCAATATATACAATTATTAGGTGCCCAAATCACCCAGTGCCCAAAGATGCCTTCATAATAAAAGCATTCTGTTATTTCTTGCCCTATTTGTATTGGTTGTGTCTGTTTTAGGTCCTATATATATTCATGTTGCATTGCTGGAGGAGCCTGGGACTTAAGTTTTTCATTGCCATATCTACACTGTAGCTACTGTGGACATGACAATAAAGCTCTACATTTTCTATAAACAAAAACAGCAAGAAAAAATAAATGTTTAAATATTAAATAATATTAAAGCAATATATACTGTAGCTCAGACAGTAAATAATGACACAAAACTTAAAAAGGAGGTAAAACTACAACAATATCTACCAGATGATTACAGGTGTGTACAAGCCTTCCTATAAACCACCTTTGGAGTACAGTATTAGATTTATTTTCTAATCAACAGGAGGACACTGGGAAACTCACCTGGCCACATGTGGAAACCACCCACTCGCAGTTCCAGTATGAACAGTCTGGCCAGCACCTACTCCCAGGTAACACTCAAACAACATCCTGTCATTTCATCATCATCAATTAAAAATGTTCACCTATTATGCAAAATCCACTTTGTCATGTCTCTTCTACATCAACATGTGTCCCCTCTGTGGAAAGAGATTCTGAAAGTTTCAGGAAAAAAGATTCGCTCACTTTTTGTCCTGATCCATTTATATAAAAAAAACCTGTCTGAAAATGAGCTGATCAAAATGTTGGCCACTTTATGATGTCATAACGATTTGTTGGCTTGTGTAACCATTAGCCAATCAGCAACCAAGGTAACCCCCCCCCCACCTTATCACCTGAATCTCCTCCTAGAGCACCATTGAGTTATTTTAAACCAAATATCTCTCAGGGGGGCGTGGGGAGGGGCTCCTTATTTTCATCTAAAGTAACAGACAGAGAATCAGCACTTTTGAAACAGGGCTGAAACAGAGGGGATTATGGGATGCTGCAATGATCTGTCTGGTGTTTGGAGCCAAACACTTCAGAGACATGTTTTGTATATATCTGAGACCTATAATATATTGATGAAAAACAGTATAATAGGGGACCTTTAAAATACATGCTGTTCATCTCTCTCCTTCTCGTCCTTCCTTCTTGTTAGCAAGCCCACGAGTTCCCCTCCAGCCCTGACTATGGTCAGAATCTGCTCAATGACCTGAACGAATCCTGCACAGAAGAGGCCAGCACAGCTGAAGACCTTCGCCTGGAGCTGGACCAATCAGAGCTGAAGCAGCGAGGGCTCCTAGAGAAAGTGCAGCAGCTGGGCGAGGAGGCTGCTGAGCTCAGGGATGTAGTGGTGCAGCTCCAGAGTCAGCTGGATGTGTCCCTCGCTGCCCAAGAGGAGCAACAGGGCTTGCAGGGAGATCTGAATGCTCTGCAGGGAAGAGAAGAGGCCCTTTCCAGAGAAGTGGAAGCACTCAGGACTGGGGGAAAAGCTGAACAACAACTGCTCCAGGAAAAGCTGGCATCTGCTGAGGGGAAGAACATAGAGCTCCTAGCCAAATTAGACGGGGTGCTGAGTGAAAAGGGCCAGCAGGCAACCAGCCACTTTGATTCAGCTCAAAAGATCCATGAGTTACTGGACAGATTGAAGGAGGCAGAGAGAGGGAAGATGGATGCTGTAGCTGAGGCAGATGAGAAGAAGAGACAGGCAGAAAGGCTAGAGGACGAGCTGACACTGAAGGAAGCAGCAGCAACGCGTGGCGAAACAAAACTAGAAGCATTGGTAACATCTGCATCTGAGGAGAAGGCAACGTTGGAGGTGAAAGTGGAGGAACAGTGCAGCGCTCTTGATAAGCTGCAGGGGGCTTTGACAGTGAGAGAGAAGGAGACAAGCAACTTCCAAAGACAACTGCAGGACCTCCAAAGATCCCTAGAGGAGAAGGAGAAAGACATGGAGGAGGTGAAGGAGAGGGCACAACAAGATAAAGAGGACATGCAGAAGAAGTCTAATGGTTTAGGATCAGAAGTCACTGCCCTTAAGGAGAAGCTAAAGGAGAAAGACGCAGAGCTTTCCTCCAACTGCAAGAAACTACAACAGCTAGAATCCAAGCACCAAAGCCTGATCACAGAGAGAGGCAAACTGACCAATAACCTTGTTGAACTGGAGGGTAACGTCAAAGAACAATCAGCGAAGATAGAAGAATACAAGACTCAGTGTGGCAATTTAATAGAGCTAAACAAGAAATTGCTAAAAACAGAAAAGAGAAACGAGGGGATGAAGAAGGAGATGGTAGAAAACAGAAAAGTGACCGAGACTGAATTAGCTGCTCTGAGAGCTTCTGAGAAACAGCTTCGTGGCCAGATGGACGACACCAAGATGACGGTGGATGAAAAGGAGAAGCATCTGCGTGAGGAGAACCGCCAGCTGGATGAGAGTCTGCAGAGAGCCAACATGGCCGCAAAGCTCTCAGAGGCCACGGCAAAGCATCTGGAGCAGGAGAACCAGACTGTGAGAGAGGAGCAGGACACTGTGAAAGCAGCTCTCAGCCGTATGCAAGCCGACCTGAGGAGTGTTCACGCGCAGATCGGAGAGTTGGAGAAAAACTTAGGAGTCTCGCGTAAGAACGAAACCAGCCTTCAAGAACAGCTCGAAGCCAAAGACGCGCAACTAGAACATGAAGAGAAGAGTCTTGTTGAGCTGCAGTCCAGGTTGGAATCTCTTGAAACCAGGGAGAAGGAGCTGGAGATCGCCAAGTCTGACGCAGAAGCAACTTGTGCTAAACAGACAGAATTGATTGAAAGGGTTACCTCGGAGAAGCGAGTGATGGAGACATCTCAGCTGGAGAGAAGCGCGGTGCAAGTGAAGGAGAACCAGGAAGAGACGGGGAAACTTGAAGGCCGATTGGAGGTGTGCATGAATGACGTGTCCAGGCTGCAGGCAGAGATCCTGGACCTCAGGGTGCGGGTACAGAGATCTGAGGAAGAAAAAATGAAATCACAAGCACAACTGGAGGTGACGGAGGCCCAGAGAGATGAGCTCCGGACTCTGACCGAGCATCTCAAAGCCCAGACTGAGGCACTGAATCAAAAGCATGTAACAGAGCTCGTGGACTGCAAGAAGAAAGAGGGAGTTCTCATTGAACAGCGTGATAAAGAAGTAGCCGCCTGTGCAGAGTTGTCCATCTCTGCAGCGGCCACCCGCGAAGAGCTGTCCAAACTCAAGGCAGAAAACAGCAGGCTATCCTCAGAGAACGGCGAGATACGAGAGGGTCTACACAGAGCGAACACTGAGATGGCAGAGCTTGGGATCACCATCTGTAAGCTGGGTGCAGAAAAGGAGGAGGCTAGAGAGCACTGGGCCGGGGACGCCGCCAGGATCCAGGAGATGGAGAAAGAGGTGGAGCGACTAGAAGAGAGCATGGCAGAACTGCAGAGGGAGAATGCCAGACTGAGAGAGGAGCTGACAGAGAAGGAGAAACTTCCAGAGAGTATCATGGAGCTCAAGAAGCAGCTGGACAACGCCAAAAACCAAGTGCAGAGCGCCAAGGAGGAGGTGGGGGCCGCCAAGTTCCACCTGAGCTCTGAGAGCATGAGTCATCAGGTCCAGATGAAGGTGAGTCGGTCAGAAGCGAGTCAGCTGCAGCAGGCACTTACATTTTGTCATTAGAGTTGACACGCATTGAAAACACACATGTTATTACGCAAATTAGGTTTTTTATTTCGGGTGTCTTGCTGCCAAGTATTAGGGTTCAACTCTTTAGCTGGCAGAACATTTCAGACAATGTCATCCCCTCTATCTCCCCCTATCAACACATATTTCCATAAAGGCGCTCTGGCCCAAAAAATTGCATGACAATGTCAGTGAAGGTGGTCAAGCCTTTTAAAAAGTGTATTCCCAAACGCTGTGTAACACCATTAACACTCACTACTGGGCAAGCCTATTCTTTGCCCTAGTTATCAATCAATCAATCAATCAATGTAAATCGAAGAGATAATACATTTACAGCATGGGTCGGCAACCCCTGGCACCGTAACCAGTGGCACACTAGGAATAAGTGGAATAAGTGTGCAAAATATTTAAATTGTATTTTCGGATCCTGAACGAGACCGCCGCCAGAGCGCGTCTCCCCGTTACCTGCAGAAGGAAGCCATGCACGCAGCGCAGCCCCGCTCTGTTTAACTCCAGGTGACTTTCTGCCGCTTTCCTCCGTGGTGCAGGGCTGATCGTTTCACCACGGAGGAAAGCACAAATTGCAGTACCCATAAGGAGCTGTAAAAATACCACAGTTTTTGCGTGGCTGTGTCTTTAGTTGAAAGCCCAGTGGCGATCTGCTCATCTCTCATTGAAATAATATGCTACAAAGGGGTTGACTGGCCATCTGTGTGTTGAACTTTCCTGTTGGCTCCCAGACCGTAGTCGAGGAGGGCAGAAGCAACAAGCTTCAGGTTCAATAACCCACTTTAGCTTAAATGACTGGAGAGAGGCGAGCTCTTCTGGGGAGGCCGTTGCATTTATTTAGCTGTTCTTCTGTTTCACAAAATACATCACAGACCTCTGTTTTTCTGCTGCCTCGTTTCACTTCCAGAAACATACACACGCTCCCTCACTGTCGCTCTACCATCCACACACACACATGCACACGCCACACCCCTCTCTCTCTCTCTTAAAGGGACAGCGAACTCATCTCACTCTGCCTGACCCTAATATCATAACATGTGTGTTCTGGAGAATCACAGAACGGATGATCGTCCTTATTATTATGCCGTTTAAACCAATTATTTAAATGTGTTTGTTAAATTCGGCATCATGTAAGTTGTGCTGACGGGTACACACACACACTGCTTCCCCGCAGCTCCCCCCCCCCCCCCCCCCCCCCCCCCCCCCCCCCCCCCCCCCCCGTTGATAATTCTCGATCGTTGGCACGCTGATAACAATTAATTTTTTTAATGGCACTTCATATCAAAAAGGTTGCCGACCCCGGATTTACAGCATAGGTAGACCAAATGTTTGGAAATGCATGTGTCTCTAATAAGGAGATGAATCAACGAGGATGTCAACATTCCAGGGAAGTAGTATGATGAGGTTCAGCCACGACTCGAAATCCACGACACAGGACATCCAGGATCCAGGATCCAGGACATCCAGGATCCAGGACTCAGGATCCAGGACTCAGGATGCAGGATCCTGTGTCCTGGATAGTTATTAGTTTATTGGCCCCATTCACACCTGACATTACTTTGTAATCTGTATCTGAGTTTGTTAACTGGGCAATGACATCCAATCCATGGGTCTTTGCATTTACACCTGTTATCTAAATTAGTTTTATGGCTTGATTGTACCCACAATGTGATCATACATCAATATGCAAATGAGTGAGGCGGAGCAGGCTGACTTGTGAGTCTCAGGTTAAGGGAAGCACTTCCACACAAGGACATCAGTTGTGTTTCTAAATCACTTTGCCAGAGAAGAGAGTCCCTTGCGAACCAGATACAAATCACATTTTAATGCCAGGTGTACATTGGGTACTCCTCAAAAATATACATATCCGTAACCTCTTGAGATTGCAATGTCACTCCAACACTCAAACACTATATTCCAGACTAAAATATCATAATTACTATTGGATGGATTGCGATGTAATTGTGTACAGACATTCATATCCCCCGTAATAATATAAATGATTCCCGTGCTTTTGATCAAGCCCCATACTCGGTTTATGACCAAAAGTAAAACTCAGGAATCAGAAATCATTTATTAGTCCCACAGCGGGGAAATCATGACATTCCTATCAGCCTCAGCTGCATTGTGTGTTTTCTAATTAACAAACCTTAGCATGCAAACCCTCTCAATTATGTGAGGGTACATCAGAATCAGAAACGGGTTTATTGCCAGGTTCACACATACAAGGAATTTGACTTGATGTCATGGTGCATACATAACATAGCATCAGTACTGTATGTAAGCATGGTCATTTAAATTCTTGTTTTTCAGAGCGTTAATGAGCAGCTGGACACGGTGAGAGGTCAGCTGCAGGAGGAGACGAGGAGTGTGTCCAGCCTGCAGGACAAAGTGTCTGAGATAGAGGTTTGTGTCTTTCTACTACCTAAGTAGATACATGGTGACGGAAGAATGTGTTCTTTAACCTTTGCAAAGGAGAAACATGTCATATAAAACTAGAGTATCATTTGAAAGGAACGAAAGTGTGATGTACTGACTTCTAGTCTAAAGACAAACATGGGTCACGCAGTGAAAAGTGCAACGTCCTATACATAACCTGGAGCAACAGCAGCTTTATCATAAGTGGATTTTACAGGGATGGAGAAAGGTTACACTCCACAAGGGACATCATTACAGAAACATAGTTTGTTTAATACTCATTAACAGGAGGTGATTATATGACTTTTTTCAGGTTGTTTTTTTATAACGATTGATTTCTTTGATTGCATAAGGTAGATTTGAAACAGCAGTGTAATACGATTATAATTTTGATTTGTGATTAACTTGATTGTTGGATTTAATTGACTCTGGGTCACTCCAGGGAATGTTTCGATATATAATATACTTCAATATATATGAGCAAAAAAAAAAAAAATTAGGACTCCTACAATTGAATGTATGATATTAAACCAAGAACCAATTCAAGAACAACAATGGAACTACAGTATTGCTTAAATTATTGAGATGAATGTACTAATTTGACATTTGTATGCATGTTCTTATAATGTTTTTAAAGGCTTTGAATGGGCAGTACCTGAACCTAACTGGCGAGAAAGACGCTCACATCACACAGACAGAAACAACCATCCGTGAGAGTGAGAGCGAGATTCAGCAGCTGAGGGATTCTGTAACCAGGTGCGTTTATTTCCAGTCATACCTATAAATATCACCTTGGTTTAAAAAAAAAAATTAGCTACAGACTAATTTTCTTTGCATGTGCTTCTCCTCAGCGCTGAAGAAGCACACTTGGCTGCGCAAAAGCTCTGCGAGGATTTGAGGCAGAAACTCATCACAACAGAAGCTGACAGAGCAAACCAGAGCATGAAGATGACTGCAGAGATCGATGACCTCAACAGGACGAAGGGCAACCTTGGAGAGCGGCTCATCGAGCTGATAAGGTACGACCTTTCTCTGTCACAGCTGCGTTTCTTCATGAATAAAGAGGTTAAAGGTCATGTTCTCGTTGGATGTCTACCACCTTGTTATGTTCAGTTGCTGCCTGCTCTTTGATAGACCCAGTGGGTGTGTGTGTTTTTTTTGAATAGTTTCTTCCAGTATGAGTATCTCTCATGTTGTTATATTTGACAATGATGGGGGAAAATAAGATCGGAGAAGCAGGGTTGTTGTATGCTAAGAAAAGAGAGGGTGATGCTGAAAGGCCAACATGACAGGGGAAGTTGAACATAACATATTCTTCACTGCTACCTCAAAAGCGGTGATACTGTGTAAGGGATGAAACACAAATTCAGTGATTATAGTCAACTCCTTTGGGAGGTGCACACAGGATTTAAGCCTTTCATTGTTCAATAGGAGGCACACCTTCATTGTTGTACCAAGAATAGACAACGTGTAAAATGACATAGATATTTGAAAGGAAAAATAGTTCAGTCAAAGTGCATATAACAAATCAAATGGGCTCAGTCTTCAAATAAATGGGAAGCGCGACATATAAACCACAGATAACACCACAAGGTTAATTATGTTTTATATTTAATATTATAATATCAACAGGGTGGAATTAGATTTTGTTTATGCCGTCAATATTATTTTCTGATTTATGAAGTGATAGACAGACCCAAAATTCCCTTTGTAAAAACAATGACTTCTATTTGCCAAGAACATTAAACAGCACTTGTTTGTCCTGGCTTTGTCCAATGTTCAGATATCTGTTTTGTTGCAAATCTACAAATATTTTATAATAAAAGATGCCTTTTTTGTTCATCTTAACATTTCAGAATACTTGTTATACAAACAAATATGTTCATGAATCAATTGTGAAAGTTTCATTGTGTTTCCTTTCAGTTCAAATTATAATGTCCCCCCTTAAAACAGCTTTCAATGACACTCAACTTGCATTTGTCTTTTTGTGCAATACCAGGGACAAAGATGCTCTGTGGCAGAAGTCAGACGCTCTGGAGTTTGAGCAGAAAATGCGAGCAGAGGAGCACTGGTGGTCCGATAAAGAGACCACCAACTGCCTCGACTGCAAGGGCCAATTCACCTGGTGGCTGCGCAGACATCACTGCAGGTGGGCTTCAGTGGGCCTTATGTTGCTCCTTTTTAAAGGTCACCTATTATGCAAAATCCACTTTTTCCTGTCTTTTCTACATCAACATGTGTCCCCTCTGTGGAAAGAGATTCTGAAAGTCTCAGGAAAAAAGATTCTCTCACTTTTTGTCCATTTATATAAAAACCTGTCTGAAAATGAGCTGATCAGATTTTGCCCACTTTATGATGTCATAACGATGTTTTGGCTTGTGTAACCATTAGCCAATCACCAACCAAGGTAACCCCCCCCCCCCCACCTTATCACCTGAATCTCCTCCTAGAGCACCATTGTGTTCTTTTTAACCAAATATCTCTCAGAGGGGCGTGGGGAGGGGCTCCTTATTTTCATCTAAAGTAACAGACGGAGAATCAGCACTTTTGAAACAGGGCTGAAACAGAGGGGATTATGGGATGCTGCAATGATCTGTTTGGTGTTTGGAGCCAAACACTTCAGAGACATGTTTTGTATATATCTGAGACCTATAATATATTGATGAAAAACAGTATAATAGGGGACCTTTAAACTACGTGATGAAACCCATGCACAGCACTGAAACAGCCCTTTTAAGAGTTTTTAATGATCTGCTCCTAGCCGCCGACTCAGGTAGCCCAGCTGTCTTGGTGCTGTTAGACCTGACAGCTGCCTTTGACACTGTGGACCATAGCATCCTGCTGTCACGGCTTGAACAGTCCGCTGGCATCACAGGCTCTGCCCTTGCATGGTTCAGGTCCTACCTGACAGACCGTAGCTTCTCAGTGCAGCTAGGTGCCTTCTCCTCTGCCAAAGCCCCTCTTACCTGTGGGGTTCCCCAAGGCTCGATTCTGGGCCCCATCCTTTTTCTACTGTACATACTGCCCCTAGGTTCAATTCTCACAAAACATAATATTCCCTTCCACTGCTACGCCGACGATGTACAGATCTATCTGCCTCTCAAAGCAAATGTCAAACACTCACTACAGCAGTTGATGGACTGCTTAGCAGAGATAAAATCCTGGCTGAGCAAAAACTTTCTCAACCTCAACGAGAGCAAGACTGAGGTCATCTTTTTTGGACCGCAACCTCCAGCCTCTCCGGTTGATATTCTGGGCTCCATCAAAAAAAACATCCTCCCCTCGGTCATGAACCTTGGAGTGACCTTCACTAGCACTTTTAAATTCGACAAGCAGGTCAGCACCGTAGTCAAATCCTGCTTTTTTAAAATAAGACTATTGGCCAAAACCAAGTCGTATTTATCTTTTAATGACTTAGAAAGGGTTATTAACGTCTTTGTAACCTCGAGACTGGACTATTGTAACGCTCTGTATGTGGGTATGGACCAGGCCTCAATTAAACGCCTACAGCTAGTCCAAAACGCTGCTGCACGTTTGCTGACTGGCCACAAAAAGCGTGACCACATCACCCCAATTCTGGCCTCACTACACTGGCTTCCAGTTCGGTTCAGAATTGATTTTAAAATCCTTTTATTTGTTTTTAAAGCACTAAATGGGCTGGCTCCGGCCTATATAGCTGAACTGCTCCAGCGCTACACCCCAGCCAGAGCTTTAAGGTCTGCTGACCAGCTGCTGCTGGTAGTGCCCAAGACCAGGCTCAAAACCAGAGGGCACCGAGCCTTCGCAGCAGCTGGCCCGAGGCTCTGGAACACTCTGCCCCTCCATGTGAGGTCGGCCCAGACCCTAGGGGTTTTTAAATCTACACTAAAAACACACTTCTTCTCTCTGGCTTTCTAGTTAGAGCGGAGCACGACTCCTGACTTTTCCGTGTGTTTTATTTTTATTTTGTTTTTAAGATATATCTGTTGTAATTTATTGTCGTTTATTGTGATTTGTAGTAATGTGTTTTTTATTACATGTACAGCACTTTGGCTCGACCAAAAATCGCTTTTAAATGTGCTATATAAATAAAACCTGATTTGATTTGATTTGATTTACGTGCAGTATCACTTCTGAAAAATGTCTGAAATGGATTAAAACCCTTTTTTTCCCCAGGCTTTGTGGTCGGATCTTCTGCTACTACTGCAGCAACAACTTTGTGCTGACTAAGCACAGCGGGAAGAAGGAGCGCTGCTGCAGGGACTGCTACAACCAGCACAGCGCGGTGGTGGAGAGGTTCACAGAGGCGGAGCTGAGTCCTTCAGACACTCAGCCCCCCCCACCCGGAGCTGGACCTCAGCCCCCTCCAGAACCAGCCCCGTATAAACCCACTCCCAGGGTCACAGGTGAGAGGCAAGCTGGGGAGAAAACACATGCTGACCTGACAACTGCACACTTAACTTAAAGGTAGCACCCAAAAGTGGATTGCTGTGGTTCTCAGGCCGTGTGTAGCCAACTGGGAAGCAGAAGTGAAAAGACTAACTTCTTCATAAAGAGGAACAAGGACAGAAGTATAAGCCGTAGGATTGTTGTTTAGTAGGCAAAACGGGAAGATGGTGACATTTCAAATTCTTAACTTTCATTCTAATTAAAGGAAAGCTGCAAAATGTTACAGTACATGTATTTGTAGGGGCCCATTATCAGACGTTCATTTAGGATGGTTTAAAGGTCACCTATTATGCAAAATACACTTTTTCATGTCTTTTATATATAAATATGTGTCCCCTCTGTCGAAAGAGATTCTGAACGTTTCAGGAAAAAGATTAGCTCTCTTTGTCGTATTATGTAACAGACCCAGAATCAGCACTTTTTAAACAGGGCTGAAACAGAGGGGATTATGGGATGCTGCAATGCATGATATGTTTGGTATTTTGAGCCAAACACTTCAGAGACATGTTTTGTATATATCTGAGACCTATAATATATTGATGAAAAACAGTATAATAGGGGACCTTCAAATCTATACATGCAAAATGTATTTTGTGTGCTTCTAAGACTATACCATGAGAATATGTAGTGGTCCAACAGTCATTATATATATTCTTGTTTCTTCCAGTTTCAGACCCCAGCCCCAAATCTGACGACGGGGTTTTTGACATAATCACAGAAGAGGAAGTGAACGGCGTCTATGACAGTGACAACGTGTCCCAGACCACAGGGGGCTCTCTGGAGGGAGATCAGGAGCCACGGCCCCCTGGAGCGCTGGATATGTGAGTGTCATATTTATGTGGGGTCAGAAAACTGAGACCTGGTTCAGCTGGTGTCTCTGTCCTGAGGTCAGATCCCTCAGTTGGAGATAGCAACTTAGTACTGATGTCAGGTTTACACTCACAGATTAACATCCGGACCTATATAGGCATTGATTGCACCAAGCAGTGTGACATCTACACACAGTACATTCATTAAGTGTGTGTCTATGACTAATCAGAGCCTGTCAAATCCCAAATACTGCGTGAAGCTCTGGATGATCTTGGAATATAAAAAATACAATGGTTTCATGAGAAATGTAATTAGGTTTCAAATCTTACTTTGCTTATAAAGCAGACACACAACAAGGCTTTCTTCCGGGTTGTTTTCACCTTAACGTCTTGACCTCGTAAAGGTGGGACGCAGGAAATTGGGAACTGAATTAGTTCCTTATTATTGATAATATAAAATCAATGTGTCCATTGTGACCTTTATCATTCAGTTTAAAAAAAACAACTGATCAGTGCCTTTGCTTCCAGCAGCTTCAGGGTGGAAGGAAGATGCAGAAGTATGGATGTGTTACCGTTAGGTTGTTAATTTGATTGACATGGTTACATCATGATCATTATAGCTCTGAATCATTACCGTTGAAGAGTTATTTGCATTAAAAATGGTAAATATCACTACTATACTCATGTGTTTTGCAGAGGCACCGGAGATGTGACCCCTGATGACCCTGAAGACCATGTTCCCACTGTTCAGGATACAGAAATCAACATTCTCAAATCCGGAGAAGTCACGTGAGTCTTGGCTTTTGCTTTAAATTGTGTAACTGATGAGAGACTCAGTTTAAATACCACTGAAAACTCATTTTAAATGGTGTTCTTTTTGCAGGATGGCTGTCCCTCTCACCATTGACGATATTTCTGGGTTTGGTGAAGGTTCCCGGGAGCTCTTCATCAAATCCAGCTGTTACAGTGTAATCACTGTTGCCGTGGGTGACCGTGGGCCAACCATCAGCTGGGTGTTTTCCTCGGAGCCTAAGAGCATCTCCTTCAGTGTCGTTTACAGGGAATCAGCTGATGTTCATGTGGAACAGTCAAAGGTAGACGTCAAAGATAAATGTGTTGTTGTGAGAATCACTCCTTGTTCTCCTGCTCATACATTCAAATTGTAGTTGCTTCAAAACAGACTCAAAAGCAGAAGTTATTTACAGACACAAAGGATTGACCCTGTGTCTTAGGAGCCCCCTGCAGTCTTTTGCTAGTTGCTTGATCTTTCAAATATCACTGACGGAGGAAAACCCCCTGCAGGTTTTCAGTGTTGCTCAGCAGGTTAAGGTACACATCCTGCGCTTTAAATGTCAGGGTCTGTAAACGAACAACCTTTGGTTTCATAAACCATCTCCTTCTACTCATGTCAATATTTACTTACGTGAGATATTTACCTTTGATATATAATATAAATATAATTCAAAATGAGTTGGAATTAACAATATATTACATTAAGAACATATTATATTCTGCAAATTTCAGGCTCATATTTGTATTGTGTGCGTATATTGTGACATGTTTACATGCTAATGATCTCAGACAATAAGCCACATTTATCACTTAGTCAATCGATAGAAAATAGTTTTTCGTGCAAAAATGCCAAATATTTGATTTGTTCTTGTTTCTCAAATATTTGTTGATTTTTTTTTTTTTTTAATGTGACTTTTGAATTGTTGACAGGACTATTTGAAAACGGTCAAATTATGGACGTTTCCCACTCTACTGATTTGGATAGATTCGAGTTTTTATCTATCAAATTATAATTTCCAGTTTGACTGACAAAAATGATATTAATACATTTTACTGCATTTATTTTTATATATATAAAAACAACTTTTATTGCACACTTTCAGGTGTATATCAGTATGTAGTGTCTCTACTGGGACATGTCTCCATGCTTTAATGTTCAAAAAGCTCTTTATTTTTCTCATACTGCCTGTGCTGCAGCACCTCTTTTCACCCTCTGTCTGAAACCAGAGCCCAGTCTGCTCTGATTGGTTATCTGGCCGGCTCTGTTATGATTGGTCAACCGCTTAGAGATTTCCCGCCCCTTAGCCTGTCACGTACAATGTGTTGTAGCGCTAGCCAATGTCAAACATAAACATTGTTTGTACAGCATATGTTTTAAACGAGACTAGAGTATTATAGATAAATACAGTAGGCTCGTGAGGCGAGAGTTGTTAGAGAACCCCTGGCAGAATGTTTTTATCTGAACCCAGAGTTTCACTTCATGCGGATGTTTCTGTTCTTCTCTCAGGTCCTGATTCCTCTGACTCGCTGCAATTCCCATAAAGAGACAATTCAGGGACAGCTGAAAGTCCGAAACCCCGGCCTCTACACACTCATCTTTGACAACTCCTACTCACGGTACATATACCTCTGTCTTGATTCTTCCTCTCAGGGGGAGAAGCAGTGTGCGAAATACGATTAACACCTGAGCCCCCCTGAAAGCCTCAACAGCAACATTTGAGGGGGGTCTCAAATTATAATATTTATTTGTCACTTGCAATGGTCACTAAAATGTTTGTAAGCTTACTATGTCCAGTATTCATAATTCAAAACATGTATTCACAAATATCTTCTATTTTGGCGGGCAAAAGCATTTCCTCGCATAGAATGGAAAACAGACGGCTCTTTAACGGTCGCGTATTCATTCATTCATAAGAACGTCAGAATATAGAATTATTTGACGGCACCCCTGAAGACGCCAGACGGCACCCCGGTTGAGAAACGCTGCTATAGACTACTGATTGTCTTGGCTTGCATCCATGAAATATTGTATAGTGCATATTGAGAAATCTTCGACCGGTATATTGAGCAATAAACGGGAGATTATTGACGGGTATTTCGCACACTGGGGAGAAGCATATTAATTATAGAAATGCATTCACTTTGATGATAAATTCTGATCGGAAAGCCTCTTTCTACAGGTTTATCTCCAAGAAGGTCTTCTACCATCTGACCATGGAGAGACCCATCATCTACGATGGAAGTGACTCCCCTGAACATGGATGATATAAAGGATCTCAAAGATGGCAAATTCAACGACAGTTTCTAACTAATATGATTTTATTTTACCTCTTTTTCTCCAAATTTGTTTTTACCCAAGTATTTTATGTCTCCATTTTTGATTGTGTTATTTAAGTCTGTGGTCTTATTGTTTTTAGGTGTCCCCATGTTTTAACTGTGGCCTAAGTGAGGTGTTGTCAACAAGATGGAAACGTTTCTGAAGGAAACAGAAAGACAAATGTTTTAGTGTGTTTTTATAGATGTCCACCAAGTAATATACTATATGTACTCCAAGTTTGGCTAGCTTTTGGTTTAGTTTGAGACGTTTTGTCTTTCTTTTATTTTTGTCAGTCTTACTATTGGCCTCTCTTTTCCCAAACATGCTGTCACGTTAGGGAATGCAGTAGTATCAGTGTATGAAATATGATAAAGAATGTATGGTAAGTATTTATTGGCAAAAGACCCAGGACATATTTTATTTTAATTGACAAAGTACGGTCAGTTGTTGTGCAATCTTTTAAATCAAAGCAGAAAGGTGCAGACAAAAGGTTTGATCCTGGCTGTATTAATGATCCTGTCTGAACACTATGTTTGCACTTTGCTAGCGAAGGAATATACAAAAAGTAGAAACTAGAAACTGACCCGGAAAATTACAATATCTGTTTTATAAGAAACCGTTTAAACTTTGTGCAGATCTCAGGAGTGGGACATTGGAGTGTCCTGTATTTGTAGCATGTCCTTATTTTAATGTTTTTGGGAAAGAGAAAGAAGAAAAACTGCCATCTTAGTTTCTGTGTCAGGAGAATACAAATCAGCTTTCTCCATCCAGTTTATAGGACCTCATTAAGCGGAGTGCCTGCTCCTACACAGGCTGACTGGTGTCATTACAATGATATTCACTAAAAGTATATTAAAAACTGTCAGCTAATCAGCTACTGTACTTCTAAAGTGCCTATTATCTCTGATGGCCAGGGATTACTTTGCTTTTGAAGCATCGACATAAAACATGACACTTGGTACGAGTTGATACCATTCTGTAAAAACGTAATCCCAGTGACATTCAAATCACATATCACACATCAGCATTTGTTTTAAATTTTACTTTCATTTGGATTCTATTGTAATCCCTGGCATCTTGTTTAGGAAACCCTCTTCAATGTACTCTCGGTGATCAAATGGCTTTTATTATGTTTTAATGTTTCTTTTAAAGCAAAGTAATGAGAAAAAAATGATCCAGCTCGATCTCGGATAAATCCGTACACTACTTAAAAAAGCAAGGGCTAATCTCTATGCTGATGAAATCTTTTCTAGCTTCATAGTAAGATCTCTTATATTTTTAATGGCTATATATTTGTGCAATTTCTATGCAAAGGCTCATATTTTCATTACAGAGCTGCACTTTGTGATAATTACTTTACAATTTGTTACAAACAATACTGAATCGGTTAAGTTTACAGTATCTTTGTCAGATTTTTCTACTTGCCGATTTTGAAGGATCATTTTTGGAGAAGTGTAATATGCATGAATCATAACTACAGGCACTCAGTGTGACTAATAGACCTGTCAAACATCCAGTAAACATGAATAAAATGTGAGATCGATGACGTCTCTGACATCCACTAATCTGTGTCTCGTTAAGTGTGTGACATCTGGAACGACGGCATGAGATCACATTATCCAGAATAATACTCAGTGAATATGATTAGTTTTTGTGAGCTTATGCCAGAGCCTGTTCTGCTAATGATCTCATAAATGTGACAGTAAGCCACATTTATCACTTAGTCAATTGAAAAATGCCAAATATTTGATTTGTTCCCGTTTCTCAAATATTTGTTGATTTTTTTGTTTTAAATGTGACTTTTGAATTGTTGACAGGACTATTTGAAAACGGTAAAACATTATGGATATTTTCCACTTTACTGATTTGGATAGATTTTTGTTTTTATCTATCAAATTATAATTTCCAGTTTGACTGACAAAAATGATATTAATGCATTTTATTGCATTTATTATGATATAAATACAACTTAAAGAATTATATTGCACATTTTCAGGTTCCTATTTGTATTGTGTGTCTCTATGGTGACATGTCTCCATGCTTTAATGTTCAAAAAGCTCTTTATTTTTCTCATACTGGCTGTGCTGCAGCACCTCTTTTCACCCTCTGTCTGAAACCAGAGCCCAGTCTGCTCTGATTGGTTAGCTGGCCGGCTCTGTTGTGATTGGTCAACCGCTTAGAGATGTCCCGCCACTTAGATTATTTTGTACAATGTGTTGGAGTGCTAGACAATAGAAGTGCAAGTGGTACATAGTGATGTCATTATGTTAAAGAAGAAAACAAAGGAGTCCAATGGAGGCGTTTTAGGCAAGGGGGGAGTGTGTGGGAGAGAAACTAAATTAATTGACGTATGCACAAATTAATAAAATTATCAATCTATAAAGGAGAAATCTGAATGTGAACAAAACACTGTTTCTCCATCAAAGTCTCAGACTCATATCTCCGTTTTTCATCTGGCTTATCTCCTGTTTTCTATCTCTGTTCGAGTAAAGTGAAATACCAGCCCAACATTTCCAAAACTGTGTGTTTGGCGACACATTCAGGCTCCGGTACGTAGGAAGAGAGTTGAATTTTGAGAATCTCACTAACCAAACACAGCCTCAGCTGTAAAGCTTGCCAAAACACCTTCAAACTCCTCTTGGCCTTCAAAATAAAATACAGAAACTTCACAATCAAATAGGTCATCAGACTTCCATTATTCATATTGGTGGCTGGTACATTGTTTTCCATAGCTATAGGAATATCTAGACATTTTCACTCTTTAGCCATTTCCTACCGATATCTTGAGAATGCGATTTTTATTCTGAAAGCATACACAGGAAATGCTACGCCTGTATTGCTGCATGCTTGACTGGTGTTGTATGTACACCTGTGCAGAGAGCAGGGTCTCACATGCAGGAGGAGGGGGCTGCAGACTCATTGATGAGAGCTCCACTCCACTCTGAACAGAGGAACCGACAACATGTCCTGTCTCATCGGAGGGATCCTGCTCTCTCTGTGGCTGCCTCAAACTGTGAGTGATATACTTTAACTTACCTTTTGTTAACAATGAAAGAAGATACATTATTATTATTATTATTGCCACATAGAAAACTTTAGGCTCTCTTTTGCAGGGAATTGGCTGATGTGTTTCAAAAACGAGATAAATCTTCAAATGTTACCCTATTTCTCTTTCTTTTCCTCTCCTAGTTTCTAGATTTGCATTTGAGTTACTTTGCTTTTCACTGAGCTTTAATCAAAATCATCATAACAAACGAACTGTGTGTGTGCGTGTGTGCGCGCCCCAGTGCATGAGAGCGTGCACGCCCTGCTTCTGTCTGCAGAATCCTGATCTGCAGCTGATAATTTTCTTATCATTAGCGTGTGTTGCATAATAAACTACTCAGCAGGAGGGTATCAGCAGACTGATCTAAAGCCAGGAGTAGGCCTACTTGATCCATATAGGCTCACGAATGAATGTGATGTGAATAAGTATAAAGTGTGTATGTGTGTGCGTCTAGTCTTTACTGTTCAATGTGTGGAGGGTCTGGAGGTGTGTGTGTCTTACGTGAGTGTGTTTGTGTGTGTTGTCTTCTAATTCTAAGAAAAAATGCCAATATCCCATCACACCAGCATAGATTTTCCAATACTGTATTACCCTTTTTTTACATTTGAAAGTGTGAACATGTGTTAATATTATCTTTCACATTTAATTAAAATCCGTCTGCTGCAGATTTAGTGCATGTGTGTGGCCTGTGGGGTGTGATTATATGTTAATATAAATACACTTTATTGACCACACGTGCGAACAAGGATTTCAAGTTTATGTTTCACCATTTAAAAAATTCTGTGTCCCCTCTGTGTAAAGAGATTCTGGAAGTTTCAGGAACAAAGATTCTCTCACTTTTTGTCCTGATCCATTTATATCAAAACCTGTCTGAAAATGAGCTGATTAGATTTTGGCCACTTTGTGATGTCATAACGATGTTTTGTCTTGTGTAACCATTAGCCAATCACCAACCAAGGTAACCCCTCCCCCCCCCCACCTTATCACCTGAATCTCCTCCTAGAGCACCATTGTGTTCTTATTAACCAAATATCTCTCAGAGGGGCGTGGGGAGGGGCTCCTTATTTTCATCTAAAGTAACAGACAGAGAATCAGCACTTTGGAAACAGGGCTGAAACAGAGGGGATTATGGGATGCTGCAATGATCTGTTTGGTGTTTTCTTTTTAAGATTTGTTCTTTTTTTTGCGTTTTATCAGATACTTTGAAGATAATCAAAAGGAGGCAGAGGGAATCGAACCCCTGCCAAGGACACATTGATCCTCGGCAGTGTCCCAGTTGATCACTTTTCTGAGAGTTTAAACAAATTAAATTGATTTCGAATTCTGCTCCTGATTTTTTATATCTTAAAGTGGACCTATCATGCTATATTATAATAATATAGTGTAGGACCATACATAAGGAATATTTATACTTTTTTTTTTTTAAATACCAAACAGATCATGCATTTTAGCCATGCCTCATTTTGCTCAATTTCCACTTTTGTAGCCCTGTTTTTGCAAGGGCTGATTCTGTGAGAACAGCACCACCTACAGGCCTGGCATATGTACTACAGCGTCTCCAGCGCTTTCGAACGGCAATGGCCGTGGCTGTCTCCTCCTGATTGGTGGAGTTGGCCCAATAGCCGTAGCGCCACCGTCCTGACGTCAGGACAGTGTTCAAATCTGGATCAGTTTTTATCAGATCCGTTGCAGCCCCTTTTTTAGAGATTTGGGTATGGAGGAAAATAGAGAGGGTTGTGTTTTCTGACACTTGGTGAGTTCCCTGGAACACCGGGGACACATATTCATGTATAAAAGACGTACAAAAGTGCATTTTGCATGATAGGTCCCCTTTAAGTCTTTGTGAGAGTCAGCGTCTCAGTATTTGTGCATCATTTAAAATGAAATGACCTGCTTTATTAAACTCTTTCTCTTATTCATCATGTCCTCCACTGTCAGAGCATCAGTATTTAATGAATCAGATGAAATGTCCGAGCGTGCTGATGACTCATCTGTATCAAAATAGAAATGAGCTCACTCTCGAAGGGTTACATTAACTTTGGATTTATTGTAAGACAGGACAAATCTGTCATCTGTGGCGAGAGGAAAGCTATCGACAGCGTGAAGCGAGGCAAAATGAAAAGAGACCAGGGAGAAAAACACCAATAGACTTGTGGTAAAGGTCAGGATTTGTTTAAGAGGAGAAAAGCACTTTCTCAGACCTCAGAAGAAAGAGCAGGCAGAGATTTACAAAGGGCGGACGTCATAAAATATGGAAATATTAAGAGGGGGGGGGGGGGGGGGGGCTCAGCTTTTCATTGAGAGTTGGGTGGCCTTGAAGGAAAGTCGGTTGCCAAGAGAACATTAGATTTACATATATTAAATAATTTATAAATAATAACAGAAATATATAAAATGACACCAAATACTCAATGGTTTTAAGTTTCCTGATTTCAATAAAGAGTGTGTGTGTGTGTGTGTGTGTGTGTGTGTGTGTGTGGTGTGTGTGTGTGTGTGTGTGTGTGTGTGTGTGTGTGTGTGTGTGTGTGTGTGTGTGTGTGTGTGTGTGTGTGTGTGTGTGTGTGGAATATTACAGCAAGCAGTGGCAAACTCCATCTCTGTGTGTGTGTGCACATTCAAGTAAAGTTTATCTCTCACTTTCTGTTGACCTTTTCTCTTTAAAGGGCAATTTAAATGCAAAGACAGGTATATTTATTTTTCTAAAACTCATATTGAATTGATAGGTGCACAGCGATACAGTTACAGTTTTAAATGATCTTGCACACATTAATATAAAGACAAACACACACACACACACACACACACTCTTAACCACACATACAGTAGTCGCAGTGTGTTCTCTGAGTCAGCCCTGGGAGCTGAAGTGGAAATCTCTCTGAAGAAACAGCAACAGAGTGCAAACCACAGGAGTGTAAGACAAATAAGTCTTATTTAGTTTAACTATTTTCTTTTCAAACAAACACAACACACACACACACACACACACACACACACACACACACACACACACACACACACACACACACACACACACACACACACACACACACACACACACACACACACAGACTCTTTATTGAAATCAGGAAACTTAAAACCTCTGAGTTTTTGGTGTCATTTTATATATTTCTGTTATTATTTATAAATTATTTAATATATGTAAATCTAATGTTCTCTTGGCAACCGACTTTCCTTCACACACACACACACACACACACACACACACACACACACACACACACACACACACACACACACACACACACACACACACAGCCCTAAGAATTGTTTTAATGAGGTGTAAGAGCTCTTTCTCCCTCATGTCCTTCTGTGTCTCATACAAAACTTTAGAGAGGAATATTTGTCTGGTCATCTTCTTGGTTGTATATTGAATTTTCCCAAAATATATATCTTATATGAACTCAATCTGAATCCCTTCACAAGTAACCAACATATATAAATACAATAGGCTATATAGTTCCTTTTTTGAAGGGTGTTATGTGAAAATATCAACACAAGACTTGCATTTGTACGATGAATATATAAATAGTCAAGAAACCGTATCATTATATTTTATGATATGTAAAACAATTCCTTTCCTCACCGAACTTCAGAGACTGTTTGTGTGCTCTCTTTCTGTTTGACTATTTTATATATTTCTCTCCTGTGCCACAGTTCAGCGGCGGCTAGTATAAAAGTGCACCTCATTTTCTCCAAATTCAATGGCCTCTTTTTTTAGGGGGGGTAGTTAGTGGATAATGGGCTCTCAGAGAACATTTTACAGCGGACTGCACGCTAACCTCGCAGCGTGAAGTGGCCTTTCGTTTTTTTTGTTTCATGGCCCATAATATCCAGCCTTACCTTATGCAACCCCCCATCTTTCTGTACCCTGATGTCCGTTTCTGTGTCTTCAATGCTTCATAGTACCTCCCTTTATTCCATCATGTAGTTAAAATGCATGCAACAATTGACTCTTGCTTTGTTCCTCCCCCCCCTCGCCTTGCTTCCTCTCACCTGCACACTATTGTTGTGTAGAATGAAATATCTTAACAGCATGCCTTTGTATATGAACAGAAAAGCCATGGTGTGCCATTTTGGTGTTTTTGTGCAATGTGCTTTATTGTAACATGAGTGCACACGTCTTTCTGCTTTGAATATAAATGCCCTAACTCTGGCTCTTTCTACTCAATGCTTAAATACAACACAGTTTATCAGAGAACATGTCCCACCTTGAAACACACTTACCACCAACTAGCTATACAGGAGGCAGTGCAAACCATTTTTGTCTCCCTCGCCTGTCTTTGAACAGAAAGAGCAGTAATTGTGGCATAAATTGCACAATGACACCTCTCATAAAGTTATTAGCATTGCATTAGGAACAAAGATGCATGATTTTCTCATGTTGCCTTCAACATTTTTTGCTCCTCGTTGATGGAGGGACAGATGGTTGCATTATTTTTCGACTTATTTTTAGAAAATAGGGGGAAAACATGTTTCCTGTGCTGTAATTTACAACTACTTTTCTGTATAAAGTGGTATGTTATTCTGCACAAACACAAGTTTTTCTTTTCTAAAAAACCTATTACGTGTGAATGTGTGTGTGCGTGTTATATTGTGAACAAGTTGACAGTTAAGTAACAAATCGAGGAGAAAGGGGCCGAGGTGCTTTGGAGAAACATCAAAGAAGAGTTTCTGTCCAGAACAATTTCACCTACGGTTATCTATTTTCAAATTGTTTCGTGATGAATTTCAAGGCGAAGCTTTATTTCTGATTGGATACACAGCGTTTTGTGTTGAAACCGTTCAAATGCTTTGGCTTTAATGTGACTTTCAAAGTCCGACTGTGTTTCTAGAGGCACCTGTTCAACTATAGCTCGATTAAATTAGGAGATTAGCTTTTTATCTACTGGCACTTTATAGGAATATTTATCAGTGTGTCAAAGAAATGAATATGTTTGAATCTAAACACCCTTTTGAAACTACTGATTTATATTTTTCTAACCTAACCATGATGACAAAACATCTACATTTTGGCAGAGATGGAGTACTCGAGTGCCGATTTTCGGGACTCGCGACTCGACTCGGACTCGCGCACTGATTGACGCGGACTCGACGCGGACTCGTGAATTCTCGCGCACGATGACTCGGACTCTCCTTGGGTGACTCGGACTTGGACTCGGACTCGAACACAGGCAATGATGACTCAGACTCTACTCGGACACTCCTTGGGTGACTCGGACTTGGACTCGGACTCGAACACAGGTAATGATGACTCGGACTCGACTCGGACACTCCTTGGGTGACTCGGACTTGGACTCGGACTCGAACACAGGTAATGATGACTCGGACTCGACTCGGACACTCCTTGGGTGACTCGGACTTGGACTCGGACTCGAACGTAATGATGACTCGGACTCGACTCGGACACTCCTTGGGTGACTCGGACTTGGACTCGGACTTGGACTCGGACTCGACTCCGACTCTCCCTAGGTGACTTGGACTTGGACTTGGACTCGCGTACTGATTGATGCGGACTCGACTCGGACTCGTGAATTCTCGCACACGATGACTCTGACTCGACTCGGACACTCCTTGGGTGACTCGGACTTGGACTCAGACTCGAACACAGGTAATGATGACTCAGACTTGGACTCCGACTCGACTCCGACTCTTCCTAGGTGACTCGAAAAGTGGGGACTCGAGAGTGACTTGGACTCGTGAATTGGTGACTTGACTACAACCAGTGTTCGAAATGGGGGGGAGCCAGGGGGAGCTTGGCTCCCCCGAAGAGGGAGGGAGCTCCCCCGAAGGCCGACTTTGAGATAAATAGGGGGAGCCCCAAAAAATCGTGCATATTTGTGTCACACAGATTAGAAAGGTTGAGTTTCTGTAAATAAAAGTTCTTGAAATAAATTATAGTCATTGGTCATTACAGTTTCTGAATATTATATTGTGAATATTTCTGTGTGTTGCCATCTGTACGTGGCGGTGCTGCATTCTTTACGCTACTTACGTTGCTATGGTTACGGCGGTACCGGCGCAGTATTTGAAATGTTCATATTGATATTGTTTAACAACAACAAATTGGCTTTGTAATAAAGAAAATGGCGAAACGCAAACAGCCAAGCCTCGCAGCTTTTGGTTTCACAAGTAAAGAAGCAAAGGAGTCTAAAAATGAAAATGTCAACCAAACAACTTTTAGTTCGCCAGCTGTAAGCGGCGTTAGGGTCGATGCGGAGCCAGAAGAGGCTTCAACAACGGCAACAGCCGCCGGTTCGACCTGCACTAGCGAACATGACGCTGACGATGCCCATGATGGCCTGCCTTTTAACTGGACACTGAAAAGATGGAGTGAGTGGAAAGAGAAGTATCCATGGCTTTTCATAAAAAATAAAAAATTTGGATGTGAGATTTGCAAAGAGGCAAAAACTATATTGATCTCCTTGCCGCTCGCAGAAAAATCCACAGGAGTGCACCTTTCACCAGAATGGATTCAGGGAAAAGTCAGCTGTGATCAACAAAATAACCTGCGAAAAAAGATCTATAAGCACCATAAGAGCCAGGCACACGAAAAAGCAATCGCAATTTCGGAGATGAGAAAGAAAGATGTCCTACCAAACAAGGTATTAGCAATCAATGCTGATCTAATGCAGGAAACATATACATCGTTCAGATCTGCCTATGTGATTGCCAAAGAAGAAATGTCATACAGAAAGCTACCTGCTGTAATGTTCCTACAAAAACTCAATGGTGCTACCGTAGGGACTGTGCACAAATCGGACCATGCTTGTGCTGAAATAATCAGGCATATCACCGAGGAAATGAGAGCTAAATTTGTTTCCAACGTAAAAGACATGGGCTCACTAATTAGCATCACAATAGATGAGAGCACAGTTCATGGGCGGGCCTACATGATTATTTACGTGCGATGTGACATGACAGGAAAAGGGGAAGTGGACAATGTTTTCTTGGATATTGTTGAGCTTTCAGAAGGTACGGATGCTAACTCGCTGTACAGAAGTTTGAGGAAAAGCTTAAAACAAGCTGGACTGGATGACGAGTTCTTGGGGAAAAATCTAATCTCAATAGCAACGGATGGAGCAGCAGTACTCACAGGCAGAGTTGGGGGACTTGTGACAAAACTCAAACAGGATTTCCCCAAAGTGCAGTCTATTCACTGTCTAGCCCACCGACTAGAATTGGCTGTCAAGGATTGCCTTAAAGAAGTAGCTGGGTGTAATCAATTTGAGTTTTTTGTTGCAAAACTGTATGCTCTCTATCACCAGTCATCAAAAAATGCCCGTTTGCTCCAAGAAGCAGCAGCAGAATTAAACATGCAAATATTGAAAATAGGCCAAATCTTCACTATTCGTTGGGTGGCTAGTAGTTTTCAGACTGTGAAAGCTGTCTGGAACGATTATCCCGCACTGGCACGCCAATTCAAAACAGCAACAGACGACACATCATCTCGCAGTGACACAGAGAGACAGAAATTCAGGGGACTGCACAAACTCCTCACGAGCACTGGATTTCTGGCTGATTTGGCAACAATGAAGGATGTTCTTCGAGAACTTAAAAGCCTGTCGCTAAAACTGCAACGCAGAGAAACATCTTTGGTAGATGCAAGTTGCTACATTCAGCAGACCATCGATGTGTTGACAGCTATGAAAATCAGTGGCGGAAAGTCCACACAAAAAGTGGAAGAAGGCATTGCTACTGGCATGTTCAAGGATGTTGAGCTCTCAGAGAGCAGGCCCAAGATAAACCGTCTGCAGTTTTACCAGTCTATAATAGACAGTTTGAAGAAGCGACTGCCTGAACCGGACCTGGTCCGCATGCTAAAACCACTGGACAAGCGCTTTTGGCCCGAACAACGGAGCGCCCTGATCCTCTATGGGGAGAATGAAGTACGCGCACTGGCAAAAGTACTGGGGGAACCGGCCCGAGAGGCCATTGAGGAGTTTCGGGACTACAAATTAGAGAATAAATCTCCAGGGAAAGCCCTGCAAAAACTGCAGACAGCGAGCAAGACCTTTCTGCCTACATCAGCTGAGTGTGAGAGGGGGTTTTCTGCCGTCAATTCGACCGACACCGACAAACGCAACAAGTTGCGGGAGAAGAGCCTCTTCTCACTTCTCTTCGTAGACATCAATGGCCCCCCCCTGGAGCAATTCGACCCTCAGCCATTTGTACGGTCTTGGATCAAAGCTGGCCACAAACCCTCCACATCATGGGTTCCGGGACCGAAAGCGAAGAAGAAGCCGCCCAGGTCCCTGTGGTCGCTTTTACAGTAAGGTAAGTGAGTCAATTTTACTGTTTGAGCTTTGTGTTTGTTTGGACTGGCCCCAGTCCTACTGTTGATATATTTTTTGGTGGTGTGATTTATTAGGTTTTTATCAGACTGATTGACTTGCGTAGTCTAATCAATCTATAGGCGTTGCTCTTTCAGCAGCGCAGCACCACACACACACACACACACACACAAAAAAGAAAAAAGAGCTCCAATAAAAGCAGCAAATTCAAACCAGGAGCAACATCAGAACAGGAAAGACAGCTGCATAACAAACTACTGGGCACACACACACGCACGCACGCACACACACACACACACACACACACACACACACACACACACACACACACACACACACACACTTTGGTTTCATAGCCTGCTTGCATGTCTGTAACTTCTCGTCCGTTTTCCCTCCATTGTAGCAATCCACCCACAGGGGAGTGACAGGGAAGAAGTGAAGGGACAGTCAAGAAGCGATAGGGACAAAGCTGTTGACTCTGAGTATAGGCCTATTCCAGGCTGGTCCTAAAGAAGCCCCTTCCTTCCCCTTCTGCTGAAAAAAAGAGGCTATGACACACATGTCATGCACACATACAAAATTAAAATAAAATAAAGTTTTGAATTACGTGGAAGTTCGAATTCCATAGACTGTTGGATTAGGCCTACATGTGTGGTGTAGTGTAGTATTAACATTTCCATTCATTGTTGTTGCTCAATAATAAATAATTCGTTTTGGATAGCTAGTCTCATTATTTTCTTGGATTCATTTCAACTCATTTAAATTCTGAGGCCGCCGTGCCTATGTTATATAGCCTATACAAATCTGAAAAACGTTGCCATGTGTCCCCAACAGCAGCTGATGTCGTTGCTTTGTTTTGTTTTGTTAAATGTTGGCTAATGGCTATCAATTGGTTTTGAAACGGTAGCCTCATGTTGTTATTTATTCTCTCTGAAATGTTATTGTGCCTTGGCAGTAATACCGTCTGTAGTAGTAGCAGAGTGTTTTTATAGCAATTGATCGCATCCGCGCTGCTGCACCAGTCAACAGAGCGTGCGTGTGACATATTTAGTAGCAGGATGTGCACTAAAAAATAGGGCTCCCCCGAAAAGCAAATGGGTAATTCGAACACTGACTACAACACTGCATTTTGGACAAACATCCTGTGTGTGCCCTGCCAGCACACATTTAGCATTTTATTCTCAATTTCCAAACCCTTTTTTTCACCCAGTTCAAATTGTATGCACAACATTATGATGATGAAAAGTTATATCTATGCAAGGCTTCATCATTCATGTAATTCCATGAAATGGCTCCAGGTGGGTTTCTTTGGGTGCAGATGTTGCTGTGATTCTTTTAATGGAAATGTTTACAACCCACAATTAGTTCATGCTGTTGGAAGGCATTCAGAAAGCTGTGGGGGAAACTCTCCAGATGGAGTGTGTGTGATCCCAGAAGAGTATAGCCTCTGAAGTTTCCCTTCATTAGGAGTTCCCTCAGGTATTTCCAAACGCGACAGAGCTGAATCAAGGACAAACGTCTGTGTTTTTTACTCTGTGTTGTCCTCTGTGTTTATTAATATTCATCTTCTCAAACAAAAATAGAGTGTCAACGTGCAGCCTCTAAACTCCTACTATAGAAAAACTGAATGCAAATCTTTCAAAAATACATCTGTACAGTGTGCAGGCAATTCTCATGTGTTACATTTGCTCATAGACTAAGATCGAGACCATAAATGCAACAGGAATATGTTTACTGCGGTAATAAGTCAAGTGAGACGTAGGGTAATTTCTTCATAGTCTTCTATACAGTGAGACAGTCGCCTCCTGCTGGATGAGAAACAGGATGCATGTTTCAGACTTACGGCTGCCTGCTGCGTTGACCTTTACATTCAATGCCACTTAAGTCAAAGAGCAGCATGGGATAAAACATCAATTACACTTTAAAGATCCTCAGAGACTCAGTGATTTGAGAGTTGGATATGAGCACACTGGCAGCTAACATTCAATTATTTAACTGTGAAATGAAACGGAAAATATTTGTAATGCAAAAATTACATCAAGCACATTTAATCGTGTATAGTTTTTTAATAATGTATTATTCACAAAAGATCCTCCACTTGCCACTACCACCCTGCTGATGGACTGGAAGATGAATTGTGATCTTAGATTGGTCTGGTGGACTCACCTCTGGCCATTTGTGCCACTTCGACTCCTTTGTTTTGCCTTCCTATCATCTGGAAACCCTTCACCACCGATGGACCCATTCTGACAAACACAAGCATTTTACATTCATATCCATACTGTGCTTTATACCCTTAGTAAGTAATGCAATGATCAAAGAAAGCCCCTCCTCTATCTACACGTCTCATTGTCAACAACAACATCCGGCTTTGAAGCAGCTCAAAAACACATCCATATACGTCATAAACGGCTGACCTTACACAGAAAAGGTTGTGCCTTCTCCGTTATTATATGACATTCAAGATTCAAGGCTTTTATTGTCATGTGTACATAGCTACATTGTAGATATGTCAATGAAAATCTTAGGTCACAGGCTCCTCCAATGGTGGAACATACTAAAACAGACAAACTAGTTAAAATAGTGCAAGTAATACGAATAAAATATAATAGAAATAGTGCAAGGAGAGTCTATTAACACGTATTGGAATATGTATGTAATAATTTGTAAGTTGCAGCCGGATGAATGTTATGTATATGACCCTATCACCTCTCTTTCATGGAAAACATATAACAGCACGGACTGAGAAACATGTTTATTTTCACCCACACACACATGCACAAAATGTACAGTACAGCCAAACATACGATTACCAGTCTTCATAAGCATAACCTCTTTTCGTGCAGACTCCCTCCATCCACCCTCTTCCCCACGTTACTCTCCAACATCCGCCTTACATCCTTCCTTCTCCTCTCCAAGAAACAAGACATCCTTATTAGTTTTAGTCCGAGATAAATGTCAGCCGACATTATTCAATCCAATTATTCCGTTTTGATGTGGCATCGGGAACCGGAGGAATGAGCAGAGACGCAGTAACAGAATGATCTCTGTCGGGACACTAAATGGATAGAGAGAGGCCAGGGCAATCATCTCTGTCCATAGGGATGAAGTCATGTAGTGAACCTCCCCTCTCTCTGTGGAGTAAAGTGAGGGATCGTGTTGCTTAATGCCACCGAGGGAACAGGTGAGCTTTGCCAGGAGGTCACAGGAAAGGAGAAGTGAGTCAGTGCATTTAAAATGATTTGACCTACAGATGAAATGTCATTTTTATGGAGTTAAAGACTGAGTGGACACTGATTCAATGTCTTTCTTTCTGTTCCTCCTGTACCTTCGACCCTTTCTTACTTCATTCCTTTGATTCTGTCTTTCTTTCTTTCATTCGTCCTACTTTCCTTCCTTCCTTCAACCCTGTCTCTCTTTCTTTCATTATTTCATTCATCCTATCTTCCTTCCTCCATTCCTTCCTTCCTTCCTTCTTTCTTTCCTGACTCCAGGTTTTCTCGAGCCTTCACCCTGAATGTGAGTTCATATTCCAGCTGGAGAGAGAGGAGCGTCTCTGCCATCAGTTCATCGCCGAGCAGGGCAACACCAGCTCAGAAGGTGTGTGTTTGCCATTTTAAAATCACCCTGCGTCAACCCCCCACCCCCCATTTAAATCCAGGCGTGTTGAGTACAAGAGTTTAAGCTGGAGTAACTGCTTCACAGAGAGTCATCAGTTGTCACAGTGGGAGATCTATCACTGTGAAGCATCTGTATAGGAGACCATTAAGGAGTTGTAATCTATCTCAAGTGAAAGGTCTCGCTTTGAAACCTATCAGTACTTCCTCATTCTTGCCTTAATACAATTTAAAAAGAGGCAGATGTTATGTCTTTGAAATATGTCATGGGTGGTATCGTGCATTATACACCCCATTTACCTCCACTGTTTCCCCATATATATTTGAACTTTGTGTCGGCAGTGTATGACAGATGAAAGCGCATATACATGCCTCTTTATGGAGTTTCTCTTTTGATGTGCTACCCTGATAGACACCCAACTCACTTTTTTGTTTTAAACCCTCTTTACGAAAAGGTTGTGAGCCATTCTGGGACGCTGTGGCCTGCTGGTCTCACGCAGCCGTGGGGGAAACCGTCGAGAGAGGATGTCCTGCCGTCTTCTCCCTCTTCAGAAACAACACAGGTGACAAAAGGGGGAGGAGGGGGGAGTGATGTGATAATGAAGAGAGGAGCGGGAGTCAAAAAGACATTGTTGCTCTAATGAAAGAGTGTTTCCGATGCGGATCATTTCATGAAGCGTGTTTATTTATTTATTACACTGCTTTGTTTTTGTGTTTCTGAATGAGACTCACGCCTCGGTGCTCAGGCATGTCACAGTTGACTGAAATCAAATTAGTTCTTCTGAACAGATAAATTAGCAGCGATGGAAGTGGATTGGGAAACCCATACAATTGTTTTACAAATGAGCAAACAAGTAGTACCTTTGCGTTATCTGTTGGCGAGGATATAAATTACAGTTTCTAAAAAAGAGTCTTCAGTGAGGGGCCCTATAGTGGACAGAAAGATTCCCCTGTTAACAACAAGCAAGGATTCAATATCACCAGATAACCATTGTTTTAACAGTACGAGGTTATCACACAGCACTTAAATAAACTACATGTCAGGCTAAAAGTTGATCCCATATTTGGGTCAAAACAGCCAAATAATCCAGTATAATGTTACAGAGAAAGACTCTGGTCTAGGAGGCTCAGAGAGGACGTCAATCCTGTGCTGTCAATCAGCAAAAGATGCATTGTAAAATGTGTTGGTGAGGATATATAACAGTTTCTAAACAACACTTGTCCTTAGAACCAGTGGTGCTTTCAGCGTACATGCTTAATCTAAATGCTCTTAATGGGTTATTTTATTTTGTAAAGCAAAAGGTGTTATATAAATAAACCTGCCTTGCCAAATGTTGCATTCATGTTATATTGAAGGATAGTGAGACAGGTTGTTATCAACAAACAAGGGTTCACCGTCATTGATAACTAGTGCAATTGTGCAGTTCTCGATCAGCTAAAAGTGCAAATAGAAACCATTTCACATCATTCTGATAATGTTACGCAACAGTGTAACACCGAGGGACGTGTGTCATTCAGATGAGAGAAATAAAATGTAGATACCCCAAATGCTGGTTCCTGGCCCTGCTGGAAATGGTTTTGTTACATTACCAGGAAGGTTAAACACATTTGCTTCCTTCATCCCGACAAGTGGGTGAATCTAATCTGAAGGTGATCACACACACACACACACACACACACACACACACACACACACACACACACACACACACACACACACACACGCACACACACACACACACACACAACCAACCTCCCTCATCCAGCACCAGTCACTTTTCTGCCCATCTCCGCTGCTACTGCACTGAAACTGTACTTGGAACACTTTAAATATATTATTAACATGTTAAACTGTATACCCCGGTTATCTAGGTCCTTTGTTTTGTTTAATGTATACCATGTTTATCTAGGCCCTTTTTGTTTTTTGTTTGATGTATATATGTCACACTGTAGGACTGCGGGAAACGATATTTCGAGATTTCTGGATGTACAACATGTAGAATTCTTGACAATAAAGCTGACTTTGACTTTGATCTCTTTCTGGTCGATATCTCTTTGATATCTTGACCTTTTCGCCGCAGGTTCAGTGAGCCGTAACTGCACCAGCCGAGGATGGACCAGAGCTTTCCCCCCGTACCACATCGCCTGCAGTGTGGATGATGACATCCCTGAGGTGAGAAATGCCAGGGGCGAAGTAGATAAAGACGTCCGATTGCAGAATGGGAAATTGAGAGCGTGGGGGGGAGACAAAACAAGCAAAATTCAAAAAGAAATGTACCGTGTTACAAAAGGTTCTTGTCAAAAAATTGGGACAGTCTGACACACTGTAATTGCCCATATTCCATTTTCTTTTTAGCCTGGTTTAGATTTAAATATATGCTACCTGCCTCACAGAAGCAGAAGAGAAAATCTATTCTAATTAGATATTATAAATGTGTCTTATGTAAAAATACTTTTGCAAGGCAGTGATTGAAACAAATGTCACACATCCGGTAATAGCTGAAATTATCCTATTTCACAAAGAGGATTGGGCTTAATCTTGCCGAACAGTGCTTTTGGAGGATAATCATCAGAAAACTACTTTTGGTGCTTTAGAGAAAGAGCTTTTGTTGTATGTTAAAAAAAGACCTTTTAAGTCTTCCTATCGTGTAAAGTCTCTAATGACAAGTGATGATGGAAGTAGCTTTTTGGAGTCGATTCAATAGACTGCTTATTCATGTTATATCTCAAAATATGGAGAAAGCGTTCATGCTTTAATGCCACAGACGTCTCGACAATACTCTTTAGTTTGTTTATAGGTCAAACCTAAAGATTCCATTACAATAAAGGCAGTTTAGTTTAAAAGAGAGTTTTCCTGTGATTATTGCATCTACATATATCCTTATCCGAACAGAACCTCATTTTAAATCCCACACCACCCCGCTCCTCCGCTCCCTTCACTGGCTTCCAGTAACTGCTAGAATCCACTTCAAGACACTGGTACTTGCGTACCATGCTGTGAATGGTTCGTGCCCTTCCTACATCCAGGACATGGTTAAACCATACACCCCAGCACGTGCACTCCGCTCTGCATCGATCAAACGGCTCGCTGCACCCGCACTGCGAGGGGGACCCAAGTTCCCATCAGCAAAAACACGTTGGTTTGCTATCCTGGCTCCTAAATGGTGGAATGAGCTCCCCATTGATATCAGGACAGCAGAAAGCTTACACATCTTCCGGCGCAGACTAAAAACTCATCTCTTTCGACTCCACTTGGAGCGATAGAATTACTAACAAAGCACTTCTATACTAATAAAGCACTTATATACTAATAAAGGACTGGCTGATCTAAAGCCAGTTGAGTAGCACTTGAAATGTTTTGGCTCTATGAAACCTGATGTACTTATATGATTCTGTTTTCTTCAAGTTTGTATCTTCTTGGTCGAATGCACTTATTGTAAGTCGCTTTGGATAAAAGCGTCAGCTAAATGCAATGTAATGTAATGTAATGTAATAATCCAGGAAGCGCTTCTACCAAAACATTTAAAAGCATTTTTTGATCTCTTCAAGCCAAATGAGTCCTAAACTTCTTTTTGAGATATTACATTTATTTCACTAGGTACGAGTATTATCCTGTTTTATGCTAAATCTTCTCTTTCCATCTCCTTTCAGACAGAGCAGTCATACTTTGCCACGGTGAAGATGATTTACACCGTGGGCTACAGCATCTCTCTAGCGGTGCTGGCTGTGGCTGTGTTCATCCTGTTGCTCTTCAGGTAACAACATATTACATTTCAAAAGATTATGGTTTTACAGAAATAACACTGGTAGACTTCAATTCAGTTCTATCAGCGTGCAGTACATTTGAGATAACCCTTCAGTCCATTTACCACAGAGAGCGAGGCAAAAGCAATCAGAACATTATTATTGTTCGTAAACTAGATAATCCAAGGCACTCTTAGCCAACGTTCTGGGAAAATACCTTTAAAAATGAGACTCACTCACTCAGTTAGTGGCCTTCGTGTGGGCCTTTAGCCTTTGGCACATTTAAAAGGTTGTCCAAGTATAGTTTAAAAAAAAATAGGATTCATTTGGATTATGCTTGCACTTTCTTGTCAAGGGTAGGAAGAGAAGATTGACACATATTTCTTTACGCTAAAAATTAAGCAAGAGCTAACAGGTGATTAGCTTAGCTTAGCATAATACACTGACACCAGGAGTTAAGAGCTAGCCTGGTGCTCCCCACAGTACAAAAAGTGATTAAACCAATACCTCTACATTTTCCAAAAATGCAATATCCTGTTCAAATGCTACTCCTTCCACATACTTTCAGCTAGAGACTTCATTTGTTTAATTCGTACCCAAACAGTTATGTGAAAACGCAAAGTTGTGTTTACATTGTGCACATTTCTTAGCTGTTAGCTATTAGTGTAGTTGGCTCCATAGCTTCAGGATTTTATTTTCTTATCTAAATGTTGCCTCAAAATTATATAAACATATTTCTCAAAATGTGTGGAAGAGGGTCATTTCTGTTGTGAGAAGTCAAAGTAAAAAACTAAAATAACTATAATTAAATCCGTTGACATGGTGTTATGAGGAACTATACCATCATGTCCGTCCATAATCGAATACGTGCTTCAGCTTTATCTGTGTCATGCTTCTCAGTTTCAATAATTCCTGTTTTGGATTTAGACCCTCGTTGACATGGATCTAACTGGCTGTAGTCCACTTAGCAGCTGATTGGCACAAAGTCAAGGGTCTTCTCATCCCACAGAGCCAGGCCAGGCCAGGCATGAAAGCTCCCCTTTCTGTGTGCAGCTGTGCGGCTTCATAAATCAGTTTTTGGTGTAATCAATTTAAAATCGCAATATCAAAACTTGCATGTCTTTTTGAATTATCAGTTTTTGATTTTGACCTTATACTATAGGCATTTTCAAAGGTTTTATTTTCTTGTTAACTGGTTGGGTTTTCCTAGGGTCTGAACCTTTATCTCTGAGCTGATATAATGTGTAAACTGCCTATCAAAACATGCACACCATGGCATATTGAGCTATTAGTAAGCGTAACAAAGTACTGAAACAATTTGTTGTAAAGCAGAACTTATTTGGACCATTTGGACAACTTATATGCTTATCACAGCATACTTCTGTGCATCAGACAACACTACCGGACTTTTACTACATGTATCTTACCTGATATTTCAACAGGAGGCTGCGTTGTGCCAGGAACTTCATTCACATCCAGCTCTTCATCTCATTTATCCTGAAAGCTGTGGCTGTGTTCATAAAGGATGCAACTCTTTTCTCGAGTGAAGACACGAACCACTGCACCCTTTCCACGGTAAGAGAATGAAAAGAGGTTCTTAGTTGCATAAAGAAATTCCCATGGGCAGATTCCCCATTGATCTCATTGCATATCCCTCCTTATAATTCACTCTGTGTCTTCCTTTCTTTCTTTTTTCTAGTTTGCCTGTAAGGCCTCTGTGGTCTTCTGTCACTATTGTGTAATGTCCAATTTCTTCTGGCTCCTGGTGGAGGCGCTTTACCTCAATTCCCTGCTGCTTTCGTCCTTTTATCACAGTCGTCCATGCCTCTGGGGCTTCAGCCTGCTGGGATGGGGTGAGAGAACTTAACATGCAGTTACCTCCACTTATGTTACGCTGACTGAGCGACAAAACTTCCTATAACTTAAAGGTCTCCTATCATGCAACATGCCTTAAAGGTAGGGTAGGTAAGTTTGAGAAACCGGCTCGAGATACACTTTTTGTTATATTCCATGGAATGCTCTTAACATCCCGATAGCAATGAATATCTTAAGTGCTTTGACAAAAAATCCATAAAAAAATTTCATCTGTGGAAGCCGTAGTACTGTAAAAAGCACAACCAATCATTTTAGCCGGCCCGGCTAAAATAACTGGATGGCCTACCTGCCTGTCAGCCTTCCATCTGTGCACAAACTCATCTCGTGCCCTCATTGGTCATGTGCGCGTTCGTGTGTGTTGGAGGAGGGGCTCTATAAGGAAGTGGCAGATTTTCTCCGGTTGTGTATTTTCAAATTCTAGCGATCTCGAGCCGGTTTCTCAAACTTACCTACCCCACCTTTAATGTCCTTTATACATACATATGAGTCCCCGGTGTGTCAGGGAACTCACAAAGTGTCAGAAAATAAAACCCTCTCTCTTTTCCTCCGTACCCAAATCTCTAAAAACGGGGGAACAACGGAGCTGATCCAGATTTGCGGCCAATATCACGGCACTATCAGAAAGTTACTATCAGAAACAATGCACAACCTGTTTTGGACGTAATATGTTCTTTGTTTACATTAGCAAGCATCGCTAACACTCAGTGCTAACCTGTACTGGAGAGAGTATGTGTAAAGAAGCAGGAAATAAAAAAGGAACTCACCTTGTGGTAAACCCGCAAGAAAATAAGCATTTGAGCTCCATACTGTTTCAGAAATAATCCTTGAAGTGGTTTGGAACATCTTTAAGTCGCTAAGAGGCGAAGTTTGGCTAATACCCTTGACTCGTTACAAAATAGATGTCTGTGCTGATTTTCATATTTCTATGATAATAATAGAAACAATAAACTCAGGCTAAATAAGCTTTTTTGCTCCTACACTGAGTTTGGTTAGTTTTTGAGATATCCTAAAAATATGGCATATTTATTTTATACTTGGTCCGTAGTAGAAAAAGTAGAAAACATGGGTGATTTAAGGGTTAAAAAAAAGTATACCAACAGAAAAATAAAAAGACTGTTATTTATATTTTACAGATACTTGAGTTGTACATGTATTTCAGCTCAATGCGAGTTACACTTATACAGAAGAAGAGACATGCTAAGATTGGCAAGAATAACTGTTGCCTGAATAGTCTTTGTTGGTTTTTGTAAGCAAAACACTGTTTATTCTGTTTATGCAGCTTTGACAAAAAATCCATAAAAAAATGTCATCTGTGGAAGCCGTAATACTGTAAAAAGTACGACCAAGCCGAGATTTTTTCCGGCTGTGTATTTTCCAATTCTAGCACACTCAAGCTGGTTTCTCCAAAATTACCTACCCCACCTTTAATTATTTCCCAATAATTCTATTTTTTTCAATTTCCAAACATAGTGCTAAAATATATCACAATGACCACTTTCATCAACATCATGGCATGGGGCCTAAGAGGACAATTTGAGACCAAAACAATGTGTTTTTAATTATGCCTCCTCCCCAGAAAGCAGATGACTGATTTTAAACCCATTTTGCAGGACAGTTACATTTGTATTCCAGTCCTGTGATCCAAAAAAGATTCACATCTGTCTTTAGGGACAACAAGAGGCAGACAGATTGTGTTTTGAACAGCCAGAAACTGCCCTGGCTCGATGGCATCAGCTGTAATTACGAAACAAACTGAATCAAAGTTTGAACCCCCGTGGCAGCCACTACTAATGTATTAAATTGTGTTTGTGGGATGGATGTTTCTGTCACTAAACTTTCCCCAATTACAATAGAAATACTGCAATGTGTCCGAGTGGTTGCAAGGCAGGACATTTATTATATTGATTGCCTCTCCCTAACATTAGTTTTGCTTCTCTGCTTTTCCAAAGGTGTACCTGTGCTCTTCATCGTCATGTGGATTGGATCCAGGGTGTATTTTGAGGACACAGAGTTTGTATACACTACCATTTATATCGCCACAAGCAAAGTTATTTCTTATAACTATATGTTATTTTTACAGCACAGCAACTTAACAACAGTGTTTAGCATTTTCCAAAAATGCAATGATATTCAGTATCGGTTTAGGATGAAGAAAGAAACCCTTACGAGGAAATGTGTAATTTGCACTCACTTTGTACTCATTACTATTTGTTGCTGGTTATGAATTGATTTACCGTCATTGTACATCACACCCTGAAATAACTGCAAATGGACTCAAGCGTGCATTTCATAATGTCTTTCTAAATTAGATGCTGGGATATCAACGAGGACTCGCCCTATTGGTGGATCATCAAGGGACCGATTGTTGTGTCTATAGCGGTAAATGCTCACATTGTGCGGAAACAAACTAAATGACAGACTCTTAACAATGCATGAGACAGATTACAGATTGCTATGCAGGTGTTTACTTATTTTTAGAAATGAGAAATGATATGGGTGTCCTCACATCAATCCTAATCAATTACACACTTGGCTACCCATATTTTTTATCACAGTATTCAATAATCATCTTGTTGTAAGTGGAAATTAAACCAGTACCTGTTAAAGTCTTATTTCATTAGGCACGGAAAGGCAAGTTTATTTATTTAGCACATTTCAACAACAAAGCAATTTGAACTGCTTTTTATAATACTGCTACTTACCTGTTTATACCTTGAATTGGTCATTCTTTTTTTATTTTACATTTCCATTCATATGTGCTTCCCCTTTTACTATATAATATTTTATTTCGTCTTTGTTATTATTGTCTTTTGCTGTAACAACGTAGATTTCCCTTCTGAGGAACTCATTAAGTCATTCTTGATCTGATTCTGATTAAAGACACTCATTGGAAGTCAAGAATACAACCTTAAAAAAGCGAAAACGGTTAAGACACATATCAAATACAAGAATAAAAGTTACAGTGCATTGTAAGATATAACCAGTTATTTGATTTAATAAACGGTAGCAGCAAAAATTAATTGTTAAAGGTGGGGTAGGTAAGTTTGAGAAACCGGCTCGAGATACACTTTTTGTTATATTCCATGGAATGCTCTTAACATCCCGATAGCAATGAATATCTTAAGTGCTGTGACAAAAAATCCATAATAAAATGTCATCTGTGGAAGCCGTAGTACTGTAAAAAGCACGACCAATCATTTTAGCCGGCCCGGCTAAAATAACTGGATGGCCTACCTGCCTGTCAGCCTTCCATCTGTGCACAAACTTATCTCGTGCCCTCATTGGTCATTTGCGCGTACGTGTGTGTTGGAGGAGGGGCTCTGTAAGGAAGTGGCAGATTTTTTCCGGTTGTGTATTTTCAAATTCTAGCGCACTCGAGCTGGTTTCTCCAAAATTACCTACCCCACCTTTAAGTGTTAATTTCTTAATTTTTCTCTCGTAACCTTTGAATCAACAGGTTAATTTCCTGCTCCTCATGAACATCATCAGGATCCTGATACAGAAACTGAATCCTCGTCTGATCCACTTCAACAACTCGTCTCAGTACAGGTAATGTTTGTCTGCAGAATCAACAGTAATTCAGTACCTCCTCCCTCAGTCATTACACCATTTATCACTTTCATCTTACACAGAGTTGGATTTCCAATATTCGGCTGTGTTACTTGTTTATCTTGAGCTATTAGGCTTTTTAAGTCTGACGGACACATTTTCAAATAGTTTTCACTCTTTGAAACCTTTTTACTGCGACACTTTGATGTGGGGAGAGATGCAAATTGAGGGAAAACTTTTGATACACCACACTATATATTATTAATTCAGTCACTACTGAAACTCAAACTAGTCAGTCTGGCCACATCTACCTTTCCACCACATTGAATCACAATTTGTAAATGAAACTAATTGGCTGAAAGTGTTCAGGGACATCATGCATATGCAAATTGTATGAAAGACATACCAAAGGCATGTAAATAGAGTGTTTTATACTTAATTGAGAGTGATATTTCCCCCATATAAGAGCATTAACTGTGCACTCACATTTGTGTATCCTCACTTTGAACGATGCACCTGCCTCACCTTTCACCTCATCAACAACACTGTGTACAGACTGGCAGACACACACACACATCCTCTCCTCTCCTGGCACCTGATACGCGTGTCTGCGTAGAGGATGCTAACCGGAGTAGCAATCAGATTAGACAGAAAGACTCCCTGTGGTAGCTTCACCCTCTGCATCTCCCCCCCCCCTCTGTGCAACAGGCGCCTCACTAAGTCGACCCTCCTCCTGATCCCTTTGTTCGGTACGCACTACATGGTGTTCAATTTTCTGCCTGACTACTTCAATGTCAACCTGCGCCTCTGTATCGAGCTCTGCATGGGATCCTTTCAGGTACACACACCTTGAACACACACACACACACACACACACACACACACACACACACACACACACACACACACACACACACACATGTATGTTGGTCTATGTGTTTCTTTGTTAACCTCTTTGGGTTTAAAACCTTTTAAAGGGCTATATAAATGGAAAACTCTTACAACTCTAAACAATATATTAGATCAATTTTTGACATTATTTATTGAGAATAACGTTAAAGACTCATTGGATTAGTTTTTTTTTCTGCACTTGCAGTAAATAAAGTTGAAATTAGAAATGCTCATTACCATAATCTGTTGAATAAGGTAATAAAACTTCAACTTAAAATGGTCTTTTCTCCCAGACAGCTTATGTAAACCAGACTTAGAGTCTACAGCCATGCTAACAGCTCTGTGAGGCTTTAATGAGCAGCATTATGAACATGCTGACAGTAACATGCTGACATGCTGACATTTAGCAGGTAGCCTGTAGTCTTGGCTAATTCGCACTTACAGTAAAATAACTGGTATTGCCACTACTTTACCAGGTATTTGGTCGTAAAAAAAAAAGTTTGAAGTGAAATTCGAGCTGTTAGAGTCAAGGGATCACCAAAGTGATAAAGAAACTCATGCTGGGGTGGTCTTGCATATCTGTTCTAAAGATGAATAATAATAATTGTCCCACAAGTATTTCATGTAGGCTAGTAACAAAGGTGCATCATTTGCTCTGACCTAGGCTTTTGGTTATACAGTACAAGAGTTTAACAAGTAAGTCCAATTTAATTCTATATGTTTTAGTTTACAGCTTTTAATTTAGAGTATACATTGCTTATAGTAGCACATTATACATATATTACAGTCATTATACTGTCTGTATGGCAGCATTTTCCTGACCTGTTTTTACTTTTGTCAATCGATATTCAGGCTATGAACCCTTTTAATGATGTGGACTATTCCTAAATGTGTATGACTAAAACCATCTCTCTTACAGGGGCTCCTTGTAGCGATCCTCTATTGCTTTCTCAATCAAGAGGTCAGTACAAGCCTCAACACTCTCATGTATTATTTACGATTACATATTCAACAAAGCACGTAGATAATTTACAGCTCTCTGTTGCATAATAAACAAGAGCAACATGATACCAGTGAGGATGAGTGGGTAAGAGGTTTCAGGGCTGAACAAAATATATAATTTACGCCTCTCTTTCCCTCATTGCATAAGCAAAGGACCTTGAGAACATATTTAACCAGCAAGTACACAGACACTGTCTCAGTACACAATAACTCATCTGCCTCTTCCAAGTACTACCTTAGGGTAGTACTTGGAAGACACTTAATTATTACACACACTAATGGGTGAGTTAATGGAATCCAAATCTGTATCCTCTGATAGATTCAAGACACAGAGTAAAACAATACAGCGTGGTTTATTAGTGAAGGATGTTTTAGGGAAATGTATGATATCTAATGCTTTACATTTCACCTATACCCCAATAACATGGCGAATAAATACCTTAGATGACTTGAGTGGTGAAACGGAAATAAATGTTCAAATTGTGTGTGATTTGAAGTTAATGAAATACGTTAATATTTTTGGAAAATTGTCTGGTACTGGTAACCATTGGACAGATAGAGCTGTGTGCTAAGCTAAGCTAACCAGCTGCTGCTTACATACAACAGAAATATATGAGAGGGGTATCAATCTTCTTATTACATTTTTCTCTAAATAAATAAATAAACGTGTGTCCTTAAATGTCAAACTATTGCTTTTCAGTATATTACATCGCAGTATATGCTATGGTTGTTGTTTTTTAAATCATAAACCAATAACATTACTGTTTAAACACATACGAGTTGCAACTGCATCATCTTACAAGTTCTAAATCCCATCAATATTGCATTTTCTGTCCGTATGTGTGCTTGACAGGTCCAGAAAGAGGTGCAAATGCAGTGGCTGAGGTGGCAGGAGCGGAGCTATGGTGTGGTGTCACCTGCTGCTAAGTGTAGTCAGATGGACACACCCTTCTGATGATGGTCTTCACCCTCCGCCCACAGCTCCTCTGCTCATTGTGAAGTCACACAGGATTGCCTCTGTGCGTGTCATGTTCTGCAATAGGCTGCACAGTGTGCACAATAGTGGTTTAAAGCCATGTCTGTACGTTTATAAAGCATTCAAAAGATGACCTTTTAAAAGACTCTGCTCCAGAAAGAAGGATGGCATTTCATGACATACACACACATTTTAGAACAGATCCAGATGCCAATTTAATTTCCCTTGAGTCACTGTGTCAACAACTTCAGACAGTTCACCTTCCAGATTTCCTCGGGCCCCTCTCTGGTTTTATTAAAGAATAAGGAGTATGTGAAGCTGAGCGCTTACCCTAATGATGAAGGAATAATCAATTATGTAAACTGTTTCACCGGATATGGGTTTTTAGGAACCAAAAAAAACACTATCTTGTTGAGTGTGGTGGATGCCGTCTCTATGTAGATGCTAAAGTTAGATACAGTAGATTCAATTCCATGTATCACTGTTGCTGTAGCGTAACCTGTTGAAAATGTAATATACACAAATGATTAATCACTCAGTTGACTCAAACAGAAATTAAAATGGGTTATTATTACTGATATAATTCAACAGTAGTATAACATCGTACTACATAATTCATATTTGAACTTAGATTGATTATTTTGAGTTGTCTAGCACACAGGGAGATGAACTGTAAGTGTGTATATATTTATTCACTGAGCAAAATAATTTCTTTGTTTTCATATATTAATGTATTAATTCAAAGTGCGTACAAATTGATACCTTAATGGCAGCTTAATGAATGAATATCTTAAAGTCTGCTCATGATACACATTAGTGTCAGCATAGTGTGTGTTTTTTGTTTTTGCTTTTTCAGTGTAACCTGCACCTGTAACCTTTAGATCGTTGACACACTGATGAGAGTTGAGCAGCTTCTCACCTGTTGTGTGGTTTGATGTCATGAACTCAATACCATGAACATAAACTTTATCATGGTAACTACTATTTTTAAGTTATTTTACATCAATATATATGATGCTGACATTATACAGCGGTTTGTACTGCATATGAAGAACGATACAAATTGATATACGAGTGCCATAATTTGTTTACAGATCTATTTTTGTTAGAAATTAAAATGGATGTTTATGCTTTGTATGTGTTATAAGCCACAATACTCTTACAGTGTAGTTTATTTTATGCAAACAAAGCATTTGTGTAAAACTGAATGTATAAAGAAGTCAGACCTTTCTCTGTTGTTACATTTGGAAGTTGCTGCTATTCTTGTGCCTCTCTTTGTGATGTTTTATTGCCTTGTGAAATTAACAGGTTTGAAGTAGCTAAAGCATACATACGTTTACTCTGATTCATTATGGCTCTCTGCAATCTCACAAAATGTAAACATCATCAGCTGGCAGCTACGAAATGTAAAATCAATTATCTAATCGCTAATCACTGATACTGAAATCATAGTTGATTATTCATGTAGATTTCATTTCCAAGGATGTCATTCAGAAAAAACAATATGAGATTATTTAGTAAAATTACAGTTGTGCTTCATATGGAAAACCTTAATAAATGTTATCATTAAAGCAATGGCAAAACAATTTTCAATGTGTTCTATTTTTAAGAAGCTTACATCTTTATATTGCGTTTCATATGTTTGAATACATATTTTAGACAATGTATCTACTGTAAAATGATTTACAGTTAAACTAGTACCAGTTGTATAATTAAAGAGTACTGTTTATTAGTTTTAAACAGTATTACGCTAATTTCAGGTTAATGTTTGCATTTAGTGTCTCTACTGTGACATGTCTCCATGCTTCAATGTTCAAAAAGCTCTTTATTGTTCTCATACTGCCTGTGCTGCAGCACCTCTTTTCACCCTCTGTCTGAAACCAGAGCCCAGTCTGCTCTGATTGGTTATCTGGCCGGCTCTGTTGTGATTGGTAAACCGCTTAGAGATGTCCCTTAGGCTTAGCCTATCACGTACAATGTGTTGGAGCGCTAGCCAATAGAAGTGCGAGTGTAACACAGTGATGACACTATGTTGCAGAAGTAAATAAAAGGAGTCTAATGGAGGCTTTTCAGGCAGGGGGGGGGGGAGTGTGTGGGAGAGAAACTCCCTCTTGAGAAGTTTTAGCCTTTGATTTTAGGGGGTTTTTTTAGGGATTTTTTTTCAGGGATTTTAGCCTTTGAAGACAATTTAGATCAAAACCTAAACAACAAACGACAGGAAAGGAAAAATCCCATTATGGTTAAACTCAAATTACGTTTGCAGATTATTCCAGGTTGTTGGCATGCTGCAGCAGAATACAAGGCTTTTTCTCCATCTCTGTCCTCACAGTAGATATATAGTGTGTGTCATGTGATCAAACATAATGATGCAAAATGCACTTCTGCACAATGGCTATAGCCTACAAATGACTCATTAGTGTTTAATACGCAATCATGCAGCCCCAATTAGTAAAACGCTTTCTTGTAAATGTACTCTGAACTTCCTAAAGGAAAGTTTCCCTCAAACATGAAGCCCCCAGATGTTTTCACCATCAGGCAGGGTGTAATTGGCTTTTTGTTAACCTAATGTTCCCCGGCTGACCTAGGCTCTGACTGCTTTATGACCCGCATGTCAGGGTTCAGAGGCGGCAGCAGGGTGACAGTGATCCGCCTGCGGGCCTGGCTGCTGCTCCACTTTAGCGCTGGTTTGGGATTTGAGGAATGGGAAGTGCAGAGTTTTCAGACAGGATGTGGAGTCACTGCTACAGCCTCAGCCCCCCCACACTGACACCGAGCTGCTTCAGGCTGCACGAGTCCCCGCATCTGGAGAAGATAGGACGCGCATTTTGGCATCTGGATAACTGTCTCCGTCTAACTCCTGGAGACACAACCCGGTTCATTACTGCGAGTAGATCTAACCCGGGTGAGTTGGCTCAGTTTGTTGAACTCTTACTCTGATATCGCATCATTAGCCAACTCTATAAGTTAGTTCCACGGAAGTAGCGTGTTTATATGTTTAACAACGTTTCTTGTCGCTCTTGTTGCTTTCATATTTTCAATTTCAATGTGCTTAATGTAAATCCTGTTGCAGCTGCTGTAAGTTTCTTTTGTTCTGTGCAGACAGACAGGGGGGTGATGTTAACTTAATAACAGGGTGCTCTTAACCCTTTGTTGTTCTGCCTGCCTGGACATGCACTGTAAGGCTGCAGCTGCACACAATTCATCATCTGAGTCCAATTTAGCTCCAAACTATTTCCCCTTAGGGTAACTGTCACATGCTCTCATCTGAACTTTTCCGATTTATGAAACACTCAGAGGGGTTTCTTCCTTTTCCTCAGCAGATAACCCCCTCCTCTACACAGATTCAGGTGATGCCTCTCCTCAGGACTCTGCTGTCAGCCCTGCTGCTGGTTCTGTCTGTGTCTGAGCGTCTGAACAGCCCAGAGGAAAATGAAAATGAAAATGAAGTCTTTAAACACCCAGAGGCGGAGCACACCAAGAGCCAGGCCAGTGACCAGAGAAACCCTCCTTGAGTGTTTAGCTTCTTATGCTAGAAATGTTCTTATTGGATGGGATGTGGATTAGTTAAAATCAATGTGTTGGTTTCTACTTTTTTTAGAATCAGGTGATGGAAAATGTCATTGGAAATCTCAGTGAGCCTACACCGAGCAACACACCCAGCACAGGTGAGTTTTTGTTTTTTGCTGCACTCTCTTTTACCCTTTCAGTTCCTTTCAGTTCCTTTTACAACTTTTTTATTTGTTACATTAGCTTTAGAGTCCCTGACTACCACAGTTCCTCCGAGCACCAGTCTTCCTCCTCAGTGTCCGGGGAACCAGGTGAAGCTGGAGAACAGCAGTGTCTGCAGCTGTCCATCTGGCATGGTGAAGGAAGGAGACAACTGTAGCTGCCCTGGGGGCTTCACTCTGGAGGGGGCCGCAGGTTGTAAAGGTGAGGAGAGGCAGAGTTTAACTGAAGGTGATGTCTAATTTGCCAGTGTTGCATTCAATTAGGGAATTTAATTGTAATTTAAGTATACAAATGAGGCCACTGAAGAATGGCAAGCAGTCTCTTCTCTGCATTTTAAAATGCCATTGAAGAATGGTCGACAGCCCCTACTCTGCATTTTAAATCAGGGCTTCAATCCTCATGTAGATCAAGCGGTTGATTACCTTAATATACATCTTTATTTTGTGATAGCTTATAAAACTTGAAACAGGTCAAAGTCAGCTTGGCTCTGTCTAAAGGTTACATAATCTACCATTCAGCACCTCTGAAACTCCCATAACAGTAAACACTTTATCTCAATGGTAAGATTTCCAGTTTCACAAGGGCAAAAGTAACAGACAATTGGCCTATTTACCTACTACTGTACAGTATATGAACCAACAAACTTCCTTCGTGAGAGTATTTTGCTGCGTTCTCTTTTACCTTTTCAGATTTTCCTAAAATGTCTAGTTTTTTTCTTTTTACATCAGCAGCTCCCCTGACTACCACAGTTCCTCCGAGCACCAGTCTTCCTCCTCAGTGTCCGGGGAACCAGGTGAAGCTGGAGAACAGCACCGTCTGCAGCTGTCCATCTGGCATGGTGAAGGACGGAGACAACTGTAGCTGCCCTGGGGGCTTCACTCTGGAGGGGGCCGCAGGGTGTAAAGGTGAGGAGAGGCAGAATGAGCGTTTAACTGAAGGTGATCAGAACTGCATTAAAATGTGTGTAATTCAAGTATACAAATTAGGCCATTAAAGAATGGTAGGCAGTCTGCACTCTGCATTTCAAACTAGGGCGTCAATTATTGTATATATACACGAATGGGTTAGTTAACTAAATCTACACATTTATCCTGTGATAGCTTTAAAGAAAACGGGAAAGAATCCAGCTGTGATTTATACATGAAACATTTTCTGATGCCATGGTAAAAAATATAATATATTTACAGTAATCGGTTACCCAACAACATACAGAATAAATACCTCAATAGACTTAATATGCAATAATGTTACCAAATTCCTTTTTTTATTTGACCTTTCAAAAGTGAACTTTTAAGTTTGTGGGTCCTGTTTTTTAAGTTTAAATATAGAATATGTTTAATTGCTTCCTGTGTTTTAAAGTAAGATTAGAAGGTCCATACCACTTTCATGTCTGTTCATTTGGGGGCTACACGTAGCAGCCAGTTAGCTTAGCTTTATGTAAAGAAGACTGGAAACAGTGTTAAAAGTTAGTGTGGCTCCATCTAAAGGTAACACTATCTACTGTATATAACCGTCATTTGAAGACTCACTAATGAACACAATAGTTAGAAGTATATCTTCTTTGTTAGATTTCCAGTTTCATAAGAGCTTAAGTAACAGACAATATACCTATTTACCTACTATATCAGGCCACACACGTCCTGTAAGAGAGTGTTTTTGTTTTGCTGTGTTCTCTTTTACCTTTCAGATTTTCCTAAAATGTCTCCCTTTTTCTTTTTACATCAGCAGCTCCCCTGACTACCACAGTTCCTCCGCGCACCAGTCTTCCTCCTCAGTGTCCAGGGAACCAGGTGAAGCTGGAGAACAGCAGCGTCTGCAGCTGTCCATCTGGCATGGTGAAGGACGGAGACAACTGTAGCTGCCCTGGGGGCTTCACTCTGGAGGGGGCCGCAGGGTGTAAAGGTGAGGAGAGGCAGAATGAGTTTAACTGAAGGTGATCAGAACTGCATTAAAATGTGTGTAATTCAAGTATACAAATTAGGCCATTAACGAATGGTAGGCAGTCTGAACTCTGCATTTCAAACTAGGGCGTCAATTATTGTATATATACACGAATGGGTTAGTTAACTAAATCTACACATTTATCCTGTGATAGCTTTAAAGAAAACGGGAAAGAATCCAGCTGTGATTTATATATGAAACATTTTCTGATGCCATGGTAAAAAATATAATATATTTACAGTAATCGGTTACCCAACAACATACAGAATAAATACCTCAATAGACTTAATATGCAATAATGTTACCAAATTCCTTTTTTTATTTGACCTTTCAAAAGTGAACTTTTAAGTTTGTGGGTCCTGTTTTTTAAGTTTAAATATAGAATATGTTTAATTGCTTCTTGTGTTTTACAGTAAGATTAGAAGGTCCATACCACTTTCATGTCTGTTCATTTGGGGGCTACACGTAGCAGCCAGTTAGCTTAGCTTTACGTAAAGAAGACTGGAAACAGTGTTAAAAGTTAGTGTGGCTCCATCTAAAGGTAACACTATCTACTGTATATAACCGTCATTTGAAGACTCACTAATGAACACAATAGTTAGAAGTATATCTTCTTTGTTGGATTTCCAGTTTCACAAGGGCTTAAGTAACAGACAATATACCTATTTACCTACTATATCAGGCCACACACGTCCTGTAAGAGAGTGTTTTTGTTTTGCTGTGTTCTCTTTTACCTTTTCAGATTTTTCTAAAATGTCTCCTTTTTTCTTTTTACATCAGCAGCTCCTCTGACTACCACAGTTCCTCCGAGCACCAGTCTTCCTCCTCAGTGTCCGGGGAACCAGGTGAAGCTGGAGAACAGCAGCGTCTGCAGCTGTCCATCTGGCATGGTGAAGGACGGAGACAACTGTAGCTGCCCTGGGGGCTTCACTCTGGAGGGGGCCGCAGGGTGTAAAGGTGAGGAGAGGCAGGATGAGTTTAACTGAAGGTGATGTCTAATTTACTAGTTCTGCATTCAATAAGGGAAGTCATTGTAATTAAAGTATACAAATGAGGCCACTGAAGAATGGCAAGCAGTCTCTACTCTGCATTTGAATATGGCTATTAATGTGTTTTTATTACATGTACAGCACTTTGGCTCGACCAAAAATCGCTTTTAAATGTGCTTTATAAATAAAACTTGATTTGATTTGATGGCTGCAACTGACTTAATTAAATGAGAAGATTATTTTCTTGATTATTTTACATCAATAGTTTGTTGATAAGGGTCAGAAAATAGTGACAAAAGGTCCATCACAGTCTGGACAGTATGGGACATTCAATGTACATGGTGATGTCTTTCAAACCCAAGTATAATCAAATTAATATGAGGAGGGAACTTTGTGATTTTAGCCTTTGCAGACCATTTACATGCACAAAAACCTAAATGACACACTACTGGACAGGGAAAACCCCCAAAAACACAATTGGGCCCCCTAAACGTTAAATCTATTATCAAAACTTTCGATAACTCTCCTTGCAGCACTATTCAAACCATTCACAGCTATTATTTGCAGGAACTCAGCAATAATACACAGCCAAACAAAAAACAACATCCAAGTAAAACAGAAGATTTCGTTAATGCCAGGAAAAGTACCTGGAACAGTCTTTATAAGAAGACAACCCAAACTTCTCTGACTATAATCTTCTTTATGCACAAAAAAAGGATTTGACATTTAAGTGCTTTACGTAATATTTTCCATCAATGCACGTCAATGTAGCACCTATATTTATGCTTGGTTGCACACAGCGATGTCCGTTAGATGCAACACATTATCTTCTCTCTGCTCGACAGATGTTGATGAGTGTGAAGCGGGGGGTCAATGTGGTCTCCACGCCGACTGCACTAACACACCCGGATCCTACTCCTGTAGCTGTCTCCGTGGTTACCTGATGGGTGCTGGAGGGTGCAAGGGTGCGTCATTATCTGTGTGTGTGAGAGAGAAAGAATAAATGGGTGTGAGTGCATGTTTGAAATTGTTTATATGTACATTTTCCAGCCCTTTTGCCGTATGTTTAATGCATGTGTTCTGTATGTTTGTCACAGATATAGATGAGTGTGCTCTGGCTGCGGTGACGGGCCTGCAGGCGTGTCACGGCGATGCTGAATGCAGAAACACACCCGGCGCCTTCTCCTGCTCGTGTCCTGCAGGATATGTAATGGCTCTAAATGGACGAAGTTGTGTAGGTGAGGCCAATGTTAATGTTATCTGGTGTATGGCTGTAGAATGTGGAAGTATAATGAGAAAATGTATGTTCAGGAGCATGATATGTGCTGTATGGACTCTGTGATTTTCTCTTATTGTATGACAGTATGGGATCCAGTAAAACCATCTACAATCACACACATTACATGCTTGTACAATTAGACTCAGAAAATAATGAATTAAAAGCCTGTCCGAGAGCATCAGAATACAAAAAAGGCCAAATCTGCTTACGTTAATAATTTTTCAATGGGTTGACAGTCTAGCACCAGAGCCTCTTTCCAGAAATATCCAAAGTGAAAGATGACAGCAGATTAATTATGAGCATGGTAGATGGTTGATGAACATCTTAATCTCAATTTTGACGATCAGCTTTCTCCATAAAGAGCTGTCAATTCTGAAACACATTACCAACTAAAATCCAATTAATTCCATATTTTTTTTAAAGTAACTGAAGTACGACATGTGTGTGACAAATAAAAAGGGTTTAATTTGATTCCTTTGTTTCTAGTTTCTGGTTAATGCTATTAATTATTTACGTGTTGTTTTAATTACACTTAAAGCTGTATATTTTAACTAAACTGTACATGTTAAAGCACACATAGGGACACATAGGGTTAAACTGTATTGTCCCTGTCAACTAAATACATCAGAATCTCGTATTTCTCCCCTGGGGAAGCAGTGAGGGGTTAAATGTCTTCCTCTTTAACCGGATATTGGGTGTTATTATACTTGACCTCTATGCCATACTGTATAATCCATACGGGAGTGTGAAGTGTTCGCTTCCTATTACAGTTCTTGTCCACGTTCTTACAGATGTGGATGAGTGCAGCTTCGAGGATCAGTGTCGCCGTGAGCTGGGTAACGAGTGTGTGAACACTCCCGGCAGCTTTACGTGCCGCTGCCGGCCGGGGTTCAGAGCCGAGGCCCCCGCCTGCGTCGGTAAGTCCGGTGTTAACGTTTCCCTTCCTCTGGGTCAGACTGATGTCCAGATCTAATCGGGTGTTTCTAATATTCCACTTGAGTTAACCCAGACTTAAAGGTCCCATGTCATGCTTTTCCGGTTATTACCCGTCCCCTTGTGTGTTATGAAGGTTTTTATGCATGTAAACGGTCTGCAGAGTCAAAAACCCTCAAAGTACACCCTGTAGCGAGTAAAACTCGAACACAGAAAAGACCTCCCCAAAACGCCTCGTTGGAGATTTCTCATGTTCTTCCTGGGCATCGTGACGTCTGGATACCCAGTAGCCACGCCCAGAGCTATGACGCGATACGGTCATGCGGTACCCGGAACCAAATGGACCAATCCGTGGAGCCGTTACGTTACGTCCAAATACATTTTTGGTCCAAATTGACCAATCCACGGACTTCCTCACACACAGGCAGCTCTGCTGATTTCTCCTCCCTGGCTGCAGGCTGATAACAGACAGTTGGGATCGCGGCGAAATTCTCTCTGCAGACCCATTCTCACAGCGTTTATCAACCTTTTTCTTACTCAATATCAAGCCACACTTATTGTTTTTACTTCGGCTGTGAGTTTGTGTGTGCTCAGGATGAGTTTGGCTGTGTTTCGCTGTGTATCTTAAACAAGGAAACAACACCTCCACGGAGCTCAGCGCGATTCACAACGTCCCGACCAATCAGAGCACACTGTGCTCACAGGGAGGGTGGGGGCTGGAGCTATTGGAGCTACAACGAGCCGTTAAAGGCAGAGAGTGGAATTCAGTGAATACACGTAGTTTACAGAGATGCTGTTTGAGAAACCAATGTGAGTTTGGAAAAATGCACAATATAAATCTATTCTAGTATACCTCAACAATGGAATTATGATCAGTGGAAATGGCCATGACATGGGACCTTTAATAACTTCTGCTGACAGGAAGGCTTTGCAGGAGAGAAGAGCTTTAATCCCCTGCTTTGCTGCTTGCCTGTGTTGTTATTACTTTTTGTTTACTCTTTTGCTCCTTCACTTTTTCTTTAATTACCTATTTGCTCTCTTGTGCTCTAAAATCCTCCCAACGCTCTGTTTTCTTCCTCTTTTTTCATCTTGTTGTGTTCTCTCTGCGACTCTTCTGCACTTCCAATCCCAGGTCCTGTGTGTCAAGACTACAACGTGTGTCAAGGTATGATCCACTTAAAGCTTAAAGGGCCCGTGCGTAGTATTTAAAGGGATATATATTAGCAGAAATTAAATATAATATTCATAGCTATGTTTTCATTCAAGTATAATCACCTGAAAATAAGAAATGCGTTTTTGTTTCCTTAACATTTGAAATCTATCCCTCCTATAAGGGCTAAACTACTGCACAAACTAATCTTATGAGTGGAAAAATGTGCCGTTTATAACTACCTAGGAAGCAGGTCATTTTCAAGGAGTCTGCCATGTTTCTACAATAGCTTAGAACGGACAAACCAAACTCTGGCTCTAGAGAGGTACTTTTTTTCATTACCTGAAGTCACAGTGGTAAGAAAGGCAGAACCAACACGAGTACTGAAGAGAGAGGCAGTTATAAAAAAAGTGCTTTGTTGAAATAAAGCTGGTACAAAAGTAAGATATTAAGGGGAGCAGGCAAGTTGAAACATAACAAAAGATAACACAAGTTAGACTTGGAGAACACGGGTAGTAGAACCAGGAGGGCACACGAGGATAATCAAGATTCAGACAGAGACAGGAAACCAGACACAGTGACAAATCGAACCGCACCAGGGAAACATCACGAACTGACAGAGAACACAAGGAAGGACAGAAGTATAAATACACAGGGGTAATCACAAAGAGAGGACACTGCTGCTGGGGAGGGCATGCACAAACACAAGGGTAGCAGGTGAGGAGAATCAGACAATCAAAGTAAAGAGACAGAAAGTCAAACAAGACAAGAAACAAGGAAAAAATGCATTTCAAAACAAAACAGTTAAACAAATAGGACCAGGATAATGACACGACCACCACCATAGTTCTCTGAAATCTGCAGTAATGCCAGCTCCCTTCTGTATTTAATGCTCCTGAAGTACTGTTAAGGATGGCCTCTGAGTTAGGCCAAGGTACTGAAAGATATCACTTTGATTTTGCACTTGTTGGCTAACGCAATCTTATAAGGTCGAATGTACTTATTGTAAGTCGCTTTGGATAAAAGCGTCAGCTAAATGCAATGTAATGTAATGTAATGTAATAAGGGTTAAGCGGACATAAGCAAAAACATTCTTAAAAAGAGTTTCCAGTAATATCTTGTTATTTCTACCCATATTTTAATAATATTTCTATAATTACAAACTGCTTTAGGAGAGTAGTGAATGTAGAGTTGGACAAAGTGAATGTGAAGTACTGTCCTCTATTAAAACAACATATCCCCGTAGTGTTGCAGAAACAAGATTTATTAGGGGGGATCCTACTGGGGTTTGTTGACCTGAAAATAATTCAGTTACATAAGGTTGGATTGCACAACAGTTGTTTTTTCACTCAGTAATAATGTTTTGCAGATTATGTCAGAGCAACAAGTGAATGAAAAATGTAAACACTTGGTTTATGTAGCAATCTCTTGTTCTCTCGTGTTCCAGATGTGGACGAATGCTCAGAGAGTGCTGCGGTGTGTGATGGTCAGGGTGTGTGTGAGAACACGCTTGGGAGCTACAAGTGTGTGTGTCGACCAGGTTACCGGGGAAACGGCACACACTGCGCAGGTAAGTAATTAGTGCTGAATACCCGTCCACAGGAAATCAGTTTCCTGTGGACGGGGTCAGACTCTGTGTGTGCGCGTGCTTTAATGCCTGCAGTTATATCTTTCATTCAAATGATCCCGAGTGGCTGACTAATGATTATTAGATGGTGATTATACAATACAATGTAATTACCTTCGGATCTGGTTTTTAAAAAGTGTGTGTGTGTGTGTGTGTGTGTGTGTGTGTGTGTGTGTGTGTGTGTGTGTGTGTGTGTGTGTGTGTGTGTGTGTGTGTGTGTGTGTGTGTGGTGTGTGTGTGTGTGTGTGTGTGTGTGTGTGTGTGTGTGTGTGTGTGTGTGTGTGTGTGTGTGTGTGTGCTGTCTTTGCAGATAAGAATGAGTGTGCGTTAGGCGATCACGGGTGTGACATCAACGCTAGCTGTGGGAACATCATCGGCTCATATTTCTGCCAATGCTACCAGGGCTTCAATGGAGATGGCCACTCTTGTTTTGGTGGGTAAGCAGTGTGTGTCTTTTCCACATGTTCTTGCCACTAGTGGTTCACAGTATCCAAAAACGTTAACACCCCCCCACACACACAGACACAAAAAAAATCCAGCACCAGTCACTTTTACGCTGCTATGGAAATATTTTGCACTATGCACATAGTCTTTTTTTATATCCTGCTTACTTGAAGTAAACGGTTATTTTGTGTTTTTTTGTGATTATTGAGTGTTCTTGTATTTTAATGTGTTATTTTATACCTCGGGACTGTGGGAAACAGTATTTAGATCTTTCTGTGTGTACAAACATATTTTGAGATTGACAATAAAGTTGACTTTGACTTTGAAGTGATACTTGTGTCATGCAACTTGCGTGAGCCAGCAGCACTTGGGCACACAGCACTCTCCAGAGACGAGTGCTTTAGGATTGTCCTTCTGTGCAGATATTGATGAGTGTGCTCTGAACAACGGCCACTGCCAACACAACTGCTCCAACCAACCAGGAAGCTTCAGCTGCCGGTGTGCCTCAGGGTACCAGCTGCTGCAGGATGGACTCACCTGCACAGGTAAAACACTGCGCAGGAGTCAGGTATTGATCCATTCACACCTCTAAGTGAAGAAGGGAACAGTTCTTCCTACGTGAAGGAACAGTGGATACAAATGTTATCATACACCAGAGACATTGTAACCAATTAAAATGATGTTGAAGGCCTCTGATAGACTTTACATGTTGCATTCAAAGTGAGCTGCAATTCCCCTTTTTCACAGAGTGCTTTTAACATTTCCTTCTTTGAAACCCCACTCACCTGACCCTCTAAGCTTTTCAAAACGAGTTCTAAAATGAATTGTAAAAAGTGTTTGACTGTAGAATGAGCCTTTCATATGGAGTCGTGTTGTGCCTCTAGAGAAGAGCTAACTAAATGTTTCCGATCCCACAGATGTGGATGAGTGTTTGGCAGTGAACGGGACCTGTGATCACATTTGCATGAACACTCGGGGATCTTTCCAGTGCTCCTGCAGGGCCGGATACCAGCTGCACATCGACAGCCACACCTGCGTGGGTCAGTCACTCAGCCACACTTCCCACTGTTTACCTACTCATCATAGGCATTTAAACCGGCTGATTTGCCAGCATGCAGAGACAAGAAAACTGCCATGAATATGCTATCTCATGTTCTCAGTTTGTGTGTGTGTCTGTTGGTGTGTAAATGGATCTCGTAATGGCACATTTTGAAGGATTAGTGAGAAGAGAAAGTGAGAAATGTGTTGCATAGCAGAAATATGGGTGTTCAAAAAAGATGTTTACCTTGTTTCAAGTTTCAAGGCTTTTATTGTCATGTGTAGCTACAGTGTCGTTATGACAATGAACATCTTAGGTCACAGGCTCCTCCAACAGTGCAACACAATAAAACAGATAAGATATTACAAGTAAATAAAATAAAATAGAATATAATAGAAACAGAATATGATAGAAACTGTGCAGAATAGTCTATATACAGTAATTGGAATATTGATATATATGATATATGTGAGTTGCAAACAGATGAATGTTATGTATGTTCTTTCAAAAGTTTGTGTGTGTGTGTGTGTGTGTGTGTGTGTGTGTGTGTGTGTGTGTGTGTGTGTGTGTGTGTGTGTGTGTGTGTGTGTGTGTGTGTGTGTGTGTGTGTGTGTGTGTGTGTGTGTGTGTGTGTGTGTGTGTGTGTGTGTGTGTGTGTGTGTGTGTGTGTGTGTGTGTGTGTGTGTGTGTGTGTGTGTGTGTGTGTGTGTGTGTGTGTGTGTGTGTGTGTGTGTGTGTGTGTGTGTGTGTGTGTGTTTCTGTGTGCTCAGATATTGATGAATGTAAGCTCCAGCGTGGTGGCTGCTCTCACACCTGCACCAACTCTCCAGGAGGACACATCTGCCACTGCCTGGCCCCCCTGCTGCTGCACAGCGACAACCACACCTGCATCAGTACGTCTCTCATTTCAGTGTCGACATCACAGCATTCTATTTAGATAGGATATGATAATCCTTTAATGGTCAGATCAAGTCTGAAATTTGACTTGCATCACAGCAGCTCCATGTGTAACATCAACATAGACAAATATCAATTATGAAATATGAATTGCAACTATTGAACAATGTAAAATCGTATCAAATAGCAAGTCAAACTGCTTACGTTTTAGTATTCCATGATTTTACTAATGCCCATATAGCACAGCTTTAAAGAAATGTACTCTCTCAATCATTCATTCTTTAGGACTGGTTACAGTAGCACTAATTATCAGATCATTTAAAATGGTTGAAGTAGTTTAAATATTTGTTTAAAAAGACTTAAAACAGCAGCTTTAACTTATTATTTGCAGCGACTGTTTGTTTGTAAGACTACTTTTTTCATATGGTCTGTCATTTTTAAATGTGACTATTTTCATTATTGATTACCGATTCACTCTTTCAGTGATTTATCAATGAAAAATAAATATATTATTAAAGGAAATTGCATGTTAAACAGTTAAAAAAATGAAATATATTCAGTTTGATTGCAAAAATTAAAACAATGTAATAATCTCACAATTTAAAGTCTGGAATTAGAAGGTTTTTGGGGCATGAAAAATGTAAGATTAGGTCATTTCACTATTACTTGACGAATCAATTTATTTCGTTTTGCCCAAGCCAGTATTATAATCTGTAAATATTTAGTGTTAAAACCTTTTCTTCTTCACCTGTACAGATGTCACTTCTTGCAAGCTGAGAAACGGTGGCTGTGAACACGTCTGCAGCGTGAGAGCGGAGGGTCAGATCCGCTGCAGTTGCACAGCCGGCTGGAGGCTGGGCGACGACCAGAGGAGCTGCGTCGGTCAGATCCATTTTGTTTCCTCACTGCCACCTTTGATTTTAAATTGCTGACCTAGTAGGCTTCGATTGAACTTAATTCATCCCAGAAATTAAGCTGTCTATACATTTCACCATCATTTTAAAAGGATTTTGGGAACATGTAATGCTATTTCATTTGAGGTCATTAACATCCAGCAACGTTAGATAGGATTTTTCTTTTATTTCAAGTATTTATGTTAAAATAACTCAGTTGTATGCCTTCAGACTTCACAATCAAAACAACCATATAATGAAACAGCCATACAAAGATCCCCAGAGGCTCATTTGCAGATGTTTATTGCTTTGTACTGCTTTTTAGGACTTTAAATGGCTGCACTCAGCTTCTCTTTTATTTTGTTCGTGCAAGGCTGATCATTGAAAAAACTGTATCTGGGTTGAACGGCCATGCTGACATTTTATAATTGACCTTATGACTCTGAACAATTTAGCTGTGGCCAAATGTCATGTGTGAGCAGCCGAGCTTTCCTTGTCGCTGAGCCATAAAGGAAAGGAACAGACGGTATAGATAATATGTGTTTCTGAATGTTGTGAAAGGTCAGCCTGTTTAACTTTCTGCCTTTTGTCATAAGATGTGAACGAGTGCGGGGACTTTACAAACGGAGGCTGTGAGCAGCTCTGTGTGAACCATCCTGGAGGGTTTCACTGCAGCTGCAGGGGGGGCTACGAGGTGCAAACTGACGACCGCACCAAGTGCAAGCGTGAGTCAAACATCAAACACAAAATATGTCTATGACAGCTTACAAAATGGACCTAAATGTTTCTGATCCACCAAAATCTGGATGAGTGATAACAGTATGGGGAAGTGTAATATTGAGAAAGTAATCATATTACAATAATATTGTAAGGTTGACTATTGGGGCTTTAAAAAATATGAACACAATGAGATTTTTGGTAAATAATCATCAGTAATGAGGATATAATGACTGAGTGAGTAAAAAACGACATACATTTACTGTATTGTTCTCTACTTTTGTAATTACGATATCAAAAATATAAGATGATATGTACATGTAGTCTCATATCACAATATCAACATAATACGTATATATTTCCCAGCCCTACAACAGTATTAGCAAAAGGAACTGCTTTAGTCTGTTTTTTTTAAGGATTTAAATACTATAAAATGCTTATTAACGTCCCTGCCGTTACAGCTGTGTGTAACACTCAGTGTCAGAACTATGGAGTGTGTGTGGCTCCAAACAGCTGTGACTGTCCTCCAGGCTACCCTGGACTGGGCTGCTCAGGTACAAAACATGACTATTCTACATGGCTAACAGTCATGTAGAAGTATATATATTTATTTGCTGCTGCTGTGAGAAATAGACTCTTGTTGATGATGTGTTTCAGCCTCGTGCTCCCCACCCTGTGCTCACGGAGGAACCTGTATGCGCTGGAACAAATGTCTGTGTCCTCTTGGCTGGAAGGGAGCAGGATGCCACACAGGTACCTCACCTCTGGCATTAAAGCTGAATCAGTGACTTTTACATATGGGGAAAACAGTGATTAAGCTTAAAGGTCCCCTATTATACTGTTTTTCATGACTTTATTGTAGGTCTCAGATATATACAAAACATGTCTCTGAAGTGTTTGGCTCCAAACACCAAACAGATCATTGCAGCATCCCATAATCCCCTCTGTTTCAGCCCTGTTTCAAAAGTGCTGATTCTCTGTCTGTTACTTTAGATGAAAATAAGGAGCCCCTCCCCACGCCCCTCTGAGAGATATTTGGTTACAAAGAACACAATGGTGCTCTAGGAGGAGATTCAGGTGATAAGGTGGGGGGGGGTTACCTTGGTTGGTGATTGGCTAATGGTTACACAAGCCAAAAAAACATTATGACATCACAAATTCGCCAAAATCTGATCAGCTCATTTTCAGACAGGTTTTTATATAAATGGATCAGGACAAAAAGAGAGAGAATCTTTTTTCCTGAAACTTTCAGAATCTCTTTACACAGAGGGGACACATGCTTATGTATAAAAGACAGAAAAAGTGGATTTTGCATAATAGGTGACCTTTAAAGCTGCCAGGGAAAGCTAGTTATTGAGAAGGGACTTCCTGAAGGTGGGCTGGCTGCATCCCCCCTACACCCAGGACTGTTTTTCTGTACTTTAAACCTTCCTCTGAATGGCACATTTCCCCCATATAGTAATTACTCTTACGGCCAGAGGGGGGAGACAAAAGCTCTGCACTGCAGCTTTTATGCATCACTTCTGTACAAGAAAGCACTGCAGAGTCTATAAACACGCTGGGATAGAAGCTATTTTGAGTAAAGAAAGCAGAATGCAGTAAACAAAAGAAATCCTGTTGTTTAAAAAGTTACAAGATGCTCACATTTTTATCGTCCTTCTCTCAGCGGTGTGTGAGCTGCCCTGTGCTAACGGCGGTCGCTGTGTGGGGCCTGAAACCTGCCAGTGTCCCTCTGACTACACCGGCCCGCAGTGCCTCCTGCGTGAGTAACAGAAGCACAAACACATCTGGCTCCAGTTACAGCCGGCATGCAGGTCTAATAAAATATGTGTTGTACCATGATGGAAAAACAAATCATGTTTGGACAACACAATGTTACTTTAAATGACATTTTTTCCGACATAACACTTCTATTTCAATGTGTGTGTGTGTGTGTGTGTGTGTGTGTGTGTGTGTGTGTGTGTGTGTGTGTGTGTGTGTGTGTGTGTGTGTGTGTGTGTGTGTGTGTTGTGTGTGTTGCAGCCTTGTGCAGTCCTGCCTGCAGAAACGGGGGAAGATGTGTGGATGTCAACAAATGCACATGTGTTGGTGGATGGCAAGGAGCTCGCTGCCAAATAGGTAACGTTTCACTTACTCAAACCAATCAAGCAATAATATTATCATATATTTCATGAATATGTCATGAGTATTGTTCCCTAATTGTCTGTGTCTGCAGAATAGAACGTGTTTTGAATAAATGAGACCATATGACTTCTAATAGCTTTTACTTTAATGAGGTGCTGCATTTATTCTCAGCTCCTGTTACCTTTTACACACAAAGTTCAATTCGCTTTCGTCAGAAGGCAGGTTTGACCTCCTAGAGAAGCCACTATGTGAGGTTTCATTATTCCACCAGAAATTGGGCCTTTGAACAAAATGGGGTTTTGGTTGTTACTAGTTATGGATCTCCAAATCTGAGGCCATGGTTCTCAGCAGGAAACCGATGGACTGTCCACTCCAAGTAGGGAATGAGTCCTTACCCCAAGTGAAGGAGTTCAAGTATCTCGGGGTCTTGTTCTCGAGTGAGGGAACAATGGAGTGTGAGATGGGCCGGAGAATCGGAGCAGCGGGAGCGGTACTGCAGTCGCTTTACCGCACCGTTGTGACGAAAAGAGAGCTGAGCCAGAAGGCAAAGCTCTCCGTCTACCGGGCCATTTTCGTTCCATGACCGAAAGAACGAGATCGTGGATACAAGCGGCCGAGATGGGTTTTCTCCGCAGGGTGGCTGGCGTCTCCCTTAGGGATAAGGTGAGAAGTTCAGTCACCCGGGAGGGACTCGGAGTTGAACCGCTCCTCCTTCGCGTCGAAAGGAGCCAGTTGAGGTGGTTCGGGCACCTAGTAAGGATGCCACCTGGGCGCCTCCCTAGGGAGGTGTTCCAGGCACGTCCAGCTGGGAAGAGACCGAGGGGTAGACCTAGGACCAGGTGGAGGGATTATATCTCTTCGCTGGCCTGGGAGCGCCTTGGGATCCCCCAGTCAGAGCTGGTTGATGTGGCCAGGGAAAGCAACGTTTGGGGCTCTCTGCTGGAACTGCTACCTCCGCGACCCGACCACGGATAAGCGGAGAGAAGATGGATGGATGGAGCAGTTTTCCTGTTTTCAGATTATTTTGTCTTTGCTGCCTCATGCAGATTTTCTTTGGGGGACAAATACAGCAGTGATGTTCGCTTTAACCTGTGTTAACCTGTGTTTTCTGTATTTTGTTTTGTCTTTTTTCCATTGATGAACTTTTCTGTATTAACTTTGGTCTGTTTTCTTCAAAGATGTGTTGTGTCTTTTTTGTGAAACGCTGTTCTTAGTCCTCTAAAAACCCCTTCAATTGAAACAATCTAAGAGGTAGAAAAAACATTACTACTGAAGAACATAGAGCTGACAGAAGTAAAAGAACAGAAATAAAAAAGGGCAAGTGATTAAAAAAGATGAAAAATTGCTATTTCTTACATATTTGTGTTAGTAATTGGTCTCCAGTTATCGTTCGCTTTTAACTGTCTCCACTATCAACCTTTTAAATTACTTGACAGATAAATTGATGATGAAAATATTATGTTTATGTCCTGGTAGACATGGCTTTATTTCAAATAAGCCGATAAGGTTGGATACAGTATGTAGATACAGGCTGCCAATAAGTGGAGCTGTGCAGCTGTTGAGCCGCACCTGAATATCTAAAGGCTAAAGTTAATGTTCACTGATATTTGAGAAAGTTGCTTAGTTTACAGCGTCTATAATAAGTGTTCAACACTACAGCTTGAAGTGTGGTCAGAAGTCAAAACTCAAGATGGTTTATTTTGGGATTACAGAGTATAACAGAGTTGGATCTTTAATAGTGAATACAAGAAAGAGAAAGGCTTCCCTCCTCAGGGTCATGTTGTATTCAAAACAAACAGTCAGTGTGCAGTCCAGTTTGCCCCTGATCCAGGTCACTGTTCATAGGTCATAACACCAGTTTCCCCTGCATCAATATCACTAAAAGATGTTCCATTCAATCTAAATGCATGTTTTTGTTTTTCTGTCTCCCTCAGAGCCCGTTCAGTGTCACAAACCATGTAACAACGGTGGAGTGTGTGTCGGCCTCAACAGGTGCCGCTGCGTCAAAGGATATACTGGAATTCACTGTGAAACGGGTTAGTGTGTGTGTGTGTGTGTGTGTGTGTGTGTGTGTGTGTGTGTGTGTGTGTGGTGTGTGTGTGTGTGTGTGTGTGTGTGTGTGTGTGTGTGTGTGTGTGTGTGTGTGTGTGTGTGTGTGTGTGTGTGTGTGTGTGTGTGTGTGTGTGTGTGTGTGTGTGTGTGTGTTTGTTTAAGAAACCTTTTCTTTGCCGTCACCTTGCATTAAGACTCTTGCTGTGTGTTGTGTGTCTACAGCTCTGACCACGCCCTGTGTGCCGCCCTGCCAACACGGGGCCACCTGCAGTCCTCACAACACCTGCACCTGTCCAGAGGGGACGGCAGGCCTGCGCTGCGAGAAGCTGTGAGTATCAACACCAACAACAACAACAACAACAAGATACACAAATAACACCACGATTCATTAATGTGTGATCTGTCTGCTGCTCATTACTGGTCGACTTTTTCAGGAAGTTTCTTTTACTCAAGCACATTATATTAACAGTGCACAACTTTTTAAACACTGATCATATCATTTTCACAATTTTTCAAAATTCTTGATCAGATAATAAATCTGTTCAAGTGTATAAATGTCATATGATTTATATTATGATAATGACTTATTGACTGTATTGTTATGAATGTGTGTTTGTGTCCTAGGACGTGCCCTGTGGTCACCACGGTGGTCAGCAGGGCTCGAGCCGTAAGAAAGGCGTTCAGGGAGAGTTACGTGGACCGCTGCGGACCCCTGGGGGTTCGGCTCTGCACTAAATACAGGTTTCTTACTTGTTTTCTTATTACATCCTCTAGATCTTGATTAGGTAGTTCATAAAGTTGCAGATGGTGGAGCTTATCAAAATACATTTAAATGTACTTCTAATAATTTCCTGTCATCTCCTCTTATCGATGTTCATACTTAGATCACTACTAGACTTAGATTCAATCAGTAAATAGTTATTTATTGTCAGAATGAAACATTATTGCCTTGAAATACAAAGGTAGTAGCAGCATGTGTTGACCATTATTTTAAAGAGGCGCTATCATGCTTTTTGGGGTTTTCCCTTTTCTGAAGTGTGTTATTTTTGTGCATGTGATTTTTCTGAAAAGGCAAAAAAGTGGGGAGTTTCTCTCCCACACACTCCCCCCCTGCCTGAAACGCCTCCATTGGACTCCTTTGTTTACTTCTGTAACTGGGGCCCTTTCTCATTTCACTAATTTCCCCGCCTCGACTCCTCGAATCCTCGGTCCTCCGGTAGTGACCCGGAAATAGATTTCAGCGCGCCATGTTGAAGGACATCTAATATCTCTAAATGCACATCGAGCATCGAGCATCGAGGAGGCTCTCTGGAGGAGCTATAATCGAGGATACACTGATGGGTCCTCCACGGTCCTCCACGGCTCCTCCGCGGATGTATTTCCGGCAACAGTGATGTTTAAAAGAGTCGAGACGCACGGCCGGACTTATCTCAGCCAATGACAGCTCTGCATGCATCCCCTGGATATTATTTTATTAACTGCTTTCATCGCGACGCGATGTTTACAGTGAGAACAGCTGTGAGGTCCGTGCAGAAAGCAGAGCAGTGTGTACTGTATAATATCACTCAGTATAACAGGCCTACATTACTTTCTTTATTTGTTTGCTTTAGTTTAGTAGATATCTACAAACAAAGAGTCGATATTTTTCTAAGACCATTTAGTGCTTCACATAATAAAATACACAACGGCTGTATCCTGATATGATATGCTTTAGAAGCTGCAGGTGCGTGTTGTACAGTGTGTAGGTGTGTGTGGTTGGTACAGTGTGTAGGTGCGTGTGGTACAGTGTGTGTGTGTGTGTGTGCGTAGATGTGGCGGACAGACAGGTCTCAGTTGATTTGGTGTCCTATGCTTACTTTGAATAATTGTAAATAAAACTTTTGGCCCGTAATTTCTTTTCCTCATTGTAGCTACCAGAGAGAGGCGGGGGGGGGATATATCCAGTCTCTGATAGGGTTACGTTAGTATGAGAGTGCTCTCATACTTGTTTGAATCTGAAATTGTATATATTTATATAAATATATATATAAATATATATGTGTGTGTGTGTGTGTGTGTGTATGTATGTATATGTCCGCATCTGTAGCCTGTTATTGTCTCATTATACCGCACTGTGAATGAATTAAAAGTAAATATATATAAGTCATCATGAACACAGTTCTGTCCATCAGACAGTGCTCTTTAAAATGACCGCTCAGAGGAGAGGATTTCTCATTTCTCTAACCACCTGCTGCTTCCCCTCCTCTCTCCTCGGTTCCCCTCCTTGACTCTTCCGCTCGCATCTCCTGAGGGCGGGACTAACTCACGAGGATAGGAGTCGAGGAGGGGAGTCGAGGAGGGGAATTAGAGAAATGAGAAAGGGCCATAGTAACATCAGTATGTAACACTTTTGCATCTATTGGTTAGCGCTCCAAAACATTGTAAGTGATAGGCTAAGGGGCGGGACATCTCTAAGCTGTTGACCAATCATAACAGAGCCGGCCAGCTAACCAATCAGAGCAGACTGGACTCTGGTTTCACACAAAGGGTGAAAAGAGGTGCTGCAGCTCAGTATGAGAAAAATAAAGAGCTTTTTGAACATTAAAGAATGTAAACATGTCACAGTAGAGACACTAAATACTAATATGAACTTGAAAATGAGCATTGTATGTCCTCTTTAAAATAACTAAAGGTGAAGTTAGATCCGTGAGCATTTAAAATAATAAATGTTTTGTGTTTGTGTTTCCAGGCTGAACCAGGCTCGTGTGTACCTGCAGGCCTACATGGTGGGCTACAAAACACAGTGTCCAGGGAGGAAGGGCTGAGGAGCCATGTTGTAAACACAGACAACAGTTTGGGTAACACAAAAACTGAAATTGGATGAGTGAGAGGGTGTTGTGGCTTCTCTGAGCTTTTATGTTAAAATAAAAAGAGGACATCACTGTAACAACGAGTTTATTTAATCACCACTATATTTAAAATGTTTACAATTTCATGAACAAATATTTATAAGTATATTCAATTTGCAATGGACTCATTATTTGTCATGTATGTGTATGGCAGCTGAAAGTAATAAAACTTCTTACAAAATGGTGACAATATTAAGAACTGACTTTTTACAGTCAGGTTGTCACTGATTGTCAAATAATAAGGACTGTCTGTGTGATACTGTAGTCAAAGAGTTCACAGGAATATTTCCAATAAAGTTTAACTGAAACAAACATACATTTTTCTAGTAGAATAGCTGTGTGAATGACAGGATAGGGTAATTTCTGACCAAGCTTACATAATTTCTGACTAAAATACTCACAATATAACAACTGCAGTGTGGCTGACTTTTTTATTCTTATCACCGTGTTTTCCTGATATCTGCCCTCTTACCTAGCACCCAGTTTGGTGACCTTGTTTAGCCTATTGCATTTCTTCATGTCTTATGTAAGAGGCCTTAGTATGACCTTCTTCAGAAGCTCCAGATGTCGTGGGAGATTTCCTCCTTTAGGGTTTTACAGATGTTACCATTATATTGTTTTTTTTAAATGTCCTAAAAATCCATGCGTGCCTTTAAGAAACCCCAGGGGGAAACAAGGCACAATTAACAATAAATACCTTGCAGACCCACAACAATATTGAATGCGTCTCCTCGTACAATTACAGTATATAAGACATTTATTTAAAAGAAACAACACGATCTACAGAGACCCTGAATCCCTGATAATACAGTTTTTGTTGTTACCTTAAACCTCCACCTAACCTGAAAATAATCAAATGGCAGACCACAACTAAGCGAAACATCCATATGATTTAAAGTAGGCCTTAGTATGACCTTCTTTGATTCAGAGGCTCCAGATGTCGTGGGAGATTTCCTCCTTTAGGGTTTTACAGATGTTACCATAAAAAGTTGTATTATATATATATATATATTTTTTAAATGTCCTAAAAATCCATGCGTGCCTTTTAAGAAACCCCAGGGGGAAACAAGGCACAATTAACAATAAATACCTTGCAGACCCACAACAATATTTAATGCGTCTCCTCGTACAATTACAGCACGAGAAATTGTGTTGATGAGATGTCTCACTCTTCACGTAAAGTGGCACAGATTTGGTAGGGTTGGGGTAAGAGGAAGATGCTGAAACGGGGCTTGAACACAGCCTCCACACCCGGAGGCATGGAGAAGGTGAAGCGCTGCAGGAAGGAGGTGAAGAAGAGGAAGAGCTCTATCCTGGCCAGGTTCTCCCCGAGACACACCCGCTTACCTGCGGCAACAACAAAAACATAATCACAGAAATGCAAATACATAAGTAAAAAAAAAAAGAAACAATTTATCATCTAAGCCATCTTCACCTGAGACGATTCATGCACTGCCTGCACCTACACACCATTTTTCTCTAGCTGCTAAAAGCTTTACTTAAAGGGGACCTATCATGCAAAATGTACTTTTGTACGTCTTTTATACATGAATATGTGTCCCCGGTGTTCCAGGGAACTCACCAAGTGTCAGAAAACACAACCCTCTCTCTTTTCCTCCATACCCAAATCTCTAAAAACGGGGCTGCCACGGATCTGATAAAAACTGATACAGATTTGAAAATAGTCTGACATCAGTGACGAGGAGCTCCGCCTATATGGCCAACGCTCCACCAATCAGGGGAATGAGAGGTTGCCGTGGCATGGTAACAGCATGGTAACAGCATGGTAACAGCATGGTAACAGCATGGTAACAGCATGGTAACATGGCGCTCGTAACTCGGCCCCCTCCTTTGCAGGGGGGCGTGGTCAGCTGCAGCGCATGCAAAGACGAGTGGAGGAGAGCAAAATAGCGAAATGAGGCATGGCTAAAATGCATGATCTGTTTGGTATTTTGAAAAAGAAAACGTATAAATATACCTTATATAGGTATGGCCCTACAATATATTATTCAAATATAGCATGATAGGTCTCCTTTAACAAACACAACTGTCCAACCAAACTAACTGTCGATAGCCAGACACAACAGTCAGGGACAGTGTTATAGGTTTTCAGAGCTTAATCAGTGCAGTAAACGCCAATTTCTGTTCCTGTTATGCGTTCATTGCAGGATGTACTTTTGATTGTTTTCGACAGGAAAAACTACAGTAGTGCCAAAAGCCAATCTTTATGAATTAAACACAAACATTTAATCTGAGAAGAAACATTTACACCTAATATTCACCTGGCCATATTTGAAACTTTATCTTAAACTTGAATACCTATGTTATATAATAACAAACAATATATTACTTAAAAGGATTCCAGTGTATCAAAGTCAACCACTGATTTGGTTATCTGCACCATCACTTCTATAATATTAGAAATGTTGTGAAAAGGTACTTGCCCACAGAGAAAGGGATGAAAGCAGCTCGCTGCACAAACTTCCCCTCCTTGTTCAGAAAGTGTCCTGGGTTGAAGGTGTTGGGCGTCTCCCACTCATTCTTGTCAAACAGCACCGAGGTCAGGTTGGGCATTACTATAACTCCCTGGTAATTGGAACCATAATGGTAATTTATGAAGATGCAACATGGTTGTTCAATTTGTGTAAATATTGAATTAGAGAACTGACCTTTGGGATTGTGTAGCCTCCTATCTGAACGTCCCTGTTGGTCACATGAGGCAGGTTGAGAGGAACTACGTTTCCAATTCTCTGGATCTCGTGTATGACGGCGTCAGTGTAGGGCATGTTTGGACGATCTTCCATGGACGGCTCTCTGGACTGTCCAATCACGCTGTCTATCTCCTCCTGGACCTTCTCTGTGCAACAGGAGAGCCAAATGAATGGAAGACAAGACACACGAGCCAATATAACTTATGATGATTTCTTGTCCTCGTGTGTGAGCTCATACCCTGAATCTCGGTGTACTTTGCCATGTAGAGCACACCCCAGCGCAGGGTGATGGAGGTGGTCTCAGTGCCAGCTCCGAACAGATCAAACGAACACATCACCAGGTTGCCTTCATCAAAACAAGCGTTTGGCTCATCATCCCTCTTGTCCTGATGCTGAACATTTTGAAAATGCACTTGTGATGTCAATTTAAAGGTACAGTTTACAAACAAATGTCTAGTGTGGGGGGAAGGCAGGGAAATAAATGGATTATTAAACAATGATTACCTAATTGTCATTATATCAAGAGAGCCCATTCATTTTAATTTATATTTCTCATAAATATATATAATTGTTTTACTACAGTTTTTACATTGAAATGCTAAATAGCAATCCTTTTCGTTTATGGATTTTAACTTACATTTGAATAATATTAAGTCCAACTAAGAGTGCTTCTAATGATTGGATTTTCTTTTTTGTTGTCAATTCATTTTTATAATAGCTTTTATAATATTGTTTTCAATATTTGGTAACATTTTCTTCTCTTACTATGTTCATGTTTGTATTATTATATACCAAAGCAAATTCAATAATAAGTCAACTGAATTTTGACTTTGAATAATCTCTTATTTTATGCTTTTGTTGCCAAAAACATATGTGTGAAACTTTCTAAATTATGCAACAAAGGATTATTTTAATTATTAATTAATTTTATGAGTATTTCTTGCATTTGATAATCATTTGGCCTATACTGTAAGATTTCAGAATATAGTGGCAAAATCACAATGACGATTTCCCACAGCCTTAAAGGTGGGGTAGGTCATTTTGGAGAAACCAGCTCGAGTGCGCTAGAATTTGAAAATACAAAGCCGGAAGAAATCTGCTACTTCCTTACAGAGCCCCTCCTCCAACACACACGAACGCGCACATGACCAATGAGGGCACGAGATAAGTTTGTGCACAGATGGAAGGCTGACAGGCAGGTAGGCCATCCAGTTATTTTAGCCGGGCCGGCTAAAATGATTGGTCGTGCTTTCTACAGTATTACGGCTTCCACAGATGACATTTTTTTTATGGATTTATTGTCAAAGCACTTAAGATATTCATTGCTATCGGGATGTTAAGAGCATTCCATGGAATATAACAAAAAGTGTATCTCGAGCCGGTTTCTCAAACTTACCTACCCCACCTTTAAGGAAACATCTTTTTTTTTACCCTAAAAACTGTCAATTCAGCATCTGGGTTTACAATCATATAAGACAAAACAAAACAAATATGATCAATTAAGCTAGTATCTGGTTGATTTGCTCATAGTTTGTCCACTAACCTTCTGAATCTCAGTCAGGTAACAGTCGATGAAGTCTCGGGGATCAGAGGGGTTCCAGTCTTCCCTGTGCTTATTAATTTCTGTTTTCATCAAGTCCATTATATCACGATAACCCTTTTGAAGAGTGTGGTGTGGCCCCGGCAAACGCCTCATCAGCACAGGAAAGGCGGTGTACAGCTGTTGATAGCATTATCATACAGTGTAAATAAGACTTAGAACAAATGTGTATCAAAGAGCAAACACTCAACTCTATTGTGGGGGAAACTTCGGTGTAGCAATGCATTGGGAGTCACCGACTCAGGAAGGAGACACGGTGAGAGTTGGAGCTTTTGATGTCAAACACTGATGGGTTTATTCAGAGTATCGGCCGGAGGATTCACATCACAAATCACGAGTCAGAGGGTCTGACTTCACGGGAGAGTTGCCACGTCAATTCTGAAGAGCCTCTCTCTATGTTAGACCTTTTAACTGGTTCACAGAGAGTAATCAACATCTCTGAAGGAGTAGACTAAACAGCTGGGAACACTGAATCACTTGCGTCCGACACTTATGGCCTCAAAGATTTCACACCTTAGAGTCCACAAACACCGATAAAGAAGTGCCTCAGCGTTCTCACAACAATTACCATTCGTGCCAGACAAGTTGACCGGTCACAAACTGGTAACAACAACACATATGGCACCAATGCCTTTCCTTAAAGGAGATAACAGACGTCAGAGTAGATCATAAAACGTCACAGAGCAAAAGGTTAGATATCTAGAAGAATTATTCCTTAACTTCTATCAGAGACTTAATACGATCAAAGAGTGTCCAGATGCAGGAACAAGACCAGTACACTGAATTAAGATTTCAATAGTCTTGAAAGGATGTACCTGTGCCCAAATGGATCCTTCAATCTGGACCCCTTTGTCCAACAACGTTATCAACTGCAGAAACTTCTCATCCTTGTAGTCAAAGCGATGGCCAAAGATCAGGGAGCAGATGATGTTGGAGACGGCGTTGTTCATTAAAAAATGTAGATTGAAGGGTTTGCCTGGACAGTTGATCAAACATATCAAAATGAAAAGTGAGTAGCATGATCAGTAATAGGCTTTTTTCTGTATTCTCAATACCTTTAGACATTTGTACACTTTACCTTTATGACTAGCGATTTCTTTGGACATGTACCTAAATTCCTCCAGTATGGAAGATTCATGTGATTTCTTGCCAACGCCAAAGTATTTGAGAGTGGAGAGGGCAAACTGCCTTTGTTGCTTCCACGAATAGCCATTAGCAAAAACAATACCTGATGAGAAAATGTGAATTTAGATAAAAACTTTAGAAATGCAGCTTGTGACATAAATGAGACACATAGTAAGAAACAGTCTGTATGTAGAAGTATGTTCTGGAAATCTTAGACCTAGTCAATACTGTGGAGATATACAATTAGAATGATCAATCAATAAAATGGTGGAAACAAACAGAGTTGTCTTTCTGGTTCTTTATTCGAAGAGCTTCGAAGGTACATGTCTCACAGAGTAGTCTGCAAGAGTGCACACAGGGGCAAGGGTGTGTATAGGTTTTATAGGATCTTGACAGTTCAACAACACTTCGTCACCTGTCACTATGGCAGGGCTGGATGGAGAGATAAGCTACGCCTGCTTTCCAGAGGAACAGAAACTGTACATTGCTAATATAGTAAATCAGGAACTAGTTAAAGACAGGAACCTGTTTAAGACAGATGGAAGTGAGGAAAGCAGGAACTCATTGTGGGTCAAAGACAGATATAACTGGGAAATCAGGAACTCATTGTAGGACAGGGAACAAACACAGGAACTTGTTCGAGACACTGTGCCTGACACACAGATGCTCTTAAGGAGCTTGCTCACGACACTGTCTCTCACCCCCAGACATTCTTAAGGTTAATCATAAGTTGAACAAAGGACATGAACTGAAATACATCATCATGGAACTACTGCATTTGGTTTTACCATATTAGGTATAAAGTTTGAACTACATATAGAGTTTTCCACTACATATAAAGTTTGCCACTACAAGTAAAAACATCTTTAAGTTTATATCCAATTTAACAAATAAAAACACATGATTAACCGTCGTTTTTATAATCAACAACATATTTTAACACTTAGATCAATTTGCAATAGTGGGACATCAAATGTATTATCAAAATAATGCCTGTCACATTATTATTATTCACACACCATGATTCAAGGCTTTTATTGTCATGTGTGCATAGCTACAGTGTAGTTATGACAATGACAATCTTAGGTCACAGTCTCCTCCAACAGTGCAACACAATAAAACAGATAAAATAGTGCAAGTAAAAATAGAATATAATAGAAATAGTGCAGAATAGTCTACAAGTAATTGGAATATCGATATAAGTTGCAAACAGATGAATGTTATGGATGTTCTTTCAAAAGTTCAGGTGTTTAACAATCTTATGAGTATAATAAAACTTCTGCGAACAGTAAATAAAGCAAATATTGTAGAAGCACAGAAACAGTGTTCAAATTCTGCTTTTACAGACTTATTTTGGTTGTGCGCAAAGTAATTTTATAAGTGTCAAAGGAATGTTTTAATGTACTGTAAATACATCAGATTTTAGGATAATTAATTAATTATCAGTAAGTTCTAATCAAATCTATGACTTGATTTCTCAAAAAAAGGCAGTGTAAAAATCAAAAAATTTGAAAAATATGAACCACACCGCTGCTAACTGATAATGAAAGCATCCGTGTAAATATACGTATTATTAGTACACGTAAAATAATTGATGAGGTAACCTCCCTCCTACAAGGATAGAAAAAGTGCTTTACCTCGATCAGGCAACACATCAGTATGGATGGGGAAAGCAGGGCGGTCGATCATGTGATCTCCTTTGCTGAGACCCTCCTGCAGAGTGCTGAAGCCGTTCAACACCACCGTCCACACAGGGCCCATCTTCAGGCTGTACACGTTCCCATACTGCTCTGCCAACTGTGGGAGGGAGAACACAAGTGAGTGGGAGGAAAGCAAATAGGAAACTTTTACCTTGAATTTTTTGAAAATGCCCAAAGACAGGAGAAATACATAAATAACATTACAATTACTTTTTATGAATGTTTATTTGTTTTAGTGTTTTTTTGTTTTTCAAAAGCTTTAATGTCAGGTGACCCAGTGAGAAATACAATACAGCATCGTATTACTACATTGGACAAGTAGGACAAACCTCTTTTTATTGTATTTTAGAGGTTCTATTTTATACGATTATTGTCAGTAAAATTCAGCAGTTTTATATTGAAAAGTCTTGATTTTTCTCAAAAACTTCCATATCCTCTGACTTAATGGTAGGGTAGGTAAGTTTGAGAAACCGGCTCGAGATCGCTAGAATTTGAAAATACACAACCGGAGAAAATCTGCCACTTCCTTATAGAGCCCCTCCTCCAACACACACGAACGCGCACATGACCAATGAGGGCACGAGATAAGTTTGTGCACAGATGGAAGGCTGACAGGCAGGTAGGCCATCCAGCTATTTTAGCCGGGCCGGCTAATTGATTGATTGATTGATTGAAAAGTTTATTAACAGCTTGTATATTGGGTACAGTACAGTACAGCTCAAAACATACAATTGTTAAGGGGATGCAGACCAGAGAAAGACTTTCATCTTGTTTACATCAGGGTCCCCCATTTCCAATTCATCATATCATTTAAGACATATAAGACATATTTGACATACAGATGGCTTATTTACAATTTACATACAGGTGGTTTTTTACATACAGATGGCTTATTTACAATTTTCATTTTAGATTTCGTTCTAATACATCCTAACCGGACATTTAAGACGGATATACAGTTATAACAGAGTCTAAAATGCGAGTATATACATAGATGGGGGGGGAAGCTGTCCATTGTACGACAGGTTGAGATTTGTACCATTACCGGGGCCAGTTTTGCAATGCTCTCCCCCGAAGGTGCTCTTTAAGAGAGGTTTTGAAGGTAAGTATAGTTTTACTTTCCTTTACAGTTGTGGGAAGAGCGTTCCACCTTGATGTGGCATAATTGCGAAACGTGTATTCCCCCTTTTTTGTGCCAAATCTGGGTTTTACATGATTTGTGGAGCTCCCTCTGGTGTTATGATCATGGTATTCCTTGACCTTTGGGAAGAATTTTGACATGTACATGGGTACCATCAGTGGCGTTTTTATATGTACAAAAGTGGTGGGGCACAAAAAACTTAGATGTCTATATATAAGCTTCTGCAGTGACGTGCAGTGAGGTTCATGGCTGGTGAGGCACTGGCACTGACTCTTCAGGTTTACAAATATTATAATTTGACCTAAACCAAAATATAATATTATTTTCAAAAGCTTTTTTTGTCTGATGCTTCGATTAATTTTAAACAGACAGTTCAACAAAAGGATACCCAAAAAATGTAATTTTATCATTTAAATATTGAATTGTTCTCTCTTAGTAAGATCCCATTTTCAATAAAATGGCGGTCTTACCTTGACTTGAAGATGAAGTCCATTTGCCTATCCTTCTGGACAAACATTTCTATTACTTTTTTGTAAAAGTCCTCCTTATCTTCTTGTAGTTTCAAAAGTCTATCATAAATCTAATCCATAGATTTATGATAAAAAAATTATAAAAGTAGGGTAGACATGTGGATGTTATCCGGCTAATCAAAACGTGCATTTATCTAACAGGTACGTTTCCCACAGATCTTATTTCGAGCTATTTTCTAAAATCCTCTGGAGAAATCTCATTGCTTTTTTGTGCTTACTTCCTGGTTTTAGGACGCGCCACTGCAGCTCTCTCGTCTCCTCTTCAAGCACCACACTTTTCGCGGCACACGTACTTACAGCCAATCAGCTCTGAATGATTTGAGATGACGTATGGTGGGGATGGTAGCTCCGTGCCCCTCTGGTCATTATTTTTTTGCCACACACATTACATTACAAAATACTCTGAGCATGCGCAGTGTAGTTTTTACAGTCACCGTTCACTTCACAGCGAGAGGAAGGGGCATAATCAGGTTTTGTCCCACATGGCTCTAAACAGCTCAATAGGCACACACTGTGACTGTAGACCAGTGGCGGCCGGTGGTCTTTTTTTTTGGTGGGGCTCTTGACGTACCGTAAGTGACCTACCCCCCCTTTCCGGGGGGTTTCCCCCCGGAAATTTTTTTCGAGAAATGACCCCTTAAATGATGACTTCTGGTGATGTTAGAGGGGGGGGGAAAGGAGAAATCGAGGCTTAAAAATATGAGAAGACTGATCAATACCTCCATAATCTTCAGTGTGGAAAATATTATTTATCAACCTGAACATCTACTACTTTACCAGGAATTTGTGTTCTCAGAACTGGTCTGTTTTTTTCTTTCTTAAAACTGTTCATGTTTTATGAACCAACACCTTCACCAAGTAGCTTTACAGTGAACTGCATGTGAGATATAAAATTAATAGCATCTTTTCAGTAGCATTAATTATAAATATTTAAGTGGTTCAATACAAGTCACTACAGCATTTCAAACTGAACTGTGAATAAATGCAATTTAAAAAAAATAACCACAGCACAAAATGTCATAAATTGTGTTTTTTCTTTGTTTCTCTGAGGATTATTTACAAACAGGCTTATTTACATATAGCAATAACTCAGAAATGAAAAAGCTACATCGTCTAACACGAACAACCAGTTAGCATAATGATAATATATGTGTTATGTACAATGTAACTGGCAAGGCTAGAGCAAGAAAGAACATAAAGTTTGCAAAAGGTTTAAATAACTTCAAGTATCTGTCTTCAGATTACGTGGAGGTTTTAGTCCGATGGGAAGCAGATTTTAAGCGACACCGAAGATAAACCAAAAATGTGGTGGAGCTGCAAACCGTGTAGTGTTGCTGGGACAGAACAGGAGCTATAACCGTTGGAAAATACATCACAGACAATGCAACAAACGTGGAGACAGAACAATCACTTCTGTGATAAATGCCCACTTATTAATAAACTTCTAACAACCATGGGAAACCTCCTCTCTACATATAAAGTGATATCCAAGCATGGGAAACAAAAGACAGCATTTACCTGTTTGCATCCAGCTAGCCAAGCCTTTCTTGTGTACCAGCTACTAAGCCTCGTGTATAAATGTTGTCTTTTTCACGAGATTGCTGCGATATATTCAAATCGGGTTGGTCCGGTGCAAGGTCTTTAAGCAACAATTTATCTGCCAAACTTCTCCTTTCGAAAGGATTGGAGATTAGCTCTTGAACAGAATTAGCCGGGGACCGAGGTCCGGAGACTCCACCTGCACACGAAGCCATCCTCATCAACTACTGCGTCAACCGGATACGAGTCACTGTCCAAACTACTCACAGACTGCACTGGGCGCTGACATTGGCGCCCGGTGACCGTCATCTTTGACGACGCTGATTGGCTGAAATTATATTTTCGCGGCATAGTTTACACGTTACAGATAGCAACAGTCAGCTGCTGGTGGCTGCTGCTGCACTGGTTGAAGGCTCCTCTCTTAGCGCCCAGACGAGAGAAGGTGCATGGGCAAGTCCAGGCAGGAAACATGTGACTTATCAGTAACTTTAGACATCGTAACACAATTTTAAACGAGATTTTATTGTAGATTATACATTTTACTGATACCAATTATATAATATTTACCTTGTTCATTAAAAATAAAAATAAAAACATATATATTTTTTTAAACATATTTTTTTTTTTTAATTTTAATTTTAATTATTATTATTTTTTTTTTTTTTCAATATGGGAAGAGGTGGAGCGGCGCCCCTAGCGCCCCTATGGACCGGCCGCCACTGCTGTAGACACACTAATTAGAAGAACACAGACTAAAACAGCAATGTACAGACAAATCAGATGATTAAACATGATCTTAAAATATATTTTATATATTTTTTTATTTTTTTTTTTGCATTTTTGTAATCATTATTTGTAATACTTTCTGCTGACACTAGGTGGGGCTGTGCCCCACCTGCCCCTAATGACCAGTCGCCACTGGGTACCATAGAGGTGTAGTGGATCTTGTAGACCAGGCCCATTGCAAGTAGCTGTACTCTGTCGTCTACTCTCCTAGGTTGTCAAAGTGGGCAGAGGTAAGGTGGGTTCTAGATGAAAGGTCAAGCAGTAGTCTGACCAGTTTATTTTGCGATGTTTGAAGTTTTATTTTTAGCGCCTTGGAGGTGCTATGGTACCATGACGTGCAGGCATAGTCATAGTACCCTAAAATGATTGGTCGTGCTTTTTACAGTATTACGGCTTCCACAGATGACATTTTTTTATGTATTTTTTGTCAAAGCACTTAAGATATTTATTGCTATCAGGATGTTAAGAGCATTCCATGGAATATAACAAAAAGTGTATCTCGAGCCGGTTTCTCAAACTTACCTTTAATGAATCCAAAACCAATGCAGCATTGTATTATTACACTGGAGCAGTAGGACACACCCCTTTATATTGGATTTCAGTGCTGAAAAACTATTAAAAGCTATTTATATTTCTTATAGCTTCCTTATCATAATGACGCCACGTCAATGCCCAATTGTATTGTATTGCACTGGCCAAGTGGGACACAGCTGTCTTTATTGGATTTCAAACCGCCTCTAATACGTTTATAAAAATCAGCACAATTTAATTGAGAGCTATTTTTCAGCATTGTATTGCTACACTAGACGAGAGGGGCACATGTATTTTTATTGGATTGCAGTCAAACTTCTATTTCATATGAATATCTTCAAGAAAAAAAGGTTCATACAAATATTTATCGAAAATAGAAGCGGGACTAAAACACGATAAAACAGGTGTCCTTTTGTTTAGTGTAGTAATACAATGCTCCATGTACTGTCATGTGCCATGGAAGCTATTGAAAGAATCCCATAGTTTATAAAAAAAGAAAACAACTTCATAACAATATGTATAAAATAGAGAAGATGCACTCTGCAAACTGAACCGGAGTAAATGTCTGTCTAACATCTAACCTTAAAAAAAACACTAAAGGTTAATGACTGTTATCTGATTTTTTCTCCGCAATAAACATAAACGGATTGCAGTCCTACCTTGGTCATGTCGTTGTGGAGATTGTTGAAGTCAAGAGAGAGAATATTCCCCACCAGAGGAAGAGCACAGGGTCCTGGAGGAAAGCTTCTCGGCCGACGGGACCTCAGACCCAGGGCCACCAGCAGGAGGACCAGGGTGAAGAGGAGCAGACTGCGGCTGTCCAGACACACGGAGAAAGCCCAGGGTAGATCCATCCTTACAGCTTCTGGAACCACTCGGGTTTGGTTGTATTCGCTTCAGAGTTTTATCAAAGAGACATCATGCAGGCTACACCTCTTTAGGGTTAAGGACTGGTTGGCTGTTTGATTCCTGGCCAAAAGAGGCGGTGTCATTTCAGGTGAAACACAGGTACTACGTTTCTCCAACATAAACACTTTGAAAGCACATTTGAGGTGGGAGAAGTACTCAGATCTTGCACTTAAGTAAAGTAAATGTACTTTATAAACCACTGCATTGACACACATTTTGTGACATCACAATGAGTTTCTTTGAAAGAACTCCGTGACCTTTATCATGATTTTGTATTATGTAACAGTTATGTAATCCTTTGTACTTATCCTCTATTCACCCAGGGTTTTTGCACAAGAGAAAAGATGAATACCCCACCTAATGTTCAATAATTGAGTCAATATCAGAACATGTAATTCAAAGTATTTAGATCAGGTATCACACAAATGCTTGCTTATCATATATTAGATGCATCTGATTAAATATATATTCAGTATCCAAAAATAAAGGCATTATGTCCTCAGTGTTTATTCACATATTTGAATTAACCTACAATGAAACCTCCATATCCTCTTGGCCACATGTTCCAAAAGGTACATTGGCATGTGACATCCAATATGTAACCTGATTTAAATATATCACACTTTTAAAGTTTAAAGTTAAAGAAAGAAAGTAAGAGGAGCATTTCAATAATGTAAATGCATAAAATATTCACAGTTAGTATTCTGAAATTCAAAACAGTCTTTCCTTCTCTGGGATTTTGATATTCAATAACAACATTTCTGCGCTTAACATTTTTTGATTTTATAATCTGCCTTTTCATGCTATAAGAAATGTTCAAGGTGAGCAATAGACAAAGTGACATGTCATGTGTTAAGGAAATTGTGCGATCAAATGTGTTAACATTGCTAACCTTAGTTTCTCTGATTAGGTCATCTCTTTGGGAGTGTCAAACACGTCAAACACGTCAACAGACGTGTTTAGGGGATGAGGTTTTTGCATACTGTGTCCGAGGGGTATCTGTAGATCCCATTGTCTTGTAGGGTGTGATGGTTTTGCATACAGTGCCAGAGGGGGTATCAGCTGGCCTCCCAGAATGTTGTTGTAATGTAAATCTGCTTTGATGTCCTCTTATAAAGAGAGCTTGTTTCACTCAGAACAGTACTTGCAAGTATAAAAGATCTTTATTGCCTTTAATACAAATATTGTGTTGCTGTACGTTTGTTACCTAACTGATTATTCTCTCTAGACCACAGCTGATTTTAAAGCTGCTACGACACATGTTTGCAACTTGAAAATTAGCCAGGCTTAGCTAAACTACCCTTAAAAACGAGAGGTCTCACAGCCATCGTGTAGAGCCCACTGGTGAACACACTTAAATACAATGCAATTAAATACAAACTTAAAGTTTACCCACTGGCATGTCATGAAAAATTAAAGCCAACTACCATTACGATATATTCACTAACTCTTTGCTAGAGCGACATAATCACAGAATGACACCGTAGGTTTTTATATGTTATGACAATAAACATTTGAATCTTGAAAGTTAATTCGTTTATAAGTATTTCATATGTCAGAGCTATTATTAATGGGAAGTTGCGCAGAGTTCATGTGAACGAGGGCACAGAATGACGCTGTTCTGAAAATCCATCTCAGGCTTCACACCAGCAGGCGTAGAGAAGGTGAAGCGCTGCATGAAAGAGACGAAGAAGAGGAAAAGCTCCATCTTGGCCAAACTCTCCCCGGGACACAACCGCTTACCTGAGAGAGAGAAACCAAAATCCAAAAACCATTAGTATCCATTGTTAGGCTCTGCTGGTGCCCACTAGCAGGGAAACATTTGAGAGGAACAGTTCCCACTCCTGATCTTTGTAATTCCCCCTACTGGAATATAGTATAATATTATAAATTGTTAGAAGATCCTCATTGATCATAATCTTAAAATCCTCTTCTAGGACAACCTGCAATCATTATCTAAGGAAGACTGTAGGGTCCATGCTACGACAAGCTCTATGCTCCTGTACCAACAGTTAAAGGTCCCCTATTGTACTGTTTTTCATCAATATATTATAGGTATCAGATATATACTGAACATGTCTCTGAAGTATTTGGCTCCAAATACCAAACAGATCATTGCAGCATCCCATAATCCCCTCTGTTTCAGCCCTGTTTCAAAAGTGCTGATTCTCAATGTTCTTCCAATGAAACGGTCACCCTGTCAGGGTGTGTGACTTCCACAGAACTGATAAAAAAAAAACATAAACACACATGATGCGTGGACTCATTTGGCTTTGGTGATTGTTTTAGCATGAATTCTGTTTAATTTTCATTGGAATATGACTCCTCGCGGGTAATGATTGCACAATGACCCACAGCATCTCTGTTCTCTATATCCCTCTGTTTCAGCCCTGTTTCAAAATTGCTGATTTTCTGTCTGTTATGGCGCGTTTCCACTACACGGCCTCGCACGGCCTCGCTCGGTATGGCTAGGCCTCGTTAGGACTGGCTCACTTTATGGCGCATTTCCATTACAGTTTAGGAACTGGGGTAGTATCTATAGTAACGCAGTGTAGGCGGAGCCGTGACGTCATCTTCAATGAGAACCCCAGAAAAACAACACAGCCGTTAGCTGTTAGCACTCAGAGCTCACAGCTCCTCATATATGTTCAGAAACTAGACAAAAGTTAAACAAGTACAAACCACAGACTGCCTGTGTCATGGCGAATACAGTCGCTGCTTTATTTATGTCTGTATAGGCCGTTGTTGTGAGTGTGGAAGGTCGGAGCATATACTGCGTTAGCTTAGCCAATCTCCATTTAGAAAACACGCATTTTAAAAAGTTTTTCGCCTGCCGTCTGTCTGCAGACTTGACAAAGCATTAATTCATGGTTTTTACTAACCGGTATCAGTATGTTGTTACTTCGGCATCATTTTGAAACGTGTATTACAATTAAATCACGGTCAAATATGTCCATCTTGTTGTAGTTGTAGCCCCCTTGCCAGCGATGCTCTCTCTAGTTTAGCATACTCAGCCCGACTCAGCCTCGTTGTCTCTGGCCCTAGAACCACGATTTTATGAGGCCAGAAAAACTGTGAATTAGGACCCGCCGGCCGGTACTAGGCCAAGTGGAAACGCAACCAAAAACGGGCCGCTGACGTCACAGCCCTCTTAAACCGTGCTCCGCGCTGTAGTGGAAACGCGCCATTACTTTAGATGAAAATAAGGAGCCACTCCCCACGCCCCTCTGAGAGATATTTGGTAAAAAAGAACACAATGGTGCTCTAGGAGCAGATTCAGGTGATAAGGTGGGTGGTGTTGGGTTACCTTGTTTGGTGATTGGCTAATGGTTACACAAGCCAAAAAATCGTTATGACATCATAAAGTGGCCAACATCTTATCAACTCATTTTCAGACAGGTTTCTATATAAATGGACAAAAAGTGAGCAAATCTTTTTTCCTGAAACTTTCAGAATCTCTTTACACAGAGGGGACACATGTTTATGTATAAGAGACATTAAAAAGTGGATTTTGTATAATAGGTAACCTTTAAAGAAGCTAATAAAACCGGAAATTGTGTTGCTCCTCACCAGCAGAAAATGGGATGAAAGCAGCTCGCTTCACAAACTTCCCCTCCTTGTTCAGAAAGTGTCCCGGGTAGAAAGTGTCGGCAGTCTCCCACTCATTCTTATCGTACAGCGCTGATGTCAGATTGGGGATTATTGTGACTCCCTGGTGAGTGGAATCATAATGACAATTAATAAAGATGCAACAATGCTTTGTGTGCCTTACACATTGCATATCATAACTGACCTTTGGGATTGTGTAGCTTCCTAGCTGGATCTCCCTATTGGTGAAATGAGGCAGGCTGAGAGGAATTACGTTGCCCATCCTTTGGATCTCGTGTATGACGGCATCAGTGTAAGGTAGGTTTGGACGATCTTCCATAGACGGCGGTCTGGACTCTCCAATCACTCAGTCTATCTCAGCCTGGACCTTTGCTGTGGAATAGGATGGGAACAGGCCGACGTTGAAACATTAACATGCTGGAATAGAACATCTTATAGACCAGCGGTTCCCAACCTGTTGGCCGTGGTTCCCTAGTGGGCCGCGAAGGCATTGCAAGTGGACCGCCAAATAATTTGAAAACATGATTTGTGTGGAAACATTTCATTATTAAAGGAGAGGTGTCATGGCCATTTCCACTGATCATAATTCCATTGTTGAGGTCTACTAAAATAGATTTATATTGTGCAATTTTCCAAACTCACATTGGTTTCTCATACAGCATCTCTGTAAACTACGTGTATTCACTGAATTTCACTCTCTGCCTTTAACGGCTCGTTGTAGCTCCAGCCCCCACCCTCCCTGTGAGCACAGTGTGCTCTGATTGGTCGGGACGTTGTGAATCGCGTTGAGCTCCGTGGAGGTGTTGTTTCCTTGTTTAGGATACACAGCGAAACACAGCCAAACTCATCCTGAGCACACACAAACTCACAGCCGAAGTAAAAACAATAAGTGTGGCTTGATATTGAGTAAGAAAAAGGTTGATAAACGCTGTGAGAATGGGTCTGCAGAGAGAATTTCGCCGCGATCCAAACTGTCTGTTATCAGCCTGCAGCCAGGGAGGAGAAATCAGCAGAGCTGCCTGTGTGTGAGGAAGTCCGCACAGTCCGTAACGGCTCCGCGGACGTAACGTAACGGCTCCACGGATTGGTCCATTTGGTTCCGGGTACCGCATGACCGTATCGCGTCATAGCTCTGGGCGTGGCTACTGGCTATTCCTACGTCACAACACCCAGGAAGTAAACAATGGACAATGACGTATCTCCAACGAGGCGTTTTGGGGAGGTATTTTCTGTGTTAGAGTTTTACTCGCTACAGGGTGTACTTTGAGGGTTTTGACTCTGCACACCGTTTACATGCATAAAAACCTTCATAACACACAAGGGGACGGGTAATAACCGGAAAAGCATGACACCTGTCCTTTAAGATTTTTTTTTATTTGAACCTCTTTTCCTTTCTCTTTCTTGATCCTCCTTAGCAACGGGCATTACAGTCCTTGACAG